TCTGACCAAGTAATACAAGATTGAACTGCAAACTCTAAGCTAACCGTCGTAGTTCCCCCAACCCGAACAAACTCCACACCCTGTGATCGCACGCCGTGTAAGCGTATTACATGTGGAGCTCTAAAGCAACAGGAATGTCCAGGCTGTCGGTTTCTTTAGGTAAAGGTTCGAAGAACGCTTGGGAGTGTGCCGACAAAGTGAATACTTTCAATGTAGGTTCAGTACATGTTTAAACCCATAAAGCCTTGAGTCTGAAACCCTAAATAAAGCCTTGAGTCTGAAGGTCTAAGCCATCGGATGTAGTTCGCGGTTCAAGTTGTAACGATGTTGGCAAAGATCCCGACAATAACGACAAAGACTCAAATGACTGGAAATGTCTTAAACAAGCATAACCAAATCCGATTCAGTTGCAAATTTCATACACACAGATACTACCGTATTCCATCACTACAACACCTACTAAGGACCTACTATTACACTGTAGTCCAGCTATACACAGCAAACGGTTCGAAGCCTTCGAAGCGAATATGATTTAATGCTGTAGTCATGACATAGACGAGAATCTTCCAGTGATCGGTTTCACCGCATTTTTTTGATCATGCCGTGGTGTTGCTGCACATGCGGGAATTCTTGGTGGTATACCACCTCGGAGTCAAAGAGAAAAACACTGGAGCGCTGCAGATCTCGGCATATACAAGAACAAGCTTTGGTGCTACCGCAATCACCAGCTTGCATCAAGAACTCACTGTTCATCATACTCTCCCATTCTGGAAATCACGGCGTCCACGCTCCACTTCTCAAAGAACTGAAGCAGGTCGGTGCCACGAAAGTCCACGTCGTCTACGGGTTTAGATGTAATGTTGACCAACATATGGGACGAAACCTGAAGCCAAATGAGATTGTTCATTTCTCAGTGCAGCACCGATGGTTCTGGAGGCATGAGTGTATGTTTGATTTTGCTCGTTTAAGATTTTTTTCTTTGAAGACTAGCTGTGAAACTGCAATAAACAAACATAGTTTTTGGTGTAAGGATAAGCGCTTCAAATCACAGACCGGTTTTGCAGGTGCTCAGAATTGCTGCGCCGCTATCGGTCCGATCAACGTTGCGCAGATATTGGATATGTCTGGTTCCTTGAAGCTGACGCCAGGTTCCAGAAGACAGCAAGAGAAATTGAACACCTCATGACAGCTTTGCCTCGTGGAATAGACGTTGGATGGCCCGGCTGGCGTCGGCAATGGAAAGAGGGCACCAAACTGGATTGGTTCTATAACATGAAGTTTGCCTTGGAAGGTTCCCAAGCGATTTTTTTCCGCAGAAACGGCTTGTTGCAAATGTGGCAAGCAACATGTCAAGGCAACAGGTACCGTCATTTTGACTTGATGTTATCAGAACGGCTGGCCAACAAATTTTGGTATCCGCCACAGCCAGAAGTCTACACAGCGACACATTTATCACAGATTTTTGGCAAAGGCCAAGCGATGACTCGCCCAGGAACTGTGCATAAGCGTCCTGCGGTAAGACAGCAGCCTGCCGGAAAGGTTCGCAAAGTCGCGATGAAAAGTTGAGCGATTCTTTGTTGTGGTATGAAACAAAAGAAACCTGGATCACTGGAAGCTCTCTTGGCTATGAGTAGTAATTGTAGTAATCGTAGTAGTAGTCGTATTACTAGTAGTACTAGTAATAGTAGTAATAGTAGTATTAGTAGTAATAGTAGTAATAGTAGTAATAGTAGTAATAGTAGTAATAGTAGTAGTAATAGTAGTAATACTAGTCACACTAGTAATAGTAGCAATAGTAGCATTAGCAATAATAGTAGTAATAGTCGTAATAGTCGCAATAGTCGTAATACTAGTAATAGTAGTAATAGTAGTAATAGCCCTGCATCCAGAAATTTTGAAACCCAGAAGCACTTAACCCAGAAGCCCTAAACCGCAACGCTAAGCCAAGAACCCCTGGAACCAAAAACCCCTAAACCCAGAAGCCCTGAACCCAGAAACTTTGAAACCCAGAAGCACTGTACCCAGAACCCTTTGAAACCAGAAGCCGTAAACCGCAGTGCTAAACCCAGAACCCCTGGAACCAAAAACCCCTAAACCCAGAAGCCCTGAACCCAGAAAAATTGAAACCCAGAAGCACTAAACCCAGAACCCTTTGAAACCAGAAGCCCTAAACCGCAGTGCTAAACCCAGAACCCCTGGAACCAAAACCCCTAGTCCCGACACAAGCTGACGGGATTTCAAATACACCGATCTCGGCATTATTATGTACTTCATAATTAGATGCACTTCACACTCTATGGTTCTATGCACTGGATTCTATAACGTGGCGCAAAACTCTTCGCTAATGATGCTTTCGGGCCAATTGTCTTCTAGTTTTTGTTCCGAGTGCAGAGTTTCAAAAACCAAGAATGGGCGTCCATTAAATGGGCCGTCTCGGACCACTTCATACCACTTCCCTCCCAGGCAGAGGACTTCGCCGGAAGCTACAAACAGGTCTTCACCCGCCGTGCGCGGAGAGCCGAGGAGTGGCGGCGCCGGAAGCAGAAGCCGCGCTCCGACAGCTTCGAGGAGGCCTCTACAGCAGCACGTGGACAAAAAGGGCTGAACTAGAAGGAAGGGAGGGTTTCCGGGAGAGGTGCGTTGGAGGCCATGTGAAGCTGTGCTGCAGGTCAAGCAAGCTCCTGTTCCGACACCCACCAAGCAGAAGCCGCACCACAAGCTCTTATTTGCGGATAATCGCCAGGGACACTTGGCCGACAGCACGCTTGGACTTAAGGTTTGTGGCCGCTGTGGGGAGAAATACACTGCATCGGCGAATCGAAATAGTATGAGCTGTCATTACCACGAAGGGACGCTTATTCCTTTCGGGCCGGAGGCGAGCGCATTGACCCGGAGCGAGCGACAGCAGATCGCCAAGTGTGGCAAGTTTGCGCTCCGCAAGTGTGGCGGAGTTGCAGGCCGCAAGTCTCGGCAAGGGGGCCGAGGCCACTGGACGAAAGGCTTGGGTCTCCCAGCAGTCGTCGCCGGCAAGGTCATGGTGTGGGAGGATGTTTGTGTTGGTCCTGGTGAGGTTCTGTGTGCCTGGCCCGGGACTCAACCACTCTTCGTTTTCCAGTGGCAGTTTACTTCCCTAGCCCTTGTCTTGGCTACAGCATACGTAGTGCTGCAGCATGATGATGCATGCAAGTCCATGCGCCAGCCGCGTGGGTTTGTTTCGAGGTCGTGTTGCTCACGGCTTGGCCTATTTGCCGAGGGTTGCACCGTTGGCATTCACAGGCGGGAGCGGGCAACAAGGAAGGCATCTTGATATGCGTAGTCTTCCGGGAGTCTTAAGAAGGCCAGGATCCTGGACTAACAGACTAACAAGTCTAGTTGGGTTTGGAAGAGCACTTGGCCAGGTTAGCACGTCATCGTGGTAGTCTAAATTTGCCCTGCAAGCAGAGACAGGCCCTCCTGATGCGTGCACGCCCAGCGAGCCTTGAGCTTTGTACATACTTCCAGCTCCTTCGGCTAGCGAGCGAAAATTGATTGCAAAACGGCGGTGATGGCACACTTCCTTATGGAGCTGCAGGTTTATGAATTCCCAAGCGGCTACCATTGCCATCGGCCCTTCATGCGAAATATTCCTGACAGGGGACATTTTGTGGCCCCGAGGATAGTTGTACCGGCCGCACATAGCGGGTCTGATATTGTTTGTGCTTGAAATTCATTAGGATGATGTCATTAGCTGCAAAGCAGTTCCACGAAGAACGTTGCAGCGTTGCTCATGAGCGAGCACTGCCGATGGCACAAGGATGCAAAATGCAATGGCATGCTCAAGCCGTTGTCTGCCAATGCAAACACACTGCCTGCAGGAAATGCAGGAATGAAGCACAGCAAGTTTCAATGCTGTGCTGCTGTAAGCTTGACTCGTAGGTTTCCGCTCGCTGTATGCTCATCTGAGCGTGAACCCCGAAGAGACGACGCAAGTGCGTCGCTGCTTGCGCTTGCGTGCCGCAAGGTGTCGAGCCGGCGGACTTTCGGCCCAACCCGGGTTGGACCGGTCCAGGGATGTCGCACAAAAGGAGGACAAATGCAGAGTCTCGTGACTGAGGTTAGGAGCGGGAGAGTTCCTGATTCTGCAAGGAGGGATTTGGCATTTTGGGTGTTTTGGGTTCATGTTTGGGGCTGAGGATGGTTCAGGTTTATGTCTGGGCCATGTTGACGTACCTCGCAGAGATATTAAGTAGCGGCTTCAAGCCCTTCCTGTTCGGGTGCTCTGCCATAGATCTCCTCGTTTCTGCATGGTGGGAACTGACTTCAGATGCCATGACCGCTTCACGCTAGCTTTCTCTCAAGCTTCCCAACAAGCACGAATGCCAGCCTCATAGAAGTCGCATTGAGAAAAACCTGTACGACCTTGATCAACACCAGACTGACAGTTCTTGGGCATTCCTGCAGAAGCACTACCCCCTCGGCAGTCGACCCAGCCAAGCAAACAGCCTTGATGCGGCTTGGAGCATAATATGATGTTTTTATCGTAATGCTGGGCGTGTCAACATTTGCAGACTGAAGGTTCGCAACACCGCTTGCCGCCGTCCTGGCACATCCAAGTCACAATAGAACTTCAAGCTCCAGAACTGGTTCGACTTCTCTGCGCCACGAAGCAAGGGTCGATGGCTGCGTGCGCGCCGGCTTGATCCAGGTCATTGGCACGTGAAATCCAGATACTCCTTATCTTGATCCTATGGACACAAGCTGCGTCGTGCACATGTAGAAATCTCTTCGTTCAAGGTTGCAGTCGAGCCTTTGGGCGATGCTCACCACAGCCTTGCATGAACATGATTCAAGGCTACTAAGAAGGCGACTATACCGAGGCTACAATATGTTGTCAGGCTGCATGATGGGAAGCCGAGGCTTGAAGTATGCAGAGTGAAGTATGCAGGGGACGACAAAGAAACGAGGCGGAGCAGCAGGAATGCCAGAGCCCATCAGTTCCTGGTGACAGGCCCCGGAAAGCCATGGCTGAGGATGAGGCCGACTCCTCGGCTTGGGGGATTCTGGGGTGTCTTTTGATTGCGGTGCGGCCCGGCAACTGTCCGGGAGGTGACAGCCCTCCGCGAGCAGGTGGAATCCCTGCTCAAGGTCGGGGCAGTCGGGGCAGGGTTGCACTGAGGCATTTGTGTACACAGCCACGGTCGTCCTATCCCGAAATTCTAGCCTGTGACCCTACAAGACCAGGTGTTGAATCCCAAACTCTTCATTCAGAGAAACCTGCTCAAAAGCCCAGTCTCGACGAGGAGCGTGCAGAATGGCTGGCACAGCGCGAGCGCATGCGTTCGGAGCCCAATGGGCGCGAGGTTCGCGGTACTGCGGAGTCTGAATCTGCAGACCTGTTGCCTGCACAATCTCGATTCCAACAGACCTCAGCTTCGTAAGAGTCTTTGATGGTTCGGTGGACACCCAATGCCTTGAAGCTAAACCACTTCCACAACGCTTGCACCGCACCTCCTGTGTGCCGAGCTTACTCAGAATTCAGAGCTTCACGCGCTCAGGCGAAGAGATCGAGGTGCTACAGAGTCGGCTTCAAAAGCTGTCACAAGCGCCTCCGGAGGCACTGCGGCCTTGGCGTGTCGTAACTTCCGGGCTAGTTGAGGATGCCGGCTTGGGGCTCAGACTGTTCCTACCGAAAGAGTCACCGAAACTTGTAAGGTATGCTTCAGTGCGGCCCTCTAGCCACGGCCCCCTACATGTCCCTACACACCCGACGTCAGAAGCGTCTTGATTGTACTGCAGTCGGAGCCGAAGCCAGAATGAAGCCGCCCGAAGCCCAATGCGACGCCAATGAGGGAAGTCACACGTACAGGTCTTCTCAGGTTATTGCATTATTATCACTATTTCGTGAAGAGCCCCAAGCTTCACAAAAACCTTAAATCTCGGCCAACTCGCCAATCCGCTGCGATGCAGGCGGCTGCGGAAGCTGCTGTGCCTGCAGAGGCAGAACATGGCCGGTGTATGGAACAAAAGGCTAACATGCAGTGACGGACATATTTGGTCGTTCCGTGAACCGTCGGATCGACACCCTACCATTATTTTTATACAGCCTCCTTGCAGTTCAACACTTTCTGCAATTTCCATGCTGGCGGGGTCGGAACTGCATTCTTGCATTTCGGCGCTGCCAGGAAGGGAGGGTGGATGTCAATTCGCCATTGAGCAGCTGTCTGCAAGGATTGCATGTGCGGGATTTGGACTTAATTTTTCAGCTTCTGCCGAGCATTTCGGCGCTCCATGTTTTGTCGTTGCGTTTGTGCGTTTCCTTGTGCTTGCACACAAGTAAACATAGATGTATATGAGTACAAACTGATTTTACGATATGCATGGATAGTTCCAGTCCTAACCTTTATGTCATCTGCAGTATGGCCTGTAATGCTATGGACATGAAAAGAATTATGTCGGATGCGCTTATTAACATGCGTACATGTAGGTGTAGATGTGCATAAGGTATATGTATGACAAATAGAAAAAGGCATGAATACGTAAACAATAAGTAAGTGCATGCATACATGAATAGACAAATAGATAAACAAGTAAATAAGTAGTAGATAAGCAAAGGAATAGATGCATACATGTATATGCACCATCCGTCCATCCATCCAGCCATCCATCGACCCACCCACCCACCCACCCATGCATGCATGCAAATATGCATACATACATGATGATACATGTGTGTGTGTGTGTGTGCGTCCCTGACTGTGTTGGTGTCTGAGTGTGTCTCGGCATGTCTTTGTGTGTCTCTGCATGTCGTTGCGTGTCTCTGTGTCTGTGCGTGTGTCTGCGTGTATCTGTGTGTCTGCCTCTCCCTCTCTTCGTGTGTGTGTGTCCCTGTGTGTCAATGTGTTTGTCTCCCCTTGCCGCTTTGTTTGTGTGCGTGTGTTTCTGTGTCTGCCTGAGTGTATGCATGTATGCATGCATGTAGTTTCGTGTTTGTGTGTCACTGTCTGTGTTTCTGTCTGCGCGTTTATGGATAATCACATATCTCTCGCTTTTCTATCCCTGGAGCCTCGCGTCGTTTGCGAAAGTCCGAGTGTGCTCTTGGAAATCCCTTGCTTGCCCTGGTCCGGGGCCCTGCTTGTGGGAGGCCCCGAGCGTTTCGGGATAGCAAAATACCTCAAACTAGTATGCCAAGCTCGACGCAGACACAGGGACTGTTGGGAAATCTTCCATCCAACCACAAGAAAGTGCCTGACGGAACCCACACCTCGTCATGATGCGGGTAAATGAAGGTGAGAATGCGAATTTTCAACCCTAATCATTTATCATTGACAACGGCAGCAACAGAAGCAAGCAACAACAGCAGCAGCGGCAGTAAGAGCAGCAACAACAACCAATCATCTCGAGGAGGATGCCTGCAAGAGAAGAAAGTGATGCACCGGTGCTATCCGTGCTTATTCTGTTGCAAGCGCAGTTTTCGAAGCTTGCCCGAGAGGGGTCCGGGGACATCGTGGATGAGATGCTTCGCTCTCCGCAGGACGGCGGTGTTGGCGGTTTTCGGTTGAAGGTTGGAGGTTGCGTCGACGGCCAAGGAAGGGCGACTTCCAGAGCTTCGGTCCCAAGGTGCTTTTGAAGAGTGCTCACTACAGAAAGTCAGAGCTTTGTGCCTGCTGGAACCATGTAAGAACACCCCAGAAGTCCTCGAAAACAGCAGGACGAGGCGTTGCAGCTACGAGGCATCGAGACTCTCTTTGCGCAACAGACGCAGGCCCAGCGAGCCTTTTCCGGTCTTGTCGCAGGTTGGATTAGGGCTGATGTAGTCGGATGGGGAAAAACTGTATTGACACCTTTTGTAACGATGTTCTGCCTGCATCAACCCAGATAAAACCCCCACCACCACCGCCGCCGCCACCACCACTCCCCGACCCTAAGCACTAAGCCCAACGTCAACCGGAAACCGAACAGCCCTGCCCTCGGGAGGCCGGTGCAGCCAGCGAGGACGCATCGCCGGCCATGAGGCGAAGCCTTGAGGCCGCGGGTGCGGTATGGGGTAAAAGCTAGACTCTCGCTGCATCTGTTGGATCCGCTAGTGAGCCAAGAGTTGAGGGAACTGCTGAGGCGGGTTTTATTTTACGGTGCGCAGGTACAACAGAGGTTAACTGGGCCAGGCCGAGAAGAGCTTGGGCGGGGCGTCTATATGGAAGCTGCTGGAACTGGCATCATCCAGAGGAGTTTGTTTGTAATGGTCCTTCCGTCATCTACTGGCGCTCCAGGACTCATTCGGCAAGAGAGCCGGGACATGTAGCAGCGGGAAGAGCCTGACTAGACGACGATGTGTGCAAACTGCGGATATTAGGCCTGGGAATGCTGATTCTCCAGCTTTGACTCACGTGCAGCCCTCGCTGCTCAAGCTTTCAAAAGGCCTTTGACAAGCGTCCAGCCCACTTGGAAGATATGGCTCCGGCAATGAAGTCCGCGATGAAGTCCAAGGCCATGAAGACCGGTGCCAAAGCCATGACCAAGGCCCAGCTTGCCGACCAGCTCGCCACCAAGTCCGAGCTCAAGAAGAAGGATGTCTTGTCGGTCCTGCAAAACCTTTCTGACATCGGTGCCAGCGAGGTCACCAACACCGGCAAGTGCCGTGCCTGCATTTGAGTTTTTGGCGCTGCATGTTGGATGCTCTCTTGTCGTCTCCTGTCTGTCTCAGGTTTGTTTTGCCAGGGCTGTGCATGATCAAGACTCGCGCCTGGGTTGATTTCATCATGTCTTTGACTGCAGGCGGTTGATTGCAAGTTAGTGTCAGAGCCAGTTGGGCAAGAGTAAGGGCATGCCGGTCCGGCTGAGCTGCAAGGTCAGAAGCCTGCCACGAAGGGTGGTACTCGCATGATGTTCGGCAAGGTCAGCATTGGGTGATTGGCTGACATTCTGAGCTGCGATGTGGTCAGTGAATCTGCTGTTTTCCGGAGGAGGTGCAGGTCAAGGCGCAGAAGGTGGGAATGCTGGTAGCTAGTGACCTCGGCAGCTTGTTACTGCACATTTCTGCAGGCGAAGACGGTTGTGAAAGCGATGCCGCTGGCCGCACTGAAGAGCCAGATCTAGGGGGTGGCTCTGAGATGCTGGCAGCGGAACTGCAGCTGGCTGCGTGCTTGTCGATGGGGTTCGACGGTGGGCACGCTGGCTCGCTGTAGAGTGAGAGCTCTGTTCGTGCGCGACTAGACGCACGCCATGTACCGATAGATGCCGTGTGAAAAGCTGGCGGTGCAAGTAGTCCAGCCGTTTCTCGAAGAGTCGTCATGCCCAATGTTGGTGTGGTAACTATGGTAGTACCTATTCTCCGCACGCGGACACTTGAAGTCTAGATTCTGCAGCCTCGGCATCTCAATGTTGTGCTTGTGCCGCGCTTGAAACGCCTATGCTTAGCCCTCATCCCCCGGTTTGATTTAGTGATGTGTCCTGTCCTATTGTTCGTGGTCTACATTGTCATTTTCCAGGGCGGCTAGTGGTCTTATGCCGTGCAACAAGAATGACACATCCAACCTTCATACCAGAAACTGCAGATCTGTCCGCACATGGTGGGATTGCCTGCTAGACTCTTTCCAAGCATGGCGCAGGCGGCAATAGCTGTCTTCGTCAATCATCAGGGCAACTGGAACCTGCTGCTAAAGGCCGGTCTTCGTGCGGTGCAAAGGGTTTAGAAGTAGTGATGGGGTTTCCTGCCCTTCTGAGATGTGGCGGCGTTGTGTTGAGAGAGACTCGAAATCCTCCTGCTTGCACAGTCCAACTTCTCACCAGGGTTTGTTTCCGTCGTTGATGCCTGGAAGTCTAGCAGGGGGCCTGATTTCATTGACGACATATCACCATTCACCATGGTCGTGTGTGCCGGCAAACAGCTAAACAGCCGACTGTTCAACCAACTGGAAGCCGTTGTGTGCGGTTTCATCTCAGGCGTCGCAATTCCTGTCGGTCCTGTTAGCGGCCAGAGCCCCAGCAATGCATTTCTTTGTCACCACAGCATTCGGACCCTTTCTCCGGACTGCCTGACGGAATTTTCTCGGAAGGGACTCAGGGCAATTGCAAGTTCGAAGCCCGCCGTAGCGGCGAGAACGCACCGAAGCCTTCTATTTGCCCGTCTGAGGAGCCCTCAGCGCAGCAGCTCCTTCCTCAGGCGGTGATGCGCAGTGCTTCTGAGGCCTGGTGTAGGGGATCAGGAAGCGCTTGGGGGTCTGTGGTGAGTATTGGTTTGAACGTTTGGGGTTTGGGGAAGGACCAGATCATTCAAGGTTCGCAGGGTGGGGGGGGTCAAATGACAAAGCGGGGTCTTTCGTTGGCCCCCAAGTTCCTCTTTCGTTGAGATGGCTCCATCGATCAAGTTTAGAGGTTGGCGGTCATGACCAGCAAGGAACTCATCCTGTTGTACAGGAAACAGACACACGTCCAACAATGACTGCTATTGCTGCCGCATTTGATCATGATTGTCTCCTGCGAACAACTGTAAGCCATACCGGGGACATTCCTAACCTACGTGAGTCGAAGATCAGACGACGCAGAGGCTTCAGACTGTCTCGCATCGTCAATTGATTTTCTCATATCAGTTGGTCTCTGAAAGAGAGTGCCTCAAATCCATTCGCCTTTGCTCTGCACATGCGGCTTTAGCGGCTTTTCAAAGCCGAAACCCTAAAGCTGAGCGAGGCAAAGCCCAAAACTCTAAGTCACTGAACCTAAATCTTCCCAAACCCAAGTCCTTTCCTACAGCCCACAAACCCAAACCCGTCTACCTCCGAACTATGACCCTCAGGCAGTATTGGCTTCAAGCGCGCAGCTTAGCGAGGCTCAGTCTACTTCGCCCTCACAGGCCCAGGGCCCCTTTGAAAGGGCAGATGGTCCAATGGTGTAGAGGTTCGGGGTTTAGGACAGTGTTTTGGGGTTGAGCGTGGGCTTTAGGATTTGGGGTCTTGGGTTCGCGATTGGAGGCTGCGAGCTCAGGGCTTAGAAATGGTTTTTTGGCAGGTGCAAAACATGCATCGCTGTAGTTAGAAAGATGGAACGTGACCGAGAAGCATCCCAGAAATGCGCAGCATTGGCATCGTCTTCGGTTCTTGAGCGGTTCTGTGGAAATGGCTCGTGCGATCCATTTCACGACGGTTGTCTCCTGCAAAAAGTGACATGTGCCTTTGCTGCTCCAATCTTGGTTCCTGAGCCGTAAGCCGTAAGTCCCGCAAGCGTCAAGCACAAGCCAGGGCGGGGGCCCCACCCCCACGAAGCTCATCACCTGGCTTTTGTCTCTTTTGGCTCTGCTGCTGCTGCCGGCTCAGAAGGGGGGGAAGTGACAAGGGACTGTCTGAAGGCAGCCCTGAGGCATCGCAAGTGGTGAGTGGGCTCGCCGGCCATTTTGTTGGGCACCCTCGGGTTCCCAAGCCTCGTAAGGCCCGCTGTGGAGCCCTGGCTGCGGCAGAGGCTCCAGAGCCAGGCCAGCCGGCTGAGATCGAACCTTCGGCTCAAATGGAGACAGTATCCGTATCAGCGCTTGCGGCTTCAGGTCTCTCACTGTCTCTAGCTTCCATGAAGCCACTGTGGATGTTGGGGATGCCTTTGCAATGGTCTTGAGTCTTGAGTTTTGTAGCAGGACGGAGGTCTTCTTTCACCATCCTTAGCAGCCTTTTCAGCGCGACCAAACCCCACATAAAAACACTCACTACTAGTAGTGAAACCTGCCTCCTCATCCTAACAAAGTCTATGTGAGTTTATGTTGAGGTGATGCTATTCCTCATGCTTCAGCCTACCGCTGGCCACAGGACTTTGTGAAGACGCTGCTGAACGTGAACGGCTGAGTTTGATGAGAGCAGTTAACATCAGAGACGATACCTGTGCAATGACGGGACACATCGACACCCACAGCACTCTAAGACCGCACTATGTGTGGCTTCTGACGCCGCAAGCTGAAGTGGGCGTCTTGTATTCCCAGGCCGTTGTCAGCAAGCTCCTCACCGAGTCTGAACTCCCCGCGGAGGCCACAGTGTTCAGGGCTCACCAAAGCTGGAAGACAGTCAGGGTACTTCATGGTGAACTCAGAATTGTTGCAACATGCACTGGTGGACAGGAGCCTGCAGACCTGGAAACCAGACTTTGGAAGCCAGTGGAACACTGCCGGTTCTTACATCACACCGCACACTTTGTGAATAGCGCAAAATGGAGTCTTTTGTGGTGTATGGGGCTGGAGTACGGGATTTACTCGCCAAGCGCAATCAGCGCACAAGCAAGAGCAGACTCAGTGCTGACCCTAACTCGTAAGCCCTAAAACCCTAACCTGCAAGTGCACATCCTGAGCTGCAAGTCCTGTGGCAGCGCGCAGGCCGTCATACTGAAGAGTGTGCAGCTGATACCGCTGTTGCCTATGGAGTCCTGGATTCAGCAGGCGGAACTCCGGGAGTTGAGCCGGTAAGCGATCTGCAGAAGCCCGCGCGAATGCGCATGTGTTTGTCATGCTGTTGATTTAAATCCGCATGTTGGTTTACGGAGGGAGTCACACTTCAGGCCGCAAGAGGGTTTGCACGGAGACAGAGGCAGAGAAGCAGACAGGGAGGAGCGGCAAGAAGAGGAGCAGGCGACACCAGACAAGACCACACACAGCGAGGCAGCCATCCTTTTGTCCTCAGTTTTTGTTCTGTAATCTTCATGCAAAGCTGACCGGATGACAAGTGCCTCGAGCTCGATTTGGGCTCTGTAATTTCCGGCACAGTTATGAGGGGACAGAGCCGGCCGGTCGGGTTTTTCGGGTGCACAGGGAGGGGCGGGCTATGGTTTCTTTGAGGCAGCGGTGCGTTGTTGCCTTCCTGAGCTGTGCTAACCTCGGAGTTCTCACACTTCCTTGACTGTGTTGAAGAAGAGACACTACAGGTTCACGAGGTACAAGTCAGCCGCATTAACACCAGGTAGAACCCCGGCCCTGCATCGACACATGAATAGCAGCGGCAAGCGCTCCGTGCACAGAATGTGCATCCTGAGAAAGCATCGTGGTAGCAGAACTGTTTAGCATAAGCCACATCGAGTTGCAATGATTCATGGTAGCTACAGATGCGACAGTCCCGGCATAGATTTATTTCATAATGTTTCCGTGCACGCAAGCCGTCTGCAGAGGCATGCCTTGACAGTGGTGCCATTCACTCCTTCGCTTTGGCACGGCAGCGTGTCGTTGCAAAGAAAGGACTATGGGCGAGCAGAGCGCGGGCATTTCTTCTTCACGATGGATCCCCTTCGGGCAAGAGTTCTGTCGCGGAAGCTGATCAGGAGGAGAGCAGCTGGACCCCACGCTGGCAAAGGCCACGCTTCAGGGTGTCATTCCCAGGCTTTAGATTTGCAGCAGAGTTGGTCTGTGGCGGCATTTGTGAGCTGCTGGGCATTCGGTTGGATTTCAAGGTCCACTAGGATCCTGATTTCCGGAATTTGGGCCCAACCTAAGCCTTGAGCAGGCAGTGCAGAGCGCAATCCGCATGGTGCAGGGGCCTCAGGCATGTTACAAGAGACTCCAGATAAAACAGTCTCTCCAAGACAGCAACCTCAAGCAACTTCTACACTTCCGTTTAAGCAAGGAGCAGATGCCAGCAACTGTTCACCGCCCTGCTTCAGGTTCAGCAACAACTTGGAGCTGTGCTCCTTTGCCCTCGGCGACTCTTTCGTTGGGGATACCTTCGTCTGTCTCGAGGCCTGGTGGGACCAATGTTATGGTTGCTGCAAAGCCCAAGCTTTTGCGAGATTCACATTCGATGCTTGAAGATACGGCACCTTTGTCTTGTCTTGAAAACGTTTGTGAACGAAGCAAGTTCGGAGGTCTCCGATTTGTACCATGTTCCGCACCGGGAAGTTTTGCTTTTGAATTACCTTGCCTCGGTCGCACACTGTCAAGATCCGATGAAAACGGCGTGGTACTAGCTCAAATCACATCGGCAGTCTGCGAAACCGGGACTGAGCCTCCGCCTGTGCAGCCGCGTTGCAGCTGCTCCGCTTCATCCCAAGCTCTGCTCCGAATGGCCGAAGCCCCGAAGCCAACATGTCGACTGCTGCGAGGTGCTGGATGAGTTGCAGAGCCTGGAGCAGCAGAGGCGGGAGTCCAACCGGATTGTCTGTGTGCTCCGGATTCGGGGAAGGCCGCAGGCAGGTTTGGAGGTCAGGTGTTTGCTGCGGAGGGTGTAAATGGATTTGTGATTTCTTTGGCGTGTCCCCAATTCCACAGAGCCGCAGAGTTGTCGGGAAAGCTCCTTGAACCTTCTGGGGTGTGCGCAGTGCGCACCTTGTGTTGGCCTTTGAGAACTGGCTTTGCCTGGTGCTGGAACCTGTCAACTTGCCCCTTCAATCCTGCAAGTATTCCAGTCGTAGGACATCTTCCCCCGAACCCGGGAATCGGGACCAGCTGAAGCTGAAGGCGCGGCACCTTCCGTCGCCTGGAGAGCGAGTTCGACGTCATCGGCAAGGTGGTTTTGAGAGAGAATTTGGTCCTGCAGGGTTTCGTGGCACCGGTCTTCTAGGCATGACCTTTGCGAGCACTGGGTTGGAAGACACCGGAACTTGCTGGACAGTGGTGCTCGCAGCATTGATTTCTTAGAGGCCGCAAGATTCACAGAGAGTTCGGAATGCTGTCATCCTTCCACCCCTTCCGTCCTCCATCCATCCATACATCCATCCATGCATACATGCATCATGCATACATAGATACATACATACGTACAAACCTGTACCTACATACATACGTACACATAGATAAACACCCTGTGAGTTGCTGAGAGCACAATTAAGTAAGTAAGTACTTAAGCAAGCAAGCAGGTACTTAGGTATGTAAGAAAAAGGCAAATAAAACTGAATCGACTTGTAGCTACAGTAACCAACTCTTGTAAATACAAGTAAACTACTTGCAAGATGCACTTACAAACCAACTCACTCGCTCGCTCACTCACTCGCTCACTCAATCCCAAACAACGAACAAACTGTCCAGATGGCGATGCGACAACCTTTACCTCGCAAAATTCACCTACCTGGCTAGCTGACTAGCTAACTAACTAGCTAGCTACATGAGGGTCTGCGGAGATTCACATGTAGCTCTCGATTTAGTTTGCAGGTCTTGTCTCTGTGGGCCTTCCACCAGCGGCAGACGTTGGAGGACCTCTGTGAAGCTCACAGCGGGGTCGATTTACCCTGTTTCGGGCGTGCAGGGGGTTCGTGAGCTTGCACGATTTCAAGCTTCTTGTGGGCTTGAGGTTTCGCAGTCATTTCGAGGGTTGCACGTTTTTTTTCCCACTGTTGTGCAGCAAGCCGAATGTTTTGCCGACTTCGTGCGATGTAGCAAGTACTTGGTTCTTGACAATGTGATGAAGAACGCCGTTGGTTGCGTTGCATACAGCACAAAGACAGTGCCCCACGGCCAAATCTTTAGAATCGGTTTACTTTTGTCGGCTTGGAGCGAAACCTTTATAGCATGCAGTTTCAGTAGCACAGGCAGGCTTTGTGTTTCCGTGCCCCCTTGAACAACTTGGACATAGCTGGGCAGCAGCGAGTGTGGGGATTATGGATGGGTATGCTCATAGCCAGAGCGTACATTGTGCATGAGCAACAAGTGTGAGGTGACATGACAACAGCTACATCATCCATTCCAGACCAAATGTTCTTCAATTGTCAGGACCCGAACCCCGGACAGTGCAGTTCCCTGGCAGTGCTGCGCAAGGCAAGGGCCAGAGGATTGCAGTCTTTTGCAGCCCGATGCCGAAAACGGAGCTGCAGAGAAATAAGCTGCAGACGTCTGCGCATGCTAGTTGTTGTTGATTTTTGATGAAACTGCCTGATTCTCCATATACGCGTGGCCGCACATCGGTTTGGCAGGTGTCATCTCTTCTGCAGTCCCTGTTCCTGAAGCTTCCACCGCAAAGGCTGCTGATGCGGTTAGAGGCAAACCGCCACGTCTCATCCATCTGGTACATGGTATTTTGAGAGAAGCTGTACAATGCCATGTAGCGCAGAAGACCCCTGTGCAACCATGTTCCCTGAATCCGGCATGTGGCATGCGATGCCTGAAAGCCCTAGCTGTCGTAGTTGGACTTAGCATGCCACAAGACTTGAGTGATGTGGCGCGGAGGGGCTAGGGATCAACTCATCCGCGGAGCACATGCAGGCGTGCTCAGTGATCTGCTCGGAAATGGGTCGAATCATACCCGCCATTTCAGGACATGAGGTCCCTGAAAACACTTGGGCGTCTCATGCAGAGGAGTACCAAGAATCGGAGGCTTTGGTCCGGATCGTGCCTCGTTTGCAGAGCAGCTTGGGCTGTGGGACCAGTTCGGAAACACGCATTTTCTCTGCTAGAAGCACATTTTGCACTGCTAGCAGTTCGTAAGGTTGGGGTGGGCTCCGCCAGGCTTTTTACTTGGGTTGGAAACATGCGGACTTGATGTAGTTATGGAGTGTCGCCGACGCCAATTCGGCGAGAGCCGACTCATGGCTACGCGTACAGGCTGCTTCGTTCTTGAGGCTGAATCTCCTCAGGCAGGCAGCTCAAAACACCGACGACATGGCCCCTTGCAACACGGAGTCTGTTCTCCAATCTATGCAAGGCCCATGCCCAACATCCACGCTTCGTGCAAGGCACTGGCGACCGTGCATCAGAACGCGCAGCTGAGGTTCGGTTTTGCCTGAGGGTTTTTAGACACTGTTCGGCAAGTCGAAGCGACCCAGCAGTGTCAGAAACGGGGCTAGTTCGGTTTCTTTCAGTGGTTGTTTAACTGCAAGGGTGAAACTGTTGGACGAACGGACTTCCTATGATCTCTGGAGAAGCGTGTAAGTCACATGCGGCCCTTTGCTGTATTTCCATTTCCATTAGACGGAGGGGCTGCGCTCCTTTGATCTCGCTGCACCCCAACCGTCGCCTCGCAGATCACCAAACATGGGTTTTTGCGCTTTGTCTTGAGTCACAGATTCGAGTAGTGCTGGACTGCCCAAGAGTTCTGGTTAGCAACGCCTGTCAGTGCTAGGCATTTATGCATGAGGTCATACTTGTTGCATTGGACCAGCAGGCTGCAGATGGCGGTCAACTATACCGAAAACAACGTGATTCCGGTCATGGTTGCGTGTCTGCAGGCACCGATTCAGAGTCGGCACATGCACAGGGGAAGGACTCCCCGAATTTATTTTGCAATGCCGGATCTCACGCTAGTAAGAGGAACCCCGTCCTGCCATTGTGAACGGCATTGCTTTGGATTGTCAGCATCAGCCCTGCCGTGTCTGTCTGCCGAACCCGCAACGTCGCCGCGGAGTCGGCATTCCTGACGATTGTGACACTACTCGTACCTCCCGCCTGCCTAATACTTCCTGCGTGATGACAGTTGCTGCTTCGTGGCTACGAGTGCTCCGAGAATGGGGCAGACTCAGTCCCCGAGATAGAGGCCAGACACCTCCTGCGAAATGCTATATCATGTTGCATCAGTCTTCGCTTTTGCCTTGAGTTGTGAGGAGCAAATCGTATTGCAAGAGTGATTCAAGAATGAAGACCGTTTCTTAGTTTGAAGCCTGGCCACTCCTTGTTCGCACGGCGTGGGCCTCAAGAATGTGGCGCCTATCTTGGACATCAGGTGGCTTTTCGACACCTAGCAGAGGAGAAGTTGCCCATCGATGGCTGGTAAGTACCTCGGAGTTCAGAGCCTTTCAAATCCGAAGGGCCCCAGGCTCTAAAAGCCTCGAATTGCTGCAACTCTACTGTCGGCGTTTGCAATTGAAGCTTCTCTCATTTCAGTCTTTCGAGGAACCCACTCATTGACCACACTTAGGATGCATGATTTGACAAAGCGACGAAATATGGCCTTGTCGCTGCCATTCGCATGTCTGATTTCAAGGCTTGTTGGCAACGGCAGAAAGTTGTAGGACTGGACAATGTGAAATGACAAGCTGAACTTGCAAAATCCTGTCTGTCATAAACCTACATGTATAGACCAAGCATCCAAACCTCTTCCTGTGAGAACTTCTGCAAAGCTCGCACCCAGTCCAGACCAGGTCCTACGTCACCTACTGCTTGGAGGCCTGGCGTTGGTGAGATTTGGGTAATCAATGCGGTGGGTTGAGAAATCTAGCTTGGCCTGGCTTGGTGCTTCGGACTGACCCTGCGAAAGCCACACCAATGATCGCTGTCATGAGGATTAACATGTTGCGCTTGACATATGTTGGGTTTACTCTGCCTGCTGTAATCGTCATCGCCATCATCAGCCGCAGCGACTCGATAGTGGGCCTAAATCCTTGAAACGTCTGACTGCTTCTGCATTTCAGCTCAGAAGCTCCCGCCACCACCACGTAAAGCCACTGGATGCCGTTTCACCGCGAGCCCTACTAGTACAGGCCCCCTTGCATTCCTCTCAATCTCATTGCAGGTCTGTTTGCACGTTTTGTGCAGCACCCAGTGTTGGCGACAGTGAGATTGAGGGACAGGATGCTGATCGAACCTAGCTGATGTATCCTTCGTTTTGAGGGACGATTCGGGCTCCCGGATTAGCGCAGACACAGTATGTTTCCTGTCAGCAAGGGAACGCCGGCTTCGGGACGGCGTTCCCGATATATGATCCCGGTTCTCGGTTCACAGACCCCCCCCCCCCCAATGGTATCCCCCCCCCCCACGCTCCCCAAGCCGAATCTGTGTGTCCACACGAGGGCTCATACGCCAAGCAGACCCACGCAGGAAACCCAAACCGCACCACACCACAGGGGGAGTGGGGTAACCAGCCTTAGCAGACCCACTCCCGAACCACACCACACCACACCACAGGGAGGGGGAAGCAACCCACAACCACACCACACCACAGCAGACCCACGCAGGAAACCCAAACCACACCACACGGGGGGAGTGGGGTAACCAGCCTAAGCAGACGCACTCCCGAACCACACCACACCACACCACACCATAGGGAGGGTTAAGCAACCCACAACCACACCACACCACAGCAGACCCACGCAGGAAACCCAAACGGGGGCACAGGGAGGGGGAAGCAACCCACAACCACACCACACCACAGCAGACCCAAACCACACCACACCACAGGGGGGAGTGGGGTAACCAGCCTAAGCAGACCCACTCCCGAACCACACCACACCACACCACACCACACCAGACCCACGCAGGAAACCAAACCACACCACACCACAGGGGGGAGTGGGGTAACTTTAGAACTAAGAGGGCAAAGGACCCTTCCCCAGGGCCTCGGCCGGCAGTGCGACGCTTTTTGTCGCTTCGAGCAACTCTTGTGCCTGCGGTGCAGGACGTTCGGAGGGAGAGGGCCGTCAGGAACCTTCAAGCTTTACACTGGTTCCAGAATTCTTCTTATCTGTACATTCCCTCTCCTCAATAAAAGTCAACTTCAGCCCGTTTCGGACTGTTCTCCACCACTGGTCTGGTTTGAGTGGTTTGGTCAACATATCAGCTAACTGTGCCCAGGTCGGCACCCAAACGATCTTTCCGTAATTGGAAAGATCTTCCCGAATCCCCGCAAGGTCTATTGCGAGACGCTTGCACGAGGGAACTCGTGGGACTCCGTCCCGCGTGAGGTGATCATATAGGCTCCTACAGTCAGTGATAAAACGGATTGCCAAGCGGGAGCGCTTTCGTTCGAGCCTTCCGGTCAGCAACGTCTCAAGGAAACGTGCAATGTAGTCCCCGGTCTCAGTAGCCGTTGAGCAGCCCATTGTCTCAGCCGAGAAGGTTGATCGACAAACTCGGTCACACGCTCCACTTCGCCAATCAAGGATGCTCCCGTGGCATTCTTCTCCATGTAGAACTCGTCGGTCGGCCAAGATGTAGAGTCCTCCGAGCTGGGAGGTGATCGAAGAGTTCGCCTTCTTGGCCTTCGCGTCCTTCCTTGCAAATGGCCCGTCGAGGATCTGTCCTGCCAGGTCCTCTTCGGTGGTGAGGCTGTAGTAGGGGTCCTCCTGGTTCTGGGGGACGTTGGCCCAACCCGCATCGTGGTAGCAAAGGAGGACCGCATGGTCGAGGTCAACGGGGTGGAACTCCAGGCCATTCTCCTTATGCTCAATCGCTCTCCGGGCCAGCTGGTTCGTGAAGCGAATGTCTCCAGCCGTAGGCTCCTTCTGTCTTTGTTGGCTCATCGACACACCAACCTGCAAGTCAGGACGTGACTGGCTAGCCATCCATGAGAGAGCTCCGATGAGAGACATGTTATCATGTCTCTGCGTCTCAGTGGCCTCGTAGTGGTCCGGGATGTCCTTGTCAATCTCGACCTCGAAAAGACGTGTAGCCGTGTAGCTGGCCTGGGAGATCTTGACGAGGTTCTCCTTGATCTCAATGTAGGACCCAACGTAGTCAAACTTCTCGGACTCCCACTCGCGGATGGGCAGGAGTCGGCTGATCTCCGCTTTCAGGACCTCGCACAACTCGTTGTCCCCAATAAGGAGGACGTCGTCAACGTGTACTCCGAGATAGGCCTGTGGTGGGCCTAGCTCTTCATCGTCAGTCCCCTCTCCAGAGACCACTTCCTGCACCATAAAGATGCAGTGATCCAAGCTGCTCTGCACCACTTTCCACTTCTTCCCTTTGCAGTCGACGCGAAGGGATCTCATAGTCTTGCGGAATTTATTCCACCAGGCAGCAGGTGAATCTACGAGGCCAAAGATGGGCTTTCGGATCCGCAAGAGTTGCTCAGGATGTAGGTTCCCGAGCCCAGACCTGGGCTGCTTCAGGTACAGTTCTCGCTTTAACTGTTCTCCGCACAAGAAAGCTGCTGTCACATCTCCCGCGTATCCTTGCCATCCATGTTGGAGGTTCGAGGCAAGGATCTGGAGAAGCAAGAGGATGCCCTGTCTGGAGATGGTGGGAGCATGGGTCGGAAGCCCCTTGAGGAGGTCGGGGTCCTTGTGTCCACTGATGACCAGCCTCGCTTTGTGCTTCCAGCCAACATCTGGTTGCTCTCGTCTTCGACTCCATAGTTTGTCTCGGTAAGCGAACCTGCTGTTGAGCACGCGGTCGGGTTTGTTCTTCAGGATATCACGGCTGTCCTCGACCGAGAGGGGGGTCGAGGGCCTCATGCTCGACGTGTTCTTCCCATTGACGAAGTTCGGCGTCCTTGAATCCTTGATGCTGCTCCGGCGGGATCATCGACCATGGAAGCTCCTTCTCGAGCGCCTTCTCTCTGCCTCTCGGTGTCTTGGGCAGCTTCATCATGTAGGTGTCGTGGGTCGTCGCGGCTGCAACCTGAGTCTGTGGCCCTTTCGTCCGGTGACGCTTCGTCACGGGTTGAGCGGGTGTCTTGTCCGCTCCACGGCGAACTCCACCTTGTTGGTGTCCGTCGGGATCTCCAGAGTCTTCTGGTTGAAGGCCGTGATCGTCGTCAAGCTCCATGTCCTCGCCTTCATACATGTCCTCGTCGCCGAAATCTTGTTCCAGAAGACGCTGCAAATCATCTTGAGTCGCCCTCATACTGAAGGCGGCGCCCAACTCTTCAGCACTCGCCGTCCGGATATGTTCGGGGGCGACGAGATGGCATCGGCCCGCAAAGGAGACCCAGATGTTGGGACCTTCCTTTCCAATCACAACACCAGGTCCATGCCACTCCCAGTTCTTGTTGTTCTTGGGTTTCCTATAAAAGAAAACGTGGGCCCCTTGTTGAAGTTCAGGCCCGGCGACTCTGGAACGTTGAAGGAGGGAACGGCGGAGCCTCGAGTCGTTCTGGCACTTGAAGTAGGCTTCTTTGGCTGAAATCCGGAGGGAATGCTCTCGGGCGCGGAGCCGGTCATGACTCACGATGTGCTCCACCTGCTCGTCCTGTGGAGTCCCTCGGAGCTCTTCTGGGAGGCGAGGGTCACGTCCCCAAACGGCTTGCGATGGACTAAAACCGGAGTCCCGACGAAGGGTGTTCATGGCGGTGTTGGCCGCCGTGATGATCATGCCCGCTTCCTCAACGGACGCTGACCATTCGTCCACCAATCTTCCCCAGATCTCCTTCCAGGTTCTGATGGCCCTCTCGACAGCACCATTTTCCCAATGTGCTTGTCCAGCGATGGCGCGAATCTTCGTGCCATGCCACTCGCTAAACCTTCCCAAGCCAGCCTGCAGACCGCTCTCCAGATCCAAGATCATTGTGCCGGGTGCTCCGAAAGTGTTGCTCCAAATCGAGCAAAACGACGCTTCCATAGCCGCTCCGGAGTGCCCTTGGAGTTCTCCCGCAGATATAAAACCCGTCCCAATGTCGATCACCATCATGAGCTCGACCTTCTCGCCGTCACAGTCGTACACGTAGAACGCGTCCACCGCCACCATCTGGTTGAATTCCAGTAAGTTGGGGAGGGTCGCGGGCTTTGCGCTCGAGCCTCTTTGGTTCCTGTGACAGACTTGGCACCGCAAACGTTTGCATGCTTCCACAACTGACGAATCTGCCCCAGCCAGACGCAGATGCCGTGCAAGATCAAGATTCGAAGGATGACCCAGGTTCTGGTGCAAACGCTTCAAAGACGACGTCACCTCGGGAGCAAGTGTCTTCCCCTTTTCAAACGAGATAGCCTCGGCACCACGGGGTTCTTCACGAGAAGGTCCTTCTGATCCTGTCGCCCCACCGCCGTCTAGGGTGTTCGTCACGTAGGCCTCGGCACCACGGGGTTCTTCAAGAGAAGGTCCTCCTGATCCTGTTGCCCTTTTCTTGTCTGGGTGACACACGTAGTCGACGAACTCAGGGATGTCCTTGTCGAAATGGGAGACGCTCTCGCTTCCGTTCTCGTCGTTGAAACGTAGAACATTGGACTCGCCGTCGCGGCGATGGTACTTCTCCTCGTGCTTCTTCAGCAGATCTTGTAGAGGATCTGAACTCCAAACAGGGTCACTGTCATCGGCCTCGATAGCCAACTGCCTTCCAGCCGCGACGTGGTCGTGGAGTGAAGGAAGCAAGCCCTTGAGGAAGCCGTCCGGCTGTTTCCCATGAAACCAAATCACCTCGGGGACGAAGTCGGTCATCATCTTGTTGACGTTGGTGACGTTCTCCTCGAGGGTGGCCTGCGGATCGTACTCGTAAGGCTCAAGCATCGCAAAAGGGAGGCCCCCATGCTCGACAGTCTTAGAGATGCCGCCAATCTCAAAAAGGGTCACCGCATCTGGTCCTCGGGAGAGCGGGTAGTTCTCGGTGAGGCACATAGAGGCTGCTGCGGTGCACCATGTCGTCAAAGAAGCCAACCTCGCTGCAGACTTCCACAGAGACTTCCGTGTACTCTTTCGGGGCCTGGGTGCCTGTGTAGTTCTGGTGTCCTCGTCTCCGGTGGTGGTAGATCGCGTGGGGAGGCCTCGTAGAGGAAACCGCAGATGTCGAAGTTCATCTCGAAGCTGTGCGTCGGCCTCCCGGAAGTTCCTTGTCGAGAAACATGACAAAGTCCATCGCTCCCCTTTCCACGCCTGGGTGGCGTGTTTGGTCTTGCCGTCGAAACTAATGGGATGTTCTTTCGTGTGGTGGGTCTTCCCACAGAGGACCGTTCCGTCCGGAGCTTCCCGTAGTACATCCCCATCATCGTCCTGAAGCCACAAGTCGCCGCCCTCGAAGTCGCCAAAGGTTACGGTGGTGACCTTCGTGCCGGGGAGGTTGTGAACGTCGGCGTGGACCTGCGTCGCCGTGTTGTGGAAGATCACGAAAGAAGTCCAAGCGCCTTGGAATTTGTCTCGGGCAAAGGAGTTCACATACTTCACTGTCCACGGTAGCAATTTGTTGCCGCGCGCGAGGCCGTAGAACTTCCCATAGGTGAACATGCCCCCCAGAAAGTACTGAGTGCATTCTCCTCCACCACGGTTCGATCCCCTTCTCCCCTTGACGGTCTTCAACGGGATAAGCTTCACAACTTCAAGGAGGTCCTCGTAGGAGAAGAGCTTGAGGCCGAGCTTCGTTTTGGCGAGGTCCTCACATTGGGAGCTTTGCTGAGCAAGGGTGGTGGCATTGACTCCGTGGGGCTCACGTTGGACTACGTCCCCACTGCCCGCAGAGTTTATATCATCTGCATGGTGCCGCTCCGTGCACCGAGTCCACCTCACCATGATCGCCCTTGTAGAAGAACTCGTCAATGTCCTGGTCGTCAATCATCTCCTCTTCGTTCTTCAGCTCAGTTTGCTCCGAACCGTTCCCTTCCTCGCACTCGTGGAAGATCTCCTCGACGTAGTCCTCCTCGACCTTCTCGTTGCAACCGTTCCCGCCGATCAGTTCCACGTGCGTGGTGCAATCCCATGTTGATCCCGAAGGGCTGCTAGGCGGGCCTCCAGGTCCAGAACCTCGTCGACCACCTCCTCGGGGACGTCCTGCTCCATGTTCGCACGTCCGGGTCCCATTGCCATCGTCGCCGTCCTCCTTGTCGCTGGGGACCTTCCGGGAGTAGCTGCCTTCGCCTTCGGCTGGGTTCCGTACCCCGGTCGCGCCGGGGAGCTCAAACTTGACACCTCGTCCCAAGACGCCATCGACGGAGCCTCCTCGACGTAGGGGATCGTGGCATTCGCTTCGGGATCCAAGTAGGTCGGGTCCCTCGTCGAGCTGCTCGCGCGGTTCGCCGTCTCGGTCTGCCGGTGTAGCTCCCCTTGCCACCAATTTGCAAACATGACCAAGTCGTCCGACGGATTGTCGTTGGACTCCACTTCCTTGATGGCCCATTGGCGATATCCCACAGGGGTCTCGGCGAACTTCTTCCCTTTGAACCTCCCGAAGGTGAGCAGTGACTCTGCTCCCATACCGTTCTGGTCCCTCAAGATGCGCATGATCGTCCCCTTGGTGGCGCACGGCGGCAGGGCATAGCCGAGGGTCTTCGCCTTCTCCTTGAGCTCGTCCACCGACATACGACTCATGCCCGAGACCGTCGGGGCCTGACTGGAGCTCGCCTTGCGGTCGTCTTGGATGGCCGATCGGATCTCCTGCACCGTCCAGGACTCGTGAAACCAAAGGTTCCGTGCCCTCGCCTCGGCGATCAGTTCGCCCTTGGTGAACTCCCACAAGGTCTTCGGCCTGGTCACCATGGGGGTCGTGAACAGCGGAGAGCTGGAGGCCATGATCACCGGGGGTCGCGGAATGAGGGAGCACTGGCATCGATTGTCGTCTATGAAAGACAGTTCTTCCGATCCACAACATCGGAAACACAGATTGTTCTTGATCGTCGCGCCATGTCCCGTGCACATCAGGATACTGTCTAAAAGACTTGCAGGCAATGGCTTGTACAGTCCTAACTTCTCCAAGAGTTTGTAGTAAACGCTCCTTCTGTTGACGGTGTTGAGTGTTCCAATTTCCAGGATTGAAAAAGGTCCTCCTAGGGATTACGTGGACGCGTACAAGAACATGATCTCCTTCTATCCAAAAGTCGTTCGTAACGTTGGTACGCTGCCACCAGTTGGTGAAGGTCTCTGCGTTAAAGCTCTCATCGAGGAGGAGGTTCTTTGTGACAGCCGCAATCTTTTTGGGGTAGAACACGTTTGGGTTATGCTTGTAGGGAATTGGTGTAGTCGTAGGAGAAACTTCTGGTTGAGACAGGGAGGTACCTGTAGAGTTCGGGGTTGTAGTACTCTGATGAAGGATCCCGTCCAAGGTGGTGGTAGTAGCAGTAGTAGAAGAAGACGTAGTAGGGAGTTCACCGCATCCACCAAACTCATCACCACATGTAGTCATCCAACTGACAGCGCAAACCTCCGAAGACGAAGTAGCCCGCCATCCACCATGATCCGAAGCAAAGCCCTCCCGAAGACAACCCTGCGCAGAGTCCATGTATTGTCCACTCTTCGAGAAGATGCACACTTCGCACGCTCCTTCATTCGGAGACGGGCGGTAGGATGGAGGCAAAGGAGCTGGGACAATAGGCACTGCAGGGTGCCCGGTCTCTGTTACGGTCAAGCCCATGTCCTTCACCTTGACATTCCGGAAGGAGGCTGTGTTGGCCGCAACATCCATGATCATCCCGAGTGCGCCCAGTGCCGGGCGCGAGACAAGGAGGGGGACTTCCCCGTTCACCACCGCCACCTTCAGCGTGACAGTGGAGTCGCCCAAGGTAAAACAGAGGATCACCGCGTAGCTTGCCATGAAAACCCGCGAAGCTCCGAATCGAAAAGCCTCTTTGCAAGACTCAAACTTCGGCTCGCAGCCACGGCGGCGAGCTTCTTCCACATATCCATCCACCCATCCGGTGCCAGCCACTGACTTCGAGCAGGCAGTATCTGTGATCGCAAGGAGACGCGGGACATCCTGTTCTCCCAGATCCCACGTCACGTGGACCACGTGGCAGGGGAAGTTCGTCTTGGGGGCATCCCGATTTCCTCCGCCCGGGTGGCTGCCCTGTGTGGCCGCCGTTGTGGTAGCCGACGAAGCACCTGCTGCTGCTCCTTTGTTCAAGGGGCAAACCGCGTCCTTGTGCCAGTGGCCGCGCCTACGGCAGCCCGAGCAGAATGACTTCGCCTTGGCCATCTTCAATTTCTCGGCCGCCAGTTGCCGAAGAGCATCTGGATCGCTTCCCCTCAGCTTCGAGTTCTCGCGGTAGCGCTGCTTGGCCGTCTCGTGAGTCATAAAAGCCTCGTACAAGTCGTGGGCGACCTCCTCCGGGACGCCCTCGTCCTCGTCGGCCTGGTCCTCGGCGCCGTTGTCGCCGAAGAAGTCGTCGGGCTTCGCCATGTTCGCTGAGTGAGGTTTCTTCGGTCCCCAGGTCCGCTTAGGGTTGCCATTCGAGGCCTCCCAAGGTTTGCGTAGGCCTCGAGAAGGGACTTCAAGGAATACTGGTTCCCAACTGAAGCCAGCAAATTGAGTTCAGCATGCTCCTCGAGCCCCATTCTGTCCACGAACACCCAAGCCGCAGCGACGTCCGGAAGCTGACATCCAACTTCCGATAGCCTTGCGTAGGCCCTGTCAAAGTCGGCCATGTACTCTCGCATAGGCTGAGAAGGTTTCTTCCGCAATCTGCGGAAGAAGTCAGAGAGACTTCTCCCCACTTGCGTCACCTGCACGTCCAGGTAGCGGTCCTTGATCCAAGAAACCAGGTAGTCCACGCCATCGACGCTGCCCAACTTGTCCATGTCCAATCTTTCCGCATCAATCCAGGCCCTGTCGGTGAGATGCTGGTAAAGCGTGAGGCCTTGCTGGTCCTTGGACATCCGAGTCATACGACGCCATGCTGACACCTGACGAAGGTACGACCTCGCGGAGGATCCCAGGTCGTCGCCCTCGTCATTCACATTGCCAGAGAAACTTGGCACGATCATCTTCTCAGAAGGCCCCCTGGGGCCATCGCCGAACCGAGGACCCTTGTAGTCGGTCCCACCTTGGCCGTCCGTGGAAGGCCTCCAACCGTCGGGTTGGCCGTCTTGGAAGCCCATACTTCTCGAGTCCCCGGTGGAGTCGCGCCGGCCCCAATGATCCGAAGTGGACTCTTTGGAGTCTCGGTCGGGGCCACTTCCGTCTGCTGAGCCCGGTCCCGTAGATGTGCTGGCCCAGCCTCTCGTATCATCCCAGCCAGTGTAATCGCCGTAGCCATAGCGTTGATCCCAGGCCCACCTGGAATCAGACCAGCCATGCCCGGCTCGCCCCCAGGAGTGATCCCATTGGCGGTTCTGCCAATCATTTCCACTCCAAGCGTCCCACTTGTGGTTGGGACCCCACTGCGTATTCTGTTCCACTTGATCATCACATGGAGGAGTCGGACGTCCGACGGGTTGAGCACCATCACGCGCAGCATCACCATCACGCTGCGGCGAATCGTCATCAGGAACGTTAGTAGTAGAAGGACAGGAGTGCGCATAGAAACTCGTCGGGCCAGGAGGCGCCATAGCCCGAAGGACAAAACTACGTACAAAAAACTAGCTCCTGGAGCGCCGCTCCGCTACCAATTTAGAACTAAGAGGGCAAAGGACCCTTCCCCAGGGCCTCGGCCGGCAGTGCGACGCTTTTTGTCGCTTCGAGCAACTCTTGTGCCTGCGGTGCAGGACGTTCGGAGGGAGAGGGCCGTCAGGAACCTTCAAGCTTTACAGTAACCAGCCTAAGCAGACCCACTCCCGAACCACACCACACCACACCACAGGGAGGGTGAAGCAACCCACAACCACACCACACCGCAGGAGGGGGAGGAGGAACCATTGGGGGGGGGGAGGCGGGGGGGGCGGCCGAACCGGGATCATATATAGTCATCGTATCGAATGTCCATTCGTGTTTTTATCCTGCATCCCCACAAAGCCACCCAGAGCCTGATTCCAGCCAACCCTTAGAACCGAAAGTCCCGCCGGCCTACGCACCTGTTCGCATGCCATCTGGAGGCAGAACAGGCCAGATTCGGGAGAAAGTGGGAAGCCCACTGAGGTCGCACTGGTCTTGTCTCAGAGCAGCTCAGACCAAGGCCTGCACTTAAAGGGAGGAGGGTTTGGCCAATCCGGGTTTCCGAGTTCTTGGGCCATGGCACTCACGCAATCTCACACACACAGGCATCTCGAATCACTTAGTTTCGCTTCGCTGCAGCCCACAGGTCTGGGACACTCAAGCAGCTTGAGTTTGCTGACCTCCGACCTCCAGTCAAGAAGCCCAAGAGCTCAACCTAACCGTCAACCCTGCAACGCTGAGAAATTCGAGGGGCCGCAGTAAGCTTGCTAGGACGATGCTCCGCGCGAAGAGCAGAATTACTCAACATTGACACGCAGGTTTTCTAAAGAAATCAGCAGGCGTCGGCGTCGGTTGCTGCGTTGTTCGTAATCTACCAGACAGTCCATGTGCAATGTGGAATGCCCGCAGCCACAGGCGGAGGCTCTGGACCCCGGGGCGGCGCCCGTTCGCCTTGCATCCGCAGGCCATTGCAACGCATCGGATGTGGAGCAACTGTAAAATCCGAAACACCGCAGCCAAACTCTCATGGAGCTACAGATCTAGACCGCAGAATGGCCATGACTCATGACCATATACGGTCAACAACCATATCGCCATATTCGTGTTGCGCTCCAGTGCCAAGCTTGACATGCTTGGCCAATCTGCACCGTCGGTTGTCATTCTTGCTGTACAGTCGCCCGTCCGTACGCAACTTGCCCAGATGGGTTTGAAGTGGACTGGTTCAATTTTGTAATCACCTCTTCCGAAACCGACTGAAGCCTTCAGCGCTGCTGCCAGGGGTCGTCGACGTCCTTGCCGAGCTCATCGACGCACCGGCCGCCGGCGTGGAATTGTTCTGACCTCGATGAGAACTTCAAGCCCAGCAGTTGGTATCAACACAGTTCGCCACGATCGTGCTTGCAACGTTCACCACCGACTATGGTTACCAGATAATCTTTTTACGAAACCTGCCAGGTGTATAAAGCAAGTACTGGAGATTAGAACCCAGCGCCGGGGCGTAACTTGCTGCACGTTGGTACATCAATGCATACCGTAGGGCTCAAGAGCTACTGATTAAAATGTATCAAACTGACATGAGCTTGTTGACTTAGATGATTCACGACTTCCTCGTCACAGACTGACGGTGTTCCTCTCGATGTGATTCTTCCAAGATCTGAGCACCCCCCCGGCCCCCCCCGGCGGGCAGGACGCAGCCAAGCGGCGAACCACCAACGAAGCTGTAATACCCTGATGGCCCGAGGGGGTTCCATCCCAGCCCAGCTGTCAACTGCGAGCTCCAAGGAGAGAGACACCCTCGGCGGCAGTGGTGCAGAAGGCCCGGAAGGTTGTGTTGAGGCGCCATTTCGCTTCTGCCTTAAGCTGTCTGCTTTGAGTATCAGGGTGTGGCTGGTCAGGTATCAGGTCCCGACGTCACGATAAGCTCGGTGCGGTCGTACTTGCTTGCTCTGGTTTTCGTCTTCTCCCTCAGCAACAAACCTTTGGCCCGGCGCTTCCACGAAGGCGAGTGAGACGCTGCACGCGCTGTTCGAGCGGAATGGCCACATCTGTCTGTTCTGCATGAAGCACTACACAGAGGCTGGTCCGAACTTTGCAAGTGAAAGGCCGGCGTCCTGGATTGACGGGACTCCGGAAGCAGCGAAGCCTGACAAGCGTACATCCGAGCCCGCCACGCAGGTGAAGCAAATTCTGCTGGTAGGTTGCGAAAGTTGGGGCCTCAGTTCAAGGTAGGATCCTTTTCAACGAGTCTGGCGTCAGATTGATGGGCACTGGGTGGGTCACGAGCCATTTGCGTGCCGGAGCTCGGTGGGACTTTGATGAGCTTCGGAACTGATCTGCCGTGTGCGGCTTCGTAGTTTTTGCAAGATACGGGCCACGCAAGGCATGGGGCGCCAAAGAGCATTGGATCCTGCACGCCGCATATCCGAGCAAACAGTGCAACCGCGCCAACATTTTCCAGTATTCCGTCTAAACTCATCCAAGTCGGTGCCGAACCAGACCGCTGGGCTGGAAGACCACAACTTTTCAATCCACCCCCCTCCTTCCAAACAAAAGAATCGAACGCGCCTCGTATACTCGTGCTGACGAGAACGAAAGGCCAATCGCGTGGCCCGGCTAGCTAGGACTTTGGAACTCTGGACTTTCTGAGCGGTTTGAAGGGAAACATGGCAACAACATGTTTGTTCAGTCAATTCGGCATCCCCGTCACCGTCGTACGGCGCCGCCGCAGGACAGGTTTGCGACGAGAATTCCCATCTCTTTCTTTCTTCTGCAGTGAACACAAGAACCGGAGCCAGAGTGTTGACACACCCTTGGACCCTTGGAGAAAAAATGACAAGAGACGGAGGAAGGACCACGTTCCGGGAGGCATCGTGTCCGATCCTCTCAGCGACCATCCTCAGATGCAACAGGAGGCCAGCCTCGCTTGTGATCCAACCGTTTCACGGGATGAGAAGCTATTCTTTCGGGTGCTCTGACGTTAGAGCTTTAGGGATCACAGTGTTCTCAGGGTTCGGCACGGCACAGCAATCGCTGCATTCGGTTTCGGTAGCCTTTGCTGAGCAGAGCAAAACTTACCAGAGCACATTGGTAAACCACTTAAAGGACCCCAATGCCATCATGATGGCGGTGGTCGCAATGCTGCTGCTCTTGTTGCTGCCGCGGCGGCTGCTGCTGCTGGTACTGTGATGATGGCAATGGCGATGGCCGATTTCGATGGCGATGGCGACGTAACCTTGTTGGTGGTGGTGATGCTGAGAATGAGGATGACGACCTTCGACTTCTCCTTCCTCCTCCTGCTTCTCGTCCTCGGACCATGGCCATCAAGAACTTTCAGCGGTTGGCCCTTGCCCTGAGCTGCAACTGTACACCCTTGAAGACAGGCGATAGAGCTCTTCTCAGCGGCCTTCGAAAAGTTTGCCATGAAGGCCTCTGCTGCATAAAGTCAGGCTTCTAGAGCCTCACATAGGAGGACTGGAGGTTTTTAGCCTTGGGCCGTCGTGTTTGCAGAGTCTGCGAGATTCACTTGGCTTTTCATGCGGTGCTTGACAAACCGCTTGTGGGCAGAGGACGAGCGACTGGGCAGGAAGTTGCTGAAGGCATGCGTGCAGAAGGTTGCAGGTTGATGTTCGGGAGCTAGTCGGGCAAGTGAACTTTCTGCTGGATGCATTTCTGACAGGATCTTTAACTGTCACCTGTTTTTTGCGATGTTGTGCCTGCGGCACTTAGCAGTCCCGCCGGGCCTCCGTTGTGACGGTGCAGTGTTCAACTCTTGCCAGACCATGTTGGGATGGCATGGCTTAAGAGGCGCTCCTGCCACAATTTGATTCCCGTGAGCAGTCAGCTGCACCTCGTTCGGCTTCACAGGCTAGGGCAGATCAATTGACACCAAAATCATGATGACATGGAAAGTAGTGGGATCCTGGAGAGCTGCCCAGAAGACCATATATCCTTGTCCACGAATGAATGAACTTCCGGTCTTGCGCCACTTGAAGCACGGCTGTGCGCCTACCATATACTTCCCGTGAGGCCCTGACAGTTCTGTTCGAGTCCTCTTACCAGTTGGTGGTGTGGCCAGATGCCCAGACGTAAGACTCGCAGCAGCAACGACGACACTCACCACGGCTTGCAAAAGAGCGCAAAGCAAGTAGGCGTCCGGTAAGATCTCGATACCTCGTTCCTTTCAAGAATCAGCCGCTTTTAGCTGGCGAGGTTGACGGATGCAATGCACCATGCAAGTAGCTTTAAGTTATTCTTTTTTTGGAGACGACAAAGCGAGTTCTTTAGGGTAGTCGGGAAAGTAACCGTACCTTGGATCCCACACTCTTGCTGCTGCAATGTGCCCTCGGTTCTGTTCCTAATATCCACTCGCACCCAGGGCAAAAACTTTTCCTGACTAAGCAGTGCCAAGCGCACAACGATTCTACTCGCCACAGAGGGTATAGGACTCATAGGACCCCCATCAGCCCTTAACGCGATTGTTTGGGCGAGGTTTCTGCAACAGCACCCTCTCGGCTCTCTCTCGGAGACGCACAGTGCGGTGCTGAAGCCCGGAAGCGGCGCAAAGGCATCGGTTAATAGCATTGAGGGCAGGTGTGCAGCCTCTTGGAGGGGTCTGACTGTAGGGAGCTGTAGGGTACCTGCCGCAGGTAGACAGAACAGAGTGTAGAGATGATGTATGATGTTGGAAACGGTGGCGAAGCAGGCCTGAGAATTGATGCCTAGCCTGGGGCATCCTAACGCTGAACCTGAATACTCGGGTAATCTGTTTTCGAGTTCATTTCCCCGAGCTGAAATCTCTAAAGCCCTCCGGACCCTCTTGATCTTGAGGTCTCGACGCGCATATTGAGGCCGTCCGGGTCGGGCCCTTGGAGGGAGGAAGAGACCTGCCAAGCCGCGTGACTTGGAATCGCGCCTCGGGTTCGACTGGTTTCCGGGTCGACATTCAAAATACGCTATTTATGGAGTAGTGGATGGCATCGTAAGGGTTTCAGGGTGCCGCAGCATGTCTCTAGCGTTTCGCGAGAGAGCCCAGCTGAGGCTGTAGCGCGTGCTGGCTACTGGTCTGCTGAGGTCACTTCGGCTGAACTCATGTTTCTTCTTCCATAGTAACGGTGGCCTCGTAGGCATATCGGCTTCGGAAATATTCAGGATGTCGAATCGGTGCACCGGCATCTGTCCATGTCATGAGCACCTGAACCATCCGAAGCCCTGCCTCCGCAGCTCCCGAGGACGCTCCACTGTTGCCTGAGTTCGTGGCCACTCCGCCGCAGAGACAAAGCAACGGTTAGTTGTAGCAACTTCGGCGGGCCGGAGATCGCAGGGCAGAGAGGTAGTTGCATTGGCAGGCTCATGCCAACTCAGCCGCAATGAACTCCGATTTCAACCGAGAGTTTCGCCGCAACGGCTTTGAGCCTTCAGCCATTTCAGTATCCAAGCAATTGAAATTGAGGCGGCGCTTGTCTCTACCATGTACGATGCAGTGGAGGACCTCTGCATTTTTGAGGGTTGTGATGCCCAGATGCTCAAACTTTGCAAAGCCAGGGGCACCTGGACTTCTCGAAGCCTCCTGGTGGCTCAGGCTGCCGTGCCAGGCTCTCAAAAGCTCTCAAAAGCTTGTCGAAGGCCCAGGGATTTTTCTGATTTGACTGACCCAAACATGCTAGGTCATCGACCTCACCGAAGCAGAAGAGGCGTTGGCACGTCTGTAGGAGAAGTGATGGAGAAGTGATGCAGCAGCGAGTTGTATTTTGCAAGAACTGTGTGCGTCTAGAGTTTCATTTCAGACCTGCAGCCCCATGCTTTGGACAGATCGCTTCGAGCTGTACGTCGTCTGTGCTCCATCTGATGCTGCACACCGGCTCGTTTTATTTGGCAGGGCAGTGTAGTTTTCAGCGGGGTGACGGATCGGATGTGAAGCGACCGATCAAGTCTTGCTTGTTCAGCTACCGTACGCTCTGACGCCTGCAAGGATAGACCCATCACCGCCAACGGTGCAGCGATGCCTGGCAGACTGTCTCGGCGCGGGGCATTGCTAGGGGAAGGGTTCAACTCTTTCTTTGGTGTCCGGCGGTACCGCCTGATGGCCTCAGTTTGAAGAGACTCAGCGTTTCGTCGATTCACCATGTGTTCAGGATGTTGGAGAATGAAGGCTTTCGCGTCATTGTGGTCTGTGTTCTGGTCTGTTTACTTCATAGGCTGGACAGACGCATTTTCTACGCCGAGTTCATTCACGCGGTCTTGCCCCAACTCTACAGACCTTTGGTAGGTTGAGCACTTGACTACAGCGATCACACGCATGAAACGTTCTGCACTCCACACGAAGCTTACAGATGTGTTGCGTGTCATTGTCCAGGTAAGCGTCTGACACGCAAGGGAAATGCTGGGTATCCCGCCCGCGCCTTATCTGCTCGCCGTGCCGGCACGTCTAGCCGCCTCCAGCCTAGGACGATCTCGGAAGTTGTACAGATTGGGACTGCTGGGCTTGCAGGGTGTTTCTTGTGGTCACTGGCAAAGGGGTCATGTTCTTCTTATTTTTGACATAGAGCATTCGGCAGCTTGATATGGTGTAGAGCTAGACTGCCAGACCCTGCCAGCGTCGTCCCGATAGCATCGTTCAGGCAAGAAAGGTGTTACTGCAGGTGACTAAGTAAGATGCGTTGTTGGCCTTCCTCCACAGGCCCAGGAGAAGACCGAGGATCTGCCTCCTCTGGAAGACGCCGGGGGCTCGTGCAAAAGCCTGCGACAGTGCGGGTGCCGGCGCTTTCATGATAAACGCCATGGTGGCTGTCCGTCAACGACACAGGGGCATGAGGTCTCAGCCCACATCGTACGCCGCTAGTTGATTGAAGCTGATAACTTGAAGCCCTTGAGACTCAGGTGGAGGCGAGCGACGCGCCCAATTCCGAGGAGGCGGTCAACACGGTCATGAAGATCATGCAGGCGACGGCATTAAGCCACTTATGTTCTCTCTCTCTCTCTCTCTCTCTCTCTCTCTTTCTCTCTCTCTCTCTCTCACACTGGGTTTGTGTCTGTGTTTGTGATTGGGCGAGGAATCGCTTGGGGTGTTCACGGTGTTAAGATGTGCCAAGGTTCGATGCCGAGATACTGGGTGTGAATTCAAGCGCAGACTTCAGCCAGTCCTTGAGGTATTCCCGTCGTCTGACCGGCTCCAGATGAACTGTCAGCACATCCTGACTTCGCTGCTGGGTGAATGAACTTTTTCCTGGAGGCGGTTGTGTGCCTGGCAAGTAAGAGCGAGTTGAGTCGAACCAGCCTATATGTGGCTGCCGGAGGAGTGTTCAGAGTGTTGCGCGGCTAGAAGATTGAGGAATCATTGTACTTGCCAGTTCCCACTCTGCTGCTGATCTCGGCAGCAACACCCGAAGGGGAGTTTCGACACTTTCAGCAGAATGCCGAATGCATATTGATTGAAAGATGAGATGAGCCCTGCATGCACGTTCGCCAGCTGCACCGCCAGACAGGGTTTGGAGCTTGGGCTGTGGTGGCAGATTTGTGATAATGCGGTCGGTGTCCCATCCATGGCCAGTCGATGGCGCTTCAGGATCTTGGACGCCGCGCAGTTTCGCATGAAAGGGCTCCCCTCATTGCCTACAGCTAGACATAGTCGTGAGGTCGAGACGTTGGTGCACTGGCGGGTGCTTGATTCGCCTTGTGCTATCTTGTAGTAGTGTCCTATTTGTAGCACTATACTGCACAAGGAAAGCCTTGCCTCTATCAGAACTGCCTTGATTTCTTGATGCTGCAACCTCTGCTTGAAAGTCTGTCGATGCTACAGGCGTTGGGAAGAAAGGTTTCAGGCACTCCTCGGTTCGGTCTTGATGGTGCAGCGTGAATATCGCGCAACTCCGTCGAATCAAGTTCTAGATCCATAGCCCAGTACATTGCGAACCACCGGACAGGAATCTTGGCATTGCTGGTGCAGCAAAGAAGGACTATATGGTCCTAAGCCTGTGACAGACTGATGAGACCTCGTAGCTTTGCAGGGGCAGGGCCCCGTAGCTGCTGCAGCCAACCTCCACAACACCAAACTGAACCTTAGATCCTGTAAACAATCACACGCCCTTGCGAACCATGCGCTGAACACCAGTGCGGTCTTGCCCTCAGCTGTGCAGGCGGGCGGAAACATGTGGCGCGCAATCGGAGTAGGGACAAGTTAGCAGTCACTAGCGGCCGGGTCAGGCCGTAGGATTGAGGGATATTTGCCCTTCGAGACGCGTCTGGAGAATACTTGTAAAGCCACTGTATGTTGATGGCTTCCAGCATCCCAGGTCCGAAAATGGCGTCTAGCAGCCCGGCCATAACCTTGCAGAAGATAGCAGGACGAGCCGGTCTACAGTCCAGCGCTTTGTAGATGCCGAACACGTCACAAGCAGTCTGCCGCTGCAGGCAGCGTCTGCAGCTTGGTGAGATAGCTAGTCATCCTTGCTCAAGCAGCTCCACCTGCAAGGAGACTGCATCAAATCAGTGCGGTCGATTGTTCCTCCGGAAAATGAGGAGGAAGCAATCGATGCTCGGCCAATTACATGCTGGTGTGGCAGGCCTTTGAGTTCGGTTGCAATTGTGCATGTTCGGTTTGAGGTCAATTTGCCGGTGAAGTCTGTTTATTCGCGTGACACAGTTGGGTGTTTCTGGCCCATGCGTCGGTTCCTTCGATGGGTTCCTTTGGGTTCCGTCAACTTCATGTATGCCTGCCCAGGATCTTATTGTGAACATATGGTCAACTCTGGCGGCGCAGATGTCTCACAGCGCCTCGGCATGGGTCTGGAATGGTCTGGAACGAGGATGTTCAAGGACCTAGACTGCCTCGTGGTATAAGAGGCCGTGTGCGTCACATGTTTTTCGGTTGGGGAGTGGGTGCGTGGGACAAAAAAGTTTTTGTTTGTGCCGCCGTCATAACAGAGAATAGAGCTTCGTCCAGTTCTGACTCAGAACAACTGCACCCTCCCCCCCACGACTGGTTTCCAGCTTTTTGTCCTGAAACGACTAGCAATCCTGCTTTTGTGATTAAGGTTTAGGGCTTACCGATGTTTATAGCTTAAGGCTTGGTGGCCTTGTGGTTTGGGGGCAGTTTGCGATTCAGCGGTGGGGGACTTCGAGATAGGCCTGTCCTACACAGGCAAATTCTGACTCTAAACCACACAAACCCCCAGCCACCCTATATGGACCCCAAAAGCCTAAACCCTTCAGGCTCCAGCCCAAACTCAACAACAGCAGACGCGCATTTTGAGGGCCTACCCATGTTTAACCCTTACCATCATTCTGAACCGCATCATCACCGTCATGATGGTACGTGGGAAAGCCATGCCGGAAAAGTTCGATCCCCTTGAGATGCAAGCTCTCGGAAATGCAGCGCCTGTACTTCTGTTAATGCTGCCTAGCTGGTTCAAGATCTACCATCATCGTCGTCGCGATGTGTCATCTTCATGTCTCTTGAAATGTAGACTCTTCGCCTGCCATACTTCTGTGAATGTTTCGTGTCCGAAATTGGCAAACGAAGGCAGTTGAAAACTGAAAGCCCCGGCCATTCTTCCGACATTGCGAATCTCTGCGCAACTCATTGCCAAAAGCCAAGCTCAAGAGATTGACCTCACGACGGCTTTTTGGACCAACCTGCACCCCAAAGCCGCAGACGGCTCTGTAACCGAATGCTTCGATCCGCAGAGGCCTCAAAGTGGGCAAGTCGATGTCTCTGATGCCGTTGGGCCTCTCGCCTTGTCATCGATGGATTCAGATATGGGCTTTGCAGGCCTTGGGGCTAGGTTGCCTGCTGTTTCCCTGTCCTCAAAAAAGAGATTGCGAAGATCCACAACGTCTCGAAAGCGAACGATGTGGGCTTTCATCGAGTACCTGTCTCAAAGCATAGGCCCTGAGTCCCGATTCCGAGTCCGAGGAGTGCTTTTCAATCGATCTGCTTCCAAGCAGCTGGAGCCACAGCTGGCCATTTCTGAGCTTTTCTTGCTGCAGCCTCTTGGTCGCAGTTGGACATTCACAGGGATCTTCGAGCATGCCTGTATACCTTGTCGTGAAGGTGTTGTGTGTGTGCGCGGTTGTGGGCAGTGGCGGGGTAGGGTGGAGTCTCGAGTCTCTAGGGTTCTGACGCCTTGACTCCTCCTTGAATCCTTGCTTGAGTTGGGCGAGACCTGCAAGCTTGTGGTGACGTCGCTGCGACTCCACTCATTCTTCAGGATTCAGGTTGGGTGTCGAAGGACAGAAACCTCTCGTGGCATTCGAAAGATAGTGGGGGGAGCAATGACGAAACAGCCTCCGAGGTAACTAGATGCTTTCAGGATTCTGGACTGCTGGTGAAGTTCGTGCCAGCGCGGTATGCCCTGCTGAATTCTCAGCGAATCCTAAGCTGGACTGGACTTGGCACGGCTCCCTCATGCGAGAAAACCGTTGGAAACAGCAGAAATGCCCGAGGCAAGAAGGATACTAGAAGCCTGCGGAAATGCCAAGTCGGCGGTGCACTGATGCATCTCTCGACTCACCCCCTGTCCTCTTTCCCCCTTTCGCCCTCGCCTGACAAGTCTTTAGTGAAGGTATGGCATCTCGATGAAGCCGGGCGACCAGGGACAACCTGGTCCCAGCACGAAAGCTGCGCAACCTGGCTCCAGTGGTCCAGTCGATTGCGGCTGGGCCCTAGGCCAGGCTCCACGAGGGATGCGTGCTAACGTGAGAATGCATGGTCTATGTCAGCTGTTAATGAAGTGAAGGCCTGTATATCACTGCCGGAAGCTGTTCCGTCCGCTCTACACAGAGTGTGGAGTAATTAGCAGCGCGCGTGATGGTGGCGTAGTAGGCATTTCGGTGATGTTTGTTCTACGAAACGGCTGCCTCGAGCACTGAGGTACGGAGAGATTGCAGCTGCAGTGCATGTGGCCGACAAAGCCATCATACCGAACGTCATCAATGCGGCTCCTTGGTTGCAGAGCCCACCTTACCCACCGTGTATAGCACCTTCTTCGAAATCGCTGTGCTGGTCAAAGGTCCGGGTCCGTTCCTGTGCACAAGAGTTGAATCTAAGGGGCTTGCTTGCAGGCATTCGGAGGGTTTCGCTTGCAACTTTCAGTGATCCTTGACTTGAAGGAAAGTCCTCTCGTGTATGTCTGTGTATGTCTGTGTGTGTCTGTGTGCAGGTGCAAGTGTAAGACTAGAAGTCCGTTTGCGAGTTGAATCCCCGAGGTGCTTCACCGGTTCGGAGAGATGTGTACGCACCTGAGTCAAAGCACAAAAGAGGTTTCCAAGATGTCATGGCATTAAATTGCCCCCACCCTGTTTTGGCACCAAGTGCATATACGTATGCTTGCAAAAAAGCGCCGAGCCAAGCTAAACCATGTAAAGACTAGGACTCGTAAATTCTTTTAGCAGAAACGTTTCTCCAACAGGCACCCCTGCCTATCCCAAACCCTCTGTCGAACAGCAACCTCTTCTAAGAGAACTCAAGAACTCGGTCTAGCAGAACCAGATGTCTAACAGAAAATCATGACTCGCAGAGCCATGTCTTGCCCATAGACTTGGCTGTGCTGAAGCGGTTGGGATCCCCAACAAGTGGGGTGGGGCGGCACTTGAAGAAGGTATACTAGTACCCAACTAGGAATGCTTCCAATTCATGTGTCTCAAGCAATGCAAAGCAAGAAGGCCTGAGGTTGAATCGATCTCGTGACGTCAATTCGTCTGCCTCTCTGCCTCAGCAGAACTTACTAATTAGCGCCCCACGAGTTACCCCGAACTCCTCGCTGCTCGAGGTGCCCAGCACGCGGTGGTCCAGGTGGACTTCGCCCCACTTGGGGAGCTCAAGTGTCTGCGCCCTCAGTGCTGGAGACCAGGCTAGAGATGCATAGCCTTGTGGGGTCAGGCGCCCCCGAAACTACATCGCATGTGAGGCGAGCACCAGCGCTTGGAATTCGTCTCCTCCAGTGTTCAGACGAAGGAGGCCCACGGGGTTGGTGAAAGTGCGAGGCCTCGGTGATTTGAGTTAACGAAGAGGTGTTTACGGCTTAAGGCTACGAGTTGGACATGTTGGTTCCGAAGCTACAGCCTGACTAACTGGCCCCCAACTTGCGTAGTCAATGACGGAGACGCCCAGATGGCTCCTTCTACTGAGCCGGGAAAGACGGTGAAATCACTGATGCAGAGACGGGGCCGTGCGAGCCTCAGGCGTATCAGGTGCTCTTGCGATTCTAGGTCCAACCTAGTGGACCTAATGCTATGAGATGTTCAGCTTTTGGGATGTATGGTAGGGGGTCTTCTAGTCCGGTGATAGAAGGTTTCAGGGTTAAAAGCAACAATCCGAATCCCTCCGACATGCCAAATCGAACCGTAGCGTCAGAACCAACTGCTTTGACACGATGTCGCCAGTCTGCAGCCACAAATCTCCTGTCCCCAAACTCGCTAAATCTCACTGGTTCCGGAACTCAGACAATCCGGATGCGCCGAAGGTAAACCGGACCCATTGCCCTCCGAAGGCAAGAAACTGATAGCTGTGTGGGCTTCTGCATCGGCGTTTCAGCGTCTTTCGAATGAATTTGGGAGCATATTTACGCTTTCTTGAAGTCGGGTTTAGGCAGGCAGATACAAGATGATGTAGACAGTCAGAGCGACAGGCCCCGGAATCCTAAGTTCGCAACTGGTCCTTCCAGGTCCGCCCATGGTCCCGGGCATCGCCGTCACCATACGGGCAGAGGACTCTGCTCTTGTTGTTCCGACTCTAAACGCAGATCTCCAGCAACTGAGTCATAGGACAACAGACAAACTAGTTCCGGGTCCGAGATCCAAGAACGTCCGTAAATGTGATGAATGGGTAGCCAGCACACATTGCCGAGAAGCTGTGGTCCATGCGCACTGACGAATGCTGTGTGGATTTGAGGATGTTCGGGTTCAAGGCAGGGGCTACAGAGGTTAAAGACGGAGCAACAATGGAATAAGACGAGATCTTCGGCGAAATCGGCCTTCCAGGAGGACAGCCTCAACATCCCAAGTGATGCTTTGAAATCAGGCCGGGCGGGTGTTCTGAACGAAGCATCAAAGGTCCCCAAGTAGTCAGAACCAAGTTCGGGCCCCTGAGGGGACTTCGGGAGGCTCGCTCGGTGGACCTAAGCATGAATCCTGAACCCGAAGGCTTTGGTGCCCTGAGGCTGAGCAACACTCCACGCGAGCTTTCCGCCTGTTCCGGGAACGTGCAGATATATTCTAACTATAGAATCATGCTTTTGTATTATGTACAATCGGTAATAAATAATAGATAACAAGAAAAGTTCGGATTTCCGGTGGTATTTTCACGTGGAGAGGCTGGACAGGTCGCTCTGCTCCGGGCCAAGCCCCATCGCCACGGCGACCACAGGCACGAGCTGTCAATCTGCAGTTGGCAGCTCTGAGCTGATGACGTTTTAGTAAACCGGAAAAGAGAATCACATATGGTAACTTCTATGACATTTTATGATTCTGAAGACGGGAAATGGGAAATGGTGAGATGAAGTCAGTTCGGAAGAGTAGCTCTGCCTGTGCACAGAAGTGTTCATTCTGATTTTTGTCGTCAGCACTCGCCTGCATGGGATTTTGCAGCCCACCTCTGTCGCAGAGCTGTAAGGCGCCTTAGAGATTCTGTATTCTCTGAATCCGCGAGTTGTGATGAAAATTGCTATGATTAAAGCGCTCAGCAGCTCCATGTTGGGTCCTCTCTTGCCAGAGGCCTGAAGATAGACTTTGCTGCATAAAATAGGTCCCAGTCTTTATGCCTAAAGTTGTATCTAAGCAAGCTACCGGCAATGCCTTCGCCTTGGAGGGACTCAGCCCCGCGGCCCACGCCACACAAAGTCACTCGGCCACACAGAGCATTAGGAGCCGGTTGAACGTTGATTAGCTACTCGTAGCGCGGTTCCGTTCCGGAATGGGCTTCGACAGGATGCGGATATATGCGGATGCTTGCCTCTAACTGTGCGTGCGATTGAAGTTGTTCCGCTGATGCTTGCCACACGTAGGTGTACACAAACGAATTGCAAAGCTCACGCTGATAGGCAAATCCTTGCACGATTGTATCGCGGTGCCTTGGAGCAGCCGTCAGAACAGCAGACGTTGATGATGCTCGGCTGAGGCGAGCACACTTGGAGCTTGCAACAACAGTCAGAGCGGCTGATGCTGATGATGCTCGCCGTGGGCCGCACTGCCCATTTACCTTGCAGGAACATCCATCCAAAGCGGCTGATGCTGATGATGCTCGCCGTGGGCCGCACTGCCCATTTACCTTGCAGGAACATCCAGAGCGGCCGATGCTGATGATGCTCGCCGTGGGCAGCACTGCCCATTTACCTTGCAGCGGCTGATGCTGATGATGCTCGCCGTGGGCCGCACTGCCCATTTACCTTGCAGGAACATCCAGAGCGGCTGATGCTGATGATGCTCGCCGTGGGGCGCACTGCCCATTTACCTTGCAGGAACATCCAGAGCGGCTGATGCTGATGATGCTCGCCGTGGGCTGCACTGCCCATTTACCTTGCAGGAACATCCATCCAAAGCGGCTGATGCTGATGATGCTCGCCGTGGGCCGCACTGCCCATTTACCTTGCAGGAACATCCATCCAAAGCGGCTGATGCTGATGATGCTCGCCGTGGACCGCACTGCCCATTTGCAGGAACATGATGCTGATGATGCTCGCCGTGGGCTTCACTGCCCATTTACCTTGCAGGAACATCCATCCAAAGCGGCTGATGCTGATGATGCTCGCCGTGGGCCGCACTGCCCATTTACCTTGCAGGAACATCCATCCAAAGCGGCTGATGCTCACGATGCTCGCCGTGGGCCGCACTGCCCATCTACCTTGCAGGAACATCCAGAGCGGCTGATGCTCACGATGCTCGCCGTGGGCCACACTGCCCATTTACCTTGCAGGAACATCCAGAGCGGCTGATGCTGATGATGCTCGCCGTGGGCCGCACTGCCCATTTACCTTGCAGGAACATCCATCCAAAGCGGCTGATGCTGATGATGCTCGCCGTGGGCCGCACTGCCCATTTACCTTGCAGGAACATCCAGAGCGGCTGATGCTGATGATGCTCGCCGTGGGCCGCACTGCCCATTTACCTTGCAGGAACATCCATCCAAAGCGGCTGATGCTGATGATGCTCGCCGTGGGCCGCACTGCCCATTTACCTTGCAGGAACATCCATCCAAAGCGGCTGATGCTGATGATGCTCGCCGTGGGCCGCACTGCCCATTTACCTTGCAGGAACATCCAGAGCGGCTGATGCTGATGATGCTCGCCGTGGGCCGCACTGCCCATTTACCTTGCAGGAACATCCATCCAAAGCGGCTGATGCTGATGATGCTCGCCGTCGGCCGCACTGCCCATTTACCTTGCAGGAACATCCATCCAAAGCGGCTGATGCTGATGATGCTCGCCGTGGGCCGCACTGCCCATTTACCTTGCAGGAACATCCATCCAAAGCGGCTGATGCTGATGATGCTCGCCGTGGGGCGCACTGCCCATTTGCGGCTGATGCTGATGATGCTCGCCGTGGGCCGCACTGCCCATTTACCTTGCAGGAACATCCATCCAAAGCGGCTGATGCTGATGATGCTCGCCGTGGGCCGCACTGCCCATTTACCTTGCAGGAACATCCATCCAACGCGGCTGATGCTGATGATGCTCGCCGTGGGCCGCACTGCCCATTTACCTTGCAGGAACATCCATCCAAAGCGGCTGATGCTGATGATGCTCGCCGTGGGCCGCACTGCCCATTTACCTTGCAGGAACATCCATCCAAAGCGGCTGATGCTGATGATGCTCGCCGTGGGCCGCACTGCCCATTTGCGGCTGATGCTGATGATGCTCGCCGTGGGCCGCACTGCCCATTTACCTTGCAGGAACATCCATCCAAAGCGGCTGATGCTGATGATGCTCGCCGTGGACCGCACTGCCCATTTGCGGCTGATGCTGATGATGCTCGCCGTGGGCTTCACTGCCCATTTACCTTGCAGGAACATCCATCCAAAGCGGCTGATGCTGATGATGCTCGCCGTGGGCCGCACTGCCCATTTACCTTGCAGGAACATCCATCCAAAGCGGCTGATGCTCACGATGCTCGCCGTGGGCCGCACTGCCCATCTACCTTGCAGGAACATCCAGAGCGGCTGATGCTCACGATGCTCGCCGTGGGCCACACTGCCCATTTACCTTGCAGGAACATCCAGAGCGGCTGATGCTCACGATGCTCGCCGTGGGCCGCACTGGCCATTTACCTTGCAGGAACATCCAGAGCGGCTGGTGCTGATAATGCTCGCCGTGGGCCGCACTGCCCATTAACCTTGCAGAAAACATCCAGAGCGCTTTGATGCTGAATTAAGCTCGCCGTGGGGGCGAACTGCCATGACCTTGCCGAACATCCAACGGCTGAATGCTGATTAGGCTCGCCGTGGGCCGCCTAGCCCATATTACCACCTGCGACATCCAAGTAGGAGCGTCTGATGCTGTGATGCTCGCCGTGGGCCGCACCTGCCCTGACCTTGCCAGGAACATCCAAGAGCGGCTGATGCTGATGATGCTCGCCGTGGGCCGCACTGCCCATTTACCTTGCAGGAACATCCATCCAAAGCGGCTGATGCTGATGATGCTCGCCGTGGGCCGCACTGCCCATTTACCTTGGAGGAACATCCAGAGCGGCCGATGCTGATGATGCTCGCCGTGGGCAGCACTGCCCATTTACCTTGCAGCGGCTGATGCTGATGATGCTCGCCGTGGGCCGCACTGCCCATTTACCTTGCAGGAACATCCAGAGCGGCTGATGCTGATGATGCTCGCCGTGGGGCGCACTGCCCATTTACCTTGCAGGAACATCCAGAGCGGCTGATGCTGATGATGCTCGCCGTGGGCTGCACTGCCCATTTACCTTGCAGGAACATCCATCCAAAGCGGCTGATGCTGATGATGCTCGCCGTGGGCCGCACTGCCCATTTACCTTGCAGGAACATCCAAAGCGGCTGATGCTGATGATGCTCGCCGTGGGGCGCACTGCCCATGAACCTTGCAGGAACATCCAGAGCGGCTGATGCTGATGATGCTCGCAGTGGGGCGCACTGCCCATGAACCTTGCACGAACATCCAGAGCGGCTGATGCTGATGATGCTCGCCGTGGGCCGCACTGCCCATTTACCTTGCAGGAACATCCTTCCAAAGCGGCTGATGCTGATGATGCTCGCCGCGGGCCGCACTGCCCATAAATTTAGCTTGCAGGAACATCCAGAGCGGCTGATGCTGATGATGCTCGCCGTGGGCCGCACTGGCCATTTACCTTGCAGGAACATCCAGAGCGGCTGATGCTGATGCTGCTCGCAGTGGGCCGCACTGCCCATTTAGCTTGCAGGAACATCCATCCAAAGCGGCTGATGCTGATGATGCTCGCCGTGGGCCGCACTGCCCATTTACCTTGCAGGAACATCCAGAGCGGCTGATGCTGATGATGCTCGCCGTGGGCCGCAATGCCCATGAACCTTGCAGGAACATCCAGAGCGGCTGATGCTGATGATGCTCGCCGTGGGGCGCACTGCCCATGAACCTTGCAGGAACATCCAGAGCGGCTGATGCTGATGATGCTCGCCGTGGGCCGCAGTGCCCATTTACCTTGCAGGAACATCCAGAGCGGCTGATGCTGATGATGCTCGCCGTGGGCCGCACTGCCCATTTACCTTGCAGGAACATCCATCCAAAGCGGCTGATGCTGATGATGCTCGCCGTGGGGCGCACTGCCCATGAACCTTGCAGGAACATCCAGAGCGGCTGATGCTGATGATGCTCGCCGTGGGGCGCACTGCCCATGAACCTTGCAGGAACATCCATCCAAAGCAGCTGATGCTGATGATGCTCGCCGTGGGCCGCACTGGCCATTTACCTTGCAGGAACATCCAGAGCGGCTGATGCTGATGCTGCTCGCCGTGGGCCGCACTGCCCATTTACCTTCCAGGAACATCCAGAGCGGCTGATGCTGATGATGCTCGCCGTGGGCCGCACTGCCCATTTACCTGCAGGAACATCCAGAGCGGCTGATGCTGATGATGCTCGCCGTGGGCCGCACTGCCCATGTACCTTGCGGGAACATCCAGAGCGGCTGACGCTGATGATGCTCGCCGTGGGCCGCACTGCCCATTTACCCTGCAGGAACATCCAGAGCGGCTGACGCTGATGCTGCTCGCCGTGGGCCGCACTGCCCATGAACCTTGCAGGAACATCCTTCCAAAGCGGCTGATGCTGATGATGCTCGCCGTGGGCCGCACTGCCCATTTACCTTGCAGGAACATCCAGAGCGGCTGATGTTGATGATGCTCGCTTGCAGGAACATCCACAGCGGCTGTTGCTGATGATGCTCGCCGTGGGCCGCACTGCCCATTTACCTTGCAGGAACATCCAGAGCGGCTGATGCTGATGATGCTCGCCGTGGGCCGCACTGCCCATTTACCTTGCAGGAACATCCAGAGCGGCTGATGCTGATGATGCTCGCCGTGGGCCGCACTGCCCATTTACCTTGCAGGAACATCCAAAGCGGCTGATGCTGATGATGCTCGCCGTGGGCTGCACTGCCCATTTACCTTGCAGGAACATCCAGAGCGGCTGATGCTGATGATGCTCGCCGTGGGCTGCACTGCCCATTTACCTTGCAGGAACATCCAGAGCGGCTGATGCTGATGATGCTCGCCGTGGGCCGCACTGCCCATTTACCTTGCAGGAACATCCAAAGCGGCTGATGCTGATGATGCTCGCCGTGGGCCGCACTGCCCATTTACCTTGCAGGAACATCCAGAGCGGCTGATGCTGATGCTGCTCGCCGTGGGCCGCACTGCCCATTTAGCTTGCAGGAACATCCAGAGCGGCTGATGCTGATGATGCTCGCCGTGGGCCGCACTGCCCATTTACCTTGCAGGAACACCCAGAGCGGCTGATGCTGATGATGCTCACACTGCACAGCCTTGCATTTTCTTGCAGCTTGCAGCAAGTGACAGAACGGCTGATGCAGATGATGCTCGACCTGGGCGGCACAACACTCTCGTAGCTGGCAGCAACATCCAGAGCCGCTGATGCTGATGATGCTCGCCCTGGGCGATGTGGCCATGCACATTTGCAGCTTGTACCTTCGGCTAGATCGGCTGATGATGCTGATGGTGCTCGCCCGCGGCTGGGCGGCCATGCATGATGCTGATGATTCTCGCCCATCTGCACTCTTGCAGCTTGGAGCAACGGGCAGAGCGGCTGATGCTGATGATGCTCGCTGTGGGCGGCACTACACTGTTGCAGCTTGCATCAACATCCAGAGCGGCGGATGCTGATCATGCTCGCCCTGCACAGCCCTGCACATTTGCAGTTTAGAGGCTGAGTTTTAGATCGTCAGCACTCGCTCAGCATGAGATATAGGTGTGAGAAATTAAATCAAGACTGCGACCATGTTCGGTGAATGACCTGGTCAAGGCCAGAACGGCTAGGAGAAGCAACCTCATCCGATGTAGAAACGACAGTCGTGCACACCAAGGCTGGACACTCCACATCACGAGTCTTCAATGTCATGGTGAAGTCCAAAGAAACCACACGACTGCCTGTCAGCTTTCTTGAGCTCACCTCAAAAGCTTGCTGCAACTGCGTTGCATCGGTTTGATTCGCATCAGACCGCTGTTATCCATACAACACTCCGTCGAACACTCGCTCCTCAGCCAGTAACATACAAGTTTCAAGGTAGGACGATTTCAATCATCTTGTCAGAACCCGGCAAGCCCAACTCCGAAATTCCAAGTTTGCACAACGTCCAAATCCACACATTATGCCGAATTGTCCTGAGCTTGGTGCTGCTTCGTTTTCGAACGTAGAATTTCACTTGTCCATCAACTTTGCAAAATGCTGACGTTTTGCAACGTTTGGGCCCTTCGGTTTGGGGTGTAGGAACTGGAAGGGCATTCGCGTTGCATTCAATCTGAGGTCTCAGGGTTTCACTCTTCAGACCTGTTCAGAGATTCGATCAAGTGCCGCGCGGCAAAGCTGAGGCCTTGAGTCGAAGTCCAATTTGGAGCTCTTTGTGAAATCGCATCCAGCGAAGGCAAGGCCTCGGCTATCAGTATTCCCTTTTGCCACTGCTGGTGCACATTCGACAGCGTCACCGAAGTAAATTACGACATACAGCAAGCTACTTGTAGCGAATCAGAGGCTGAGAATGTATTCAGCTCGGTAGACAAGTTCAGAAGATGCGCGCGCCCGATCGTGTGCGTCTCAGTGTTGATATGTGCTTGTTGTTGTTGGTTGCAGAACTCAATCGCATGTACAATGCTCACTATGGGACATGCGATGCCATAAAGAGCATGTAGTGCTTGCTAAATGAGTCCACTTGTCGGCATTGCAGTTTTCTGCGTGCCTGTACACATGTAGTTGCACATCGTGCTTGAGAGCAGGTAAGTAGGTAGGCAAGGGGGCAGGCAGGCAGGCAAGTTTGCATATGTGTTGATGTGTCTATATTGAAAGCATGCATGCGCGCATTCTAATTTTTTTGTTGTTTGTTTGTCTGTCTATCTGTCTGTCGGAAGGTATGTCTGTATGTCTGTATGTATGCATGCATGCATGTACGGATTCATGCATGTATATGTGTGCAAGACATCTACTAGTAGCGATGGTCTAGTAATGAACGGTCCCTTCTATGAATGTTGTTTTAACGAACACCTGCAACAACATCTTACGTTGATATGTACCACATATCATATGGACATATAGGTTATGGGGATGACGGCGATGACGATTAGTAGCAATGATATTGCTGATAAAGATCGTGCGGATGCGGAAAGAGAGCTGGCCGCGAAGAGAGCAGCTACATATTGATCGGTACGTGTCAGTATATTTGTATCACCTCTGTCTGTGGAGTTTTGCATCTTATGCTCTGACCTTGGAATCTGTAGATGTGAGGCGATCTACAAGCTTAGATGACACATCAGTGTTGACGGACTTGGCGTTTTCAGTTTAAGTTCTCGAAAGGCAAATGTTGCGGGAGTGAGCCGGCATGCAGCCCATGGACCAACGGGCTCGTAGAGCTTCATGTGAGTCATAATCTAACGCTGGAGGCGATCGACTACCCGCCGCTGCTCGATGAGTTCTCGCGCACGTTGGCAGCGCCGTACGGTGAGGAGCAGCTGAAAGCCGAAAGTCAAGAAGATTGCAGAGTCAGTCGATCTAGCCGGCTTTGCTAGTTGCTTCAGTGCACGCTTGCCTTTTCATGCAGTTAATGTAGCTGACGTCCAGCATACATGGCCAAAGCACTGCAGCATTCGTGAGGTGGAGTCCAGCTTCTTGGTCCGTAGACTGCTAAAAATAGAGCAACACCGCCATGCCCAGAGCCCTGTAAAGCCGAAGGACCTCCAGCACGGGAGCAGCTCTGGAAGACCCCGTGCTGAATTTACAGATGCTGGAGGGTACGAGCTCTTCAGGGATTGAAGGGGCGAATCTTGAAAAATGGCCAGCCCCGCATCAGACCTGCAGAGAACTTCCAGCCAAGAGTCGGAAGTTGACATGCTGGTGTGCTGGTGATGATTTCGGATTGTCCAGGATCTGTTTCCCCTTGGCTTTGAAAGTTGAGGGCTAGGCTTGGGGTGGGACGGCTCAGCGTGCGGTAGCTCTCGTGCCTCATCTGACAGCCAAGAGCTCCAAGCCTCGGAACCTGGGGCTGTAGCGTTTCGGGCGCCTCGCCCCACCATCGGTTCATCTTCCTTGATCCTGCTTCTCCCAGGAATAGCGTCGCACCTTTCGCCCTTGGCCGGGATGTTAGCCGCATGCTCAATTCTTTAGGCAAGGGATGTCGGCTCGTGAGACTATCGCATTGGAGGCTTTGGAGTTGGCATCCTGTGCACTAGCTTTGCTCGTCTGGGTTTTACACACTTCTGCTGAGAACAAAGCCGGCATTTCTTTCCAGTTCCGTTTCGTTTACGATTCGAGACTTGCAGTTATGCTTACGGTCTAGCCTCATGCTTCCTTCTTCAAGGTCACTTTTGCTCTGCGTGGAAGAGCTTTTGTGCGGTTGGTTCAGGCTAGAAACAAGACCTGGGGGAGTCGTGCACATTCAAAGTGAAAGTGCCATCCACTTACATGAGCATCTGCCATGGTATTTAGTTCGCGATGCACCAACTTATGTTGGAAACAAAATCCTTCGCAGTGTGCATGACCTTCGGGCACTTTTGGTCTGAGCACAGTAGTAGCGCGCAGGCTTTTACGAGAACTCGTCCTTGACTCAAAGCCAAGCGCAAGGTCTGGAGCCATGAGGCCAAGTGCTTGAAGTGGCGGATCAAGAAGCTTCCAAAGAAGGACAGCAAAGGCTGCGATCTCAATGACGGAGATAGGCATGTCGAGGTTTTCTAGCGGAGATTGGAAATTTAGGCCGCAAGCCATTTCGGACAAGACAATACAAAAGCGTCTGGCCTCGATCTCCGGACTTTGGAGCCTGAGTCTTGGTACGGTGACTTAACCCTGGTCTTTGGCTTGAACACCATCGCGCCGTTGAGAGTTACACGTCTGGTGGAATCTTTCGGCCTGAGTGTGAAGAGATGAGTCCTCTGTGTGGTCTTTACTTCCGCGATCTTGGAAACATTTTCATGCACGAAGTCTCGTCTTGAATTTTGCAGTCCAGCATTCCTCTAGTTGGCTGCATGCCTCAAAGCCATACTTCTGCTCTCGAGGAGGATTGTCTCGGGAACTTTGGAGGTGCCACGAAAAGTGCGGGGATCTGTTGGCTTAGAATTTACGCGCTCAGGTCAGAACCCCGAGTTCGCACCTTCAGACGTCCTGGAGCGAACGTTCGAGAACAGTCAGATACTTCCAGGCGCACGCCAAGGATGGAGACGTCAGATTCCAGATGTGGGGCTTCCAGTAGCATGTAGTTGCCATGACAGAAATGTGAACCCAAGCCGCCGATTCTCTGGATGCCACGGCCATTCCTGTGCTCCGGACCCACTTCGCTTTTTTTGTTCTCAAAGCCTTTCCCGAAAGAACTGAGTCTGACCCTTTGTGAGTTCTGTTGCGAGGCTCCTCCCTCGACTTGGAGCTGAAGGATGCAGGCATCTCGAGGCTCGACTTCAGCTGTATCTCAATGTAAGGCGAGAAGGGCTAAAGGAGGGATTCACGACGCTTGGAATGCTGATGCCCAAGTTTTGTTTGAAGTTTCGCTGCCTGGAGACAAGTATGAATCAACGCTGTCGGATGAACTGCTTTTCGTCATCTTCAGGCTCATTAGATCTGTGCGGATAAGGGAGCGGCAAGCGATCTGCTAAGGAGAACAGAACAACTCATTCGATCTTTAAGTCGAGCCTATAAGCTTGCAGACGCTTGCAGTAACGGTCAGTAACGTGGACCAGCTCAGAAGACCTTTGATGGTTGTAGATAACTCCCATCTGTGAAGGCGTGTCTTCTATGGCACGCTGCTGCGATACAACTACTACATTGCGGCTCGGCCGAATGATGGGGCAGAGATCAGCCCGTGCTTGTGGGGCTTCAGGGGGACACACCACTTTTGGTTTCGGTTCTATCCAATGCGATTTGTAGCATGATCGGCTGCAACCAAACCAGCCCGTGATTTCAGGAAGATGGGATTGCCGACAGCGCCGTGGCGCCCATCAACCCGGAGTGGGTCGAAAACGTAGGCTCCCGTTGACCCATATCACACGCACGCAGTCCGAGGTTGTTGATTATGCAGAGGGCTTCCGGCTAAATTTCAGAGGAGGAGTGTGTCATTAGTGTGGTGTCTCTATAATGTTCTAAGAAGGAATGAGGCCAGGAAACAGGCGACGGGTGTCGTTGGGCAGTCTTGCGCGCAGCCGCGATCAGAGTGCATCCGGGGATACACAGAAGTTGGTTCCAAATACAAGATGAGGTCTCAGCAGCAAATCATCGCTTCGAATTCGACGATTCGAAGAAACGCACGAGCACCCATTGCTTTGAGCCACTTTCCCGGCCAGGTTTTTTGGTTGAGGCAGAGCGCCTGTTCAAGGATCTGCCCGTCGAGGCCATGCGAGTTCGATTTGTCTTCTACTGCCCTTCATTGTTGAAAGTTGTCGCTTGCGTTTCCTGTGCTGTTGGTGTGTAGCAGGCTGCGAAAAAGCAAAAACCTCAGGACAAGCTGGCGCAACAAGTTCAGATGTCAAAGTCTGGTTCCTCTACCGGGGTTACAGGACCCAAAGTCACGCGAGGCAGAGTTGGACTCATAACCAGACAAGAAGAACACATTGCAACAACTTGGATTGCCAGAACAAGGCGTTTCGAGTTGGGGTTCTCGAAGTTGCCTTCCTCCACCTTGATCCTATTTTGAGTCCTGTGAACATCATAGCTTTCCCAACCCGTTTCCCTAGAACTCCCGCTTTGCCGCTACTCTTACTACAGGCTGTTGTTTTGCTCCGACCACGATAGCTAGCTACCTTCCCAATAATCGAGTTTTATCAATGGCCACTGTTCCACCACCGACGCGCGAAGCTCCAGGTGACCAAGCAGATTACGTTAGACGTCACCTTGGAGATGAAAGCTGGGTGTGCTGCGAGGGCATGAATTTGCAGGAGCTTGAAACTTTGAGTTGGCGTTGCTGTCGACGGGTTCAGTTGCGCGCTTATGCTCTTGTGTATCGGGCTGCGACGCCATATCAGTGTGGTTTTTGGATTCTGCAGAGGTTGAGGGCTCAGGAAGGGAACTGCGCAGGGGTGCTGTTTCGGAGACCGGGAAGCAGTTGCTCTGACCAACATCCCTTCCTGTGTCTGTGTGTAAATCGGATTTTTCAGCCTACCTCGACGACATCGCAGGTACGAGCGTGCCTGCAAGCGTGCAATCGCGGACTACATCTTCAAGGAACGTCTCCGTAAGCCAGAATTTCCTTCTCAAAGCCTCACGAACTAGATCAAATTCTGACCCATGAGTAGCTTGTGCTACTGGTCCTACTGGTAAGACTCGTAGATGTCATCACCTGTGCCACGTCACATTCATTCAGCAATTTCGGAAGCATCTAGCTCACAGTTCTTGGACCACCCGCAAGTTTAAAGGGTCTGAAGCCCACTCTATCCCACTCTGATGAAACATGAGGGGCTCTGGTCTCGCTGCCGCTAGTGCTTGCGGGAGCCTTCCTTTCAAGCAGGACCCTGCCACTCGCGAGCGAGCACTGGTACCATTTCTGCCCACGCCGATAGCTGAGATGGAGTGCTGCAAAGCTTTTGCGGGCTCCAACGAAGGAGTCAGAGACGTCTTCTACAGTCGACAGGCAGCCCAGACTCTCTGACAACCAATGACGATGTGCCTCGCGGCCCAGGCCAATACCTGACTGGGGAACTGTTCCCTTCGAGGGCATCGAAGGCACGGTAGGCCTGCCGCTTGCTGACGCTGCATCATGTAAGCATCTGTACCGTTACTTTCCGATGTATTATCAACATTCCAGTGCAACAAGAATGAGTAGGGGCTGTGGCTACGAGAATGCCAAGTGCTTGGCAGACCAACGCCCCAGAAGGAAGTATAGTTACAGGTTTGTTGAACAGGAGCTGGCTGCCGCGAGGACAGAGAGTGTTGCCTTTGTTGCCATTCTACGTCTGCGCAAACACGGGACACGAGTGTTCATATCCAATACTCGGTTGATTACTAAGTGACCATCCTCCTCTCGAATCTTGTCACATTAAGTACCAAGTGACCACCCTCCATTGGAATCTTATCATGTGAGTTTTCTGAACCTATGTCAACGAGAGATACAACTCTCGCTGTGAATCTTTTCCACCATTACGTCAGAAGTTGGATCGCAGCTAGCAGACCGAAGGCTTCAATGCTAGGCTGCTCCGTAGACCTGCGGTTGCCCTCTTGTGGGTTTGAAGGCGAGATTGGTAGCAAGTCACATTTGGAGGCAGCTGACCACTTTGAACGAGACTCTCGGGTTGATTCATGCGGGACTTCACAGACTTCGGAATACAGAGCCCTAACGAAGCTCGAACCAACCCTGGGTTGGGAATCACGGTCGAGAAGTTGAAGGGATGATCGGGGCTTGCATGGTTTGTCGGTGAGGATGACAACGGCTTTTCCACGCGAGTCCAGTGTCTTGCCCACATGTCCCACTTGTAGTCGCAACGGATGGAGTTGAAGATCGTAGCGGCATGAGACTTCTTCAGCAGGAAGCAGAGAGATTTTGGGTGCCGGTGAGGTGGACCTCCGGCCGAATGGCGAGATGGAATCGAGGAAAGTCGGAACTCAGTGGTGGCCTCCGCCATGTTTCGACAGACCGGGAGTCAGTTGCATGAGAGGTGGGCGACTGTTTACACTTACACGAAGCTTTCCGACGGGCTCGGTGTGCCGAGTGCTAGGGCTTGAAGTTTACCTCCGAGTCTTTAGAGGGTTCTCCGCTCCGCACCAGAGCTACACCGTAACCTGCCTTCCATGCCGGCCCATGCTGATTTCTCAATTCCAGTGATGCCGAAGCCATCTGGCTTCGAAGTCGTCAAATACTTGTCGGAGAATGCAGGGTTTCTTTGTAGTTTCATTCTCCGCGGGGCTTGGTCACACGTCTAACCCGCAAATTGTCACAAAAGAATCAATTATACCCAAGAAATTGGATACATGTTTTCGTGAGAGCACTGCGATTTTTGGAGACACTCAACACCAAGCGTGGCGAAAGGACGCGTGATTGAACATGCTTTCACGTGACGATTAAGTTGGAGACAGAAGCCATGCATTGCAGTGGTTCATCCTGCCATCAGCATGTAACGCATGTAACTACCCTCTAGTGTGACAGCACTGCTCACGGATCGGGCCGCGATGCCGTTGCCAAGGTGGCTGGGCCAGATGCAACGATTCGAAACGTATATGGATCATATAGGCACATTGGGCTCCCGGGCCTACAATTAAGGCTGTGGAGCACGCTGTCGTCAGGTTTTGCCGGGGGCGGCAAAATTTTGGAACAGGGGGAAGCCGAAGCTTGGATTGCCGAGCTGTATTAAATAGCGTGCTGACTCTGGTGTACTCATCCAGACTATCCGACTTTTGTCGGGTCGCCCGCCATTCGACTCAAACTTCAAGTCCACCTCCAAGGCAATTGGAGCCCTTTGATTTATAGAAGGCCAGGCTTTCGGTACCATCGCGCTGCACTTCATCTGCGAGAAGTCCATAGACAAAGCTTGGAATTCCGGGATCTTCTTCGAGATCTTCAGCTAATCGCACACTTCCAAATTAGGACCCTTGCCAGCAGCCTGAGAATAAAGCCGAAGACTGAGTCTTGGTCCACAGAATCACTGCGAGGAGCTTCCTGCAGTTCGCGCTTACAGTTTGGGCGTCTCCTTGAGCGGGAAGCCTCAGCACTTCGGCCCAGACCATCCCTGAGCCCAGGCTCTCGCTGCTTTACTTGCCTGGCTGCGGTTCTCTGCCGGGTGGCCGCAAGGAGCGATTTCTTGAGGCTCCTTGCGCCAGCTTGAGGGCTTAGGCTTCAACATTCTCAACATGCCTGAAGCACTCAACCTTCAGGCAAGCCCCAGCTACTTGGGGATGTAGGCACGTCAACCCTACTGCTCGGTTCCCACGGCTTTCCTCGACCAGGCCTATGCGAAGCAGCGTGGCTACCACCTGAGCTGCTTGGAGTATGACGCTTTGCAGAAGGTCTGGTGGGTCCGCTGCAAGCTGTGTTGTTGATGCTTGCAGGTGATGATCTAGAGCAATCTCTGGCGTGTCCGGGTTCAAAAGCGAGGGGAGGGGGTTACTGGCCGCAGCTTCAGCTGAGGTCTAAGCTAGACCCCAGGCCTGCAATTTTAACCAGGATGTTCATGCTTTTCTCGTTACTCGCAACATGTTGGCCACTCCACTCGAACCCCCTTCCAACAGAAGGGCCCTACAAGAACTGCCCGCGCTCAGGCAAAGCCGTTGGGATCCGAGGATCCGCTGCGGCCAGCCGAGGCGTGCTCGATCCACTGGGGCACTTGTGAACGTGTATACATATATAATGGAGTCTATACACTGACACTAGTTGTACATAAGATAGACAGATAGACAGATAAACAGATAGATAGTACGTGCGTGTATATACATATATATGTGTATATGTATGCTCGCCCCTGATCTACCATCGGTGGGTCTGGGGAATGGGGCGAACACATGTGGTGCAACTGAAACTGCCACAAGGGGGAAGTCTCTTGCTGCGCTGCTGTAGTGTACGATATGTGAGGTCTTGCCTTCTACTGTGGTTTTATGATGTTTTATGTATACTCAGGTCCACCTTTGCGAAACAAACGCGGGCTTGCATGATCAGCCTATATTACAGGCAGACTGGACATACAGGGTTCTGATTCTGATGAAGAGCTAAAGCATCTGACTGGGTTAGCATCGACCCACCATGGAATGTAAACTCATAGTCATGTTGGGTCATGCTGGGTTCTGTTATCGGACTGATGGCATATCCTGCTCGGGATTCCCTCATGCGATATCTGTGCACGGCAAGTACGAGGACACAGCCCGGCCACAGAAAGTCCGAAGACCCTGCCAGCCGCGGCGCATGAGCTTAAGACACACGTGAGCTTGTCAGACAGGTTTGTCTGTTTTTTGCGCATGTTTGTGGGCAGTTTTGTCATGGTTGCATTTTACGCCACATGTACCAGAAAAGCTCTATATACACATACATACATATGTATATATAATATATGTATATTTAAAGGTGTATATATACACATTATATTTTGTATTATATTATTATTTATGTAGATAGCTAGACACAAGCATGTCTGAGCAGAGTCGGAAGGCCTTTAAGAAGCATCTTAACTGCATGTTCTCGGGCTGGCCAAGACCTCCTAGAAGCTTTCGCCCTTCGGCGAACCAGCGCCAGAGTCCCAAACTCAAGAGTTTCGTTTTTGGCTCCGATCCCCCGGGGGCCGCGTTCTAAGCCTTCAACGGGTTCCAGGCCCTCAGCAGCCTCGAAGAGGCGATGAAGAGGGGTCCTGGAATTGAGTGGGTTCCATTTAGAGTTCGGCTGCAGAAATTGCCATGACAAAGGGATTGCTCCTTTGATTCAAGGTCGGGGGTAAATTCCTTGACCGCGGGCAATGTGGAACATTAGATCTGGCACGTTGCGATTTTAAGTTTGCTTTCTTCCGATGGTGGAGCCTGATAGCATCTGACTGCGCAGATTCCATTCACAAGGCTTTTGCGGCATGACCATGTGTTGCAGCGCATATCACTGCAAAACAGGAAGCTGGCAATTCCAAAGACGAAATACGGAAGAAGACTTGACACAGCGCAGTTTGCCAAAAGCATCCACAGGCTCGATTGGCTGAGTCGGCTGGTTTGTTGAAATCTGTCATCGTTGACATGAAAATGCTTCAGATGAACAGCTGAGTTGCCTGCAAAACAGCTAATATCGTCATGATGGTACATTGGAACATTCGAACAGCCGTTGACTTTCGGTGCTGTCTTTCCCTTTTTCAGGCAGTTCGTGATGCCCAGCATGCCGCGTTGTTGCCACCTGCGCTGGTCGTGGCCGCCTCGATGGGTGCCTGGCGGCTCTACCTTGTTTGGGAATGTTTCGAGCTTCTGGATTGTCTTGGTGCCGGGACAGGGCACTGCACCAGGGCTTCAGGTGTCTGAGGCCGGTTGGAATCGAGAGTTTGGAGTGGTCAAGTTGCAATGCAGGCAGCAGGCCGTGCAAAGTGTTGCACTGGAGTTTGCATTCGTTGTTCTTTGTTGCTCCCTTTCCTATTGTCGAGCTTGAGGTGCCCAGTTGTGCCAGTCAAAGTCTACTAGAGGTATGACATGGATGGTGCTTGAACGTTCTGTTCAGTATCGCTTTTTCGGGTCGCGATCCCTTGATCACCGGTCTGAACCTTCTCTATCAAAAGCCGGTGGAACTTGAGGTTCTCACCCGAAAGCCTCGGAGCTCCCCGATCCAAAACCCCAATACAAACAAAAACAAATCAGTCTAAGTAGCAACCGCAAACCTCCCGTGACATAGATCTATCTGTATCCAAATCGTCGTAGCTAGCGCTCAACAGTCATTGCTTTCCTCATCATCACCACACAATACAGTAAACCAGATCATCATCACCAGCGTCACGATCGTCATCACAACTGTTATCGGCGTTTGTGTCGGCCACGTCGGCATGGTACAGTAGCAGCGACAGCAACGAGTCTGGTGAGGACTAGCGCAGCGACAATAATAAGAACAACAAGAACCAATGACGGCAAAATTGGCAACCATGACTAAGAATGGTAGAACGAGATTCGGAAGTGCCAGCAACAGCCAACAATAGCTGAAATACAGTAGCAGCAGTCAATGTTCGTCCACATAGTAGTAGTGACACTGCCAAGCATATCATAATGCTCATAGCGCGATGGGTCGAAACCAGGATAGCCGCCGGCCTCGCCCGTCTTGGAGGCATTTGTGGAGCTCTGCTGCTGGCACCTGCAGGGGCACGGACCGGGCTAATGCACGGATTGTTGCTGTACACGCACCAATGTTGTGGCAACATCAGGCTACTGTAACGAGATTCTGTATTCTATTGCATGCAACCAGCATGGTTCTCAGTCGCAGCGGATGCAGCACGTGCGGTCCATGCATATAGGTTGCTAGACAGTATGTCGCTGAGCCCGTGAACCATGGTTCCAACCGAGCGCAGGACAGTGTCTAAAGCAATGGCCGGACGATCTGCAGGCATGATATAAAGGTGATTACTTTTGAATCAGAGCAGAAGCCGAATGCTTCATTGATCCGGACAGCGATCCGTGCTCACCTGAGTTGAATTCCGGAGCACACGGATTTAATTTTCCGGGAATCTTGTGCGCGATGTTCTGTGCTGCGTCAGGCACTGCAATCCTGCCGTCGGAACATTCGGCCACGGGCGGCTACACCATCAACTCGACCATCCTTGTGGAGCTTGAGGCGTTCCCGTTTCCTTTCAAAACGACTTCAATCAATATGGCTTTGTGTGTTTTTTCTCTGAATGTTGTGCCGTTGGGGGTGGGGGGGCGTGGGCTTCTTGGATGTCAGCTAAGCTGTGGAGGCATGGTGTAGCAGCCTAGCACATCGAAAATACTTTGAGGCAGTACGTTGGCTGATTGTGCCGTTAGAGCTCAAAGCTCCAAAGGAAGATTTTGTGTTGCCGTCGGCCATGAGAGTGTCTGTTCTTGTAACCAGGAGGCCTCGATCGCTGACATGATGCCTGCTGCCTGCCCGGTTTGCCGCTTGTGCAAAACAAGACCTCAATCCCGATCGTCTGAGTCGGACGTTTCTCGGTTCCCCGGCCCTTGGAGTGAAATTTCGGCAGCTCCATGATGTGAGATCATTATTCTACCTGTAAAGAAGAACGCATGCCTGAGCTGTGCAAGCTGAACCCCTGGGTTGATCTGCGAGCCGTGGGTCATCATGACAATTCCGGCAGCGAGCTTTGTGTCGCGTCCCTGAGCTCTGAACGCCCGCTCTCGAGTATTGAAATTTGCCCTCAGCCGAAGCTCCTCCAGAGGGGTGCCCCATAACATGTCAATGCATGTTACGGATGTCAGTGTGTGTATATACATGTATGTAATTATGTACGTATGTATGTGTGTATGTACGTATGTATGCATACACACATATATGACTTATACATACACATACGTACATTCGTGTGCGCATCTACAGCCGCATGTATTGGATTCAGAGCATTGTGCATCTTTATGCGTATTCTACGCGTCAACATATACCCAAACCCGGAGCTGTTTTCCATCGTCAGATGAGTTGGGACTGCGACAGAGAAACTCAGCCCAGGCATCCTTCATGGCGACAAAGATGAGGCAGTACCGCTGGAAGCTTCGGCTGCTCGGCCTCTTTCAGGTCTTAGGGTTTACGCTTTCTGCGTCTGAAGTATATGCTCAAGTGTGTCTCTACCTCTCCCAACATGCGTCTATCGTTTCTTCTCGGCCTGTCCTTGCATGCATATGCCAACTCAATGACTCACGCGCATGTATTTGGAATCGGTGCCTGTTGCACCACGGTGTGGCGCTGTAATGTTGCTAATGTTGGACCAGGATGCCCCGAGGCTGACAGACTCCGCAAAGTCGAGCACGATCATTGCCAGGAAGCTTCAATCCCGGCTGTAGTAGTGAACCTAGCGTGTGTCTCGTCGCAAAGGTTGAAGCGATCGTATACTCTCCGACTATCGTGACCTTTCCGACCAGCAAGGAAAGTGCGGAAAACGGCAAGATCAACAGCAAGAGCGCAACACGTTTCTTGTAGTCGATACAGAGTCTCAGCGACCTCCGTTTGTCTTGCAAACACCCAGTAGCAGCGAGCACAAACACAGACAAAGCAATAACACAGACAGAGACAGCGAAAGCTTCGGATGCAAAACAGCAATTAGAGCCGACTCACTATGGGGGGACAACGAGCATCATACCAGATTCCTAATGAGTTTCCCTAGGCACAGTTCCTCAAAAGAGGAGTTTCCCTAGGCACAGTTCCTCAAGTTGTCCTGTACCCACAGATGATGTTGGATGCATGTGTCAAAAACATGGGTGATCCTTGGTCATTTATAGTCCAATACACTTTCTGCGAACATACCTCGGGGAACCCATGTAATTTTCACGCCCTACCGGAAGCCCCGTAACAAACGGGGGGCCCACGAGGCCGAGGCGCCTGACAAGCCCCTTAAGCCCTGCAGAAGAAGAGAGAGCGAGAGTCCAAGCCCCTGAGCACAGCAAACAGAGACAGACCGCCACACAGCCGGCCAGCCAGAGACAGAGACAGAGAGGACAGATCCAATGAGACGGGACAGGCAGGCAGATAGGACTGACAGGACGCACGCACGCACACGCACGCACGCGCGCGCGCACGCACGCGCACGCACGCGCGCGCACGCCCGCGCACGCACGCGCACGCACGCGCACGCACGCGCACGCGCACGCGCACGCACGCACGCACGCACGCGCACACACGCACGCGCACACACGCACGCGCACACACGCACGCGCACACACGCACGCGCACACACGCACGCGCACACACGCACGCGCACACACGCACGCGCACACACGCACGTGCACACGCACACGCACCCGCACACGCACACGCACACGCACACGCACACGCACACGCACACGCACACGCACACTCGCGCACGCACGCGCACACACACACACACACACATGTGTGTGTGTATATATATTTATATAACCGTTCTATATGTATAAATAGTTACATATCTATGCATATATATATATATATATATGTACACATGCGACACCCACACACCCACGCACCGGCCGCCCGCCCACCCACCCACCCACCCACCCACCAACCCACGCACGCACCCACGTACCCACGTACACACACACACACACAAACAGAGACACGCACACACACACACACAGTGATTCTCGACTCGGTTCGTCCATGACCTACTGTTGAAGAATCGTATGCCGAAAGGGTTTACGCACACTTGAGAAGCCATCACAAGCTGCGGGAGTTCAATGGACGTGTAAGAAGCGACGATGCATACATTCCCTGCAGCCTACACTCAAGGAGGAGCTCCTCGGCCAATTGCTGGCCAACGGGCTAGAGGCACGCAGCCCGAACCGCACAACTGGCCCAAGATCTCAACTCTGGTGCTAACGAGCCTGCCGATGACCTTTGTATGTCGAGCCCCATTCAGGGCCGCAAGCAAGCTGAACATACTTCCTGCACCGTGAAGCCTAAGACTTGTACAGGCGAGCCTTCGCCGAATCCACGGCGGTGACCACCGCCTGTCGAAACCTGCGGAGCTGCAGGTCCTCGAGGATGCAGGGGTTTGCCTTCTCTTCGTGGTGTCACAGATGTTATGCGGCTCCTTTCGCAGATCCCTTTCTCACCGGGGGGAGTACATGCACCCGTTGTATTGAACTGGTTCATCTCGTGGTGCAGCGCTCCAGTTGAACCTGTTTGGGGACTCGCCAGAGTCACAGAGCGCCAGGGTGCTGGCAGTGAAAGGATCGTACTGTACACGCCTGAGACATGGACGAACGTTCGTGCTGATGTGAGCCAGGAGGAGCTGGATCGGCTGATACTTCGCTCTGGCGCAGTTCCTGAACAAAAAGTCTACATGTCATGACTAAGCTGAACATGCTGTTTATATACACACACACACACACACGCACACGCACCCAGCGACTCTGTGTGTAGCAACGCTGCCAGCACAAAATCACCATCCCAGTCAACAACACGCTGAAGTGTTGTGGGCTTGTGGCTGAACTGGATGTCAGTCAGCAGTCTCAGGTGGGTGACGTCGTCCGATTCGCTTTGAGGGCTAGGGGACAGATTGATCGGAGCTTAAACACCGCACGGCTTACAACACGCAGACCACGACAGGTGCGGAACCTCACAGTTTGCAATCAATCGGCTCTACGCCTTCTGTACCTGTGGTGCCCTGGGCCTGGTCCGGGTTTTTGTTGAGTTACTGTTTGGATGGTTGTGTTGACCGTGAAAGGCTGATGGGCTTGAGGCTCCCGGCTTCGCTGTCGGACTGCGCTTGCACTGCGAGGTACGGCATGGGCTATGGGTCCATGCTCCTAGTGGACCTCCCGCCTCCTTCGACGGCCATGGTTTGGACCTTAATTCCATCCTTGCGCCTGACTTCGCCATGCTAAGAAAGCATGGTGTCGCACTGACCTTCCGAGTACCCCAGGAAGAGTGAGAATCGTGTTTAACTCAAAACCTATGCATCGTCCCAAACTCTGGCAAGTCAATTCCCCGGATTCTGAACTATACCATATCGCTCTCCGCAAGACTCCGCAGGGAGGTCATACTCCAAGACCCACTTACAATTGTAGTTTCACAGGCTCCGATAGTTCTAGTTTTGAACTCTGAACTCTGAGCCCATGGCAGGTAGACATCGACCACTTTTCCGAAAGGCGAGTGCTGCAAAGTGGGTGGCCACGACGGCGAGCGCAGATATGATACGTGCTGTAGGATCGATGGGAAGCCCTTTCAGCCTGAAGTTTGGTCCCGAGAGCAAATGCCAGGCAGAAAGCTTGCTGCCACGAGGTGTTTGCAAAGTGGGAGCCCTGAATGCAGTGCCACAGATCGGCTTCGTGACTGACTTCATGTGGCTGGCAGCATGCATCTCTGATGCCTACTGGGCATTACAGTATCCGAATCAAAACGCCCAAACTTCGGCTCACTACCCATGGATCCCGAGTCCCCGATCTCCAGTACAAGACTTGGACCGAGGTTCAAGTCACAGTGGTTTGAGGAAGTCTGTGCCATCCTCCGCGAGGTGACTTGTGGGATTCAGGGTCTTCGGCCTGGCCGGAAGGTTTGGACAGCACCGTTCCGAAAGGCAAGGTTGCGGCTTCGATTCCACATGGGATCTCAGTAACAGTGTAGCTTCATGCTTCGGCCCCAAACGAAACAATGCCCTGGGCTCAAAACATAGATTCTGGACCCAAGCCCCACTTAAGGTGATAGTGGCTGACAGCCAACAGTTACTTGACTTTGGTATTGTGGCATAGGCGCCTCAAGAAAGCAATACACCGGAAAGTAGCCTTTTGCAACCTACAGACCTACTTTTCAGAAACATGCCTGACACGACCTCCACCTCAGCAACCGTCCTCCATTGACTATTGACTATAGACGGCTTGTTCGAAATCCCTGTGCCAGGAGAACCTGCACTTGAGGACAGAGCTGCCAGTTCGCAGTTCGGGGTTTTCAAGCGCTCGCCTGGGCAACGTGTCGTGACCGAGACCAGAAAGGTTGATGGTGCTTTAGACTGCCTGGACAACATCTATACAGCTTGCGCTTCGTTTCATGACCTCCTGCTGGACGGACGTTGACAGGGATTGTAGTTCAGGAAGAGATAAGTAGCCCTGCTCGTCAGACTTCGGAGGAGCTCCCGCGCAGAAAGGGTCGTCTGTTACATATTATACAGGGACTTAGAGAATAGGTCTCGGCGTTTGGGATTTCTGGGATTTAGGGGTTTGAGGGTGTGAGGTTTTCAGGGTGTTGACGTTTTAGGCATTTCAGGTGATGGGTTGTTGGGATTTGCCATTTTTCGTTTTAACGTCTTCAGACTGGGTGGCAGACCAAATTCAAGGGACAAGAGGCGGATAAAATCTCAAAGGGCAAGTCCTTTGTTCTCTTGTCAACATGTCGGAAAACCCTGCCCTGAAGACATGACCCTGAAACCCAAACCTTTAACCCCTCAACCCTGAGCCCGGATTATGTCCTTGGCTTGCGATGACAGTGGAAGGAGCCCTGCAGAACAACGATTCTTCGCCGGGATCAGGGCGCTGCTGTCGGTACAGCGCGGTCCCTGAATGGAGAAGAGTTGCATGTTCGGGCTTGCAGCGGGCTGTGCCTACACAGCTTCAGGGTTTTCTGTTCCGCTACTTGGGCTCCATGAGATAGACATATCTATGGTGGTTCGGTTGCCCGAGTTGCAAGACGAGATGGTTCTAAACCCCTCAACCAAAAGCCTGAAAACGAAACCACCCACACGCAAACCGCAACCCTAGAAACCGGGGCGGGCGGGTGAATCCAGGGGAAGGGGGGAGAGATGGAGGGGAGGTGTAAACGCTGGATTTCACAAGCATCTGCTTTGTTAGGCTCCAGGATGTAGGCTCGCGTTTCTGCCGTTCCTCTGTATCGCACCGCGACATGAACGAGTCAAATGTGATAGCTATCTCAGTCTGTGACAAGGTATGCTTCAGAATACGATGCCTGTTCGCTGCATGCGGTACGTGATTTTGGGTTCTCATGCCTCTGGAGAACGGGTGACAGATTCCTTTTGCAGACTCCGTGACTGGAGATTCATCCAGCTATAGCAAGCCTTCTCATGAAATTTGCAGTTCCCTCCTTCCCTCCTAGCAACCCAGGACTCGGGAGCTGGTTGCGCAGTCTGTGGCTGCCTATGCCGACTTCTTCCGGCGTTTTGATGACCCCAAGCCGCTCGCAGGCATCAGCGTTAGATGTTTTCTATGAAAGCCTATCTCGCTCTTCTGCCTTGAGGTCCCCCAATGCCAAGCTTCGTATTAGGTGCTCCAGGAACACATGAAGCATGCCGAGCACCATCTTAAACCGAGGCCCCTGAGTCCAGAAGAGGTTGTGCGGTGTGGCTCCCAGTCGGGCAACAGACGTTCGAGGAGCTTTGGGGTTGTGATCTGGAGGTACACTTGGTGAGTTGTTGTGGTTCCGGCATTGGGGGTGGGTTGGGCAGGGACTTCATGTTTCGTTGAGCACTCAGCTGTTTGAAAGGATGCTCCAGGAAGCCCTGGCTCCGAAGTTGTCGGGTCTTCGGCAAACTTGGATCTTTGGGCCCCGGCCCCACGTTCCAGCAAGAGCAGCGGGTCCCGGATGATGCAGGACACAAGCCAGCTCTGCCTCTGCAAAAACGCTGAGCTGACCCAGCCAACAGAAACATTCGGAACGATTTCAGAATATCACCTTCGAAGTGAGCACGAAGACTAGATCCACACTAAGGCTCAAGGATACGGATGATCGCCAGGATGCCTTCCTTGTGCGGCGCCCATATAGATGTGCATGGAATATACCGTACATAAAAGATGTGAAAGAGACGTTGCATCAGGATCCTTGGGAGCTCGAAAAACCACCCAGGATGTTGGACCGGTCTCATGCAATATGAGTAGTCTCGTAACCACTCAAGACTTAGATTCGTCATTACGGAGGTTGATATCCTAACATACTCATGCCTTGTAAGGGCCTTGTGTTTTTCTTTGTCTGGAATTTGGGATCTTGCTTCGGAGGGGTTTCAACTAGGAGTCATGCATTGAGGGGGGTGATAGGGATTGTTGTAGCCAGGTCTGTGTTGGACTTTCTTCTCTGAATTTATGAAATGGTGCTGCATGATGGAAGAATGTCTTGGAGGTTGAGATGAGCCTTAGCTTACGAAACATCCATAGCTGATGGGATCCCGCAACCTTCAGTGTTCACCCGAAATCCCATAACTCATACTCTAGACTCTGTATCTTACCCAACAGTGTTTGATCCAAGCATTTGCAGTCTGCCTGACGATCCTCACCGCGTCGTCTTTAATTCAGCCGTCGGGCTGCGTCTACTTCCGGAACGCTGGCAGCGAGCACCTTTAAGGGTCTTTGAAGAAGTTTGCTGTCAATGAGCTCGAAGATGGGGGTGGGCTTGGCAGTATGTTTAATTATAAGATCAAAGGTAGCTAGGTTTGGGTGGTGGTGTTGCAAGCTGCTAATCTTCAGCCCTAACATGCACCAGCCTTTATATACCTGTACTCGACCTCCTGCATGCCCGCTTGTTTCGGTCACAAGGTCGTCAAGCTGGTGCCGAAAGGTCGGCAAGCTGAGCTGCACAGTCTTTTGCTCTTTGGTCCATTGATGCTGAGACAGAAACGCGCGTTCAGGTGTTGATGCCAGCTGCTGTTGACCCCGAAAGATATATGCACGGAGTGCTCTAGGCTTCAAACCATCCCAAAGCAGTTTCAATTGCAAGCTCAACACTCCTGGAGCTCATTGAAAGGTCAACGCTCACGACCCTCAAGGCTCCCGGGGCTCCCGGGACCCCCAATGCCCCAGGTGACGAAGTGAAACTCAAGGACTCAACAGAGCGCGTGGTCGAACGTGTGGTCAGAGTGTGCCAACCTCAGGACCCCACTAAGCACGTCAGAAGGGGACTCGGGGGCATGCTTGAGTCCTTTGCCTAGGCTTGCCCAGAACAGCCTCGTCAGTGCTTCCACTGGGCGCATTGCTTCACTTCCGCCAGCATAGCACAGCAGCGGATCAGCGCTCGACACATTTGATGGTCCGAGCGCTCAAAAGCAAAGGCCGTGTAGACCCAAAGGAAGCCTTATGCCCTTATGCCTATGGATGAAAATTAGACGATGTAATCTGGTAGATTCGCTTGACTCTGTGTCGCTGTATCTGTAGCTGCCAGCGGGGACAAAGCTGAGTGTGGGACTGTTGGGACGAGTGTTTCGCTCTGGGGTGCAGAGGTTCAAACGCTTGCTGTTGAAGACAGAAACTCGTGGCTCGAAAGACGAAGGCACACAAGCATCGTGCTGAGGAAGCGTGAAGAATGCAGCCCTCAGCCCCTGATTGGACCAGGTTCAAAGAGTTCGTCGTATGCCTGAACGACATCCCATCGCCCGAAAGTCGCATTCAGGCCCACCAGGGTCGTGCGGAGGGGCCACCAAAACTGAAGCTTTGATCTTGAAGTTGAGAACCCGGAAGCTTTGTAGCCGAATTCGATTAGCCATCAAGTGGTAGTTCGGTCTCAGAATCACGTGGACTTGTGATCGGTTTACACGAGAAAATCTGGAGGGCGCACAAGGGATCCAAAACTCGAACTCTTGAGTATTCTTAGATTCGGATGTCTATAGCTTTGGGTGCGGGTTGAAAGGGTGCCAAGCCAATGCAGCCAGGGGCGCTCACGGCCCAGAGACCTCAGTCAACGAGCGAACTTGTCAAAGCTAAGCCCGCTGAGCTTTTGCGGCCTTCCAGGGTGGAGGAAGCGGGGCCAAAGAGAGTTCCAAGAACCTGTGGCTGGGCGACAGATTCCAGTGATTTGTTGGCAGGAGCTGGATGAAGTAGGCTTGCCTGGCAGAGAGAGTGGAGTTTGGCTTAGCAGACAAAACATGTTCGATGCTGCATCGGGCTTTTGCCCACACACAGTTTTTTCCTTCAAGTCCGGTGCCAAAACCTCAGCCGAGATCCGAGGTGGGGTACTTTCCTGGAGGAGGAGTACGTGCAGGAGGTGCCCGGGATGAAAGAGGTTTGATGTGCTTTCGAGTGTTTGCAATAGAATAGGATCTCAGAGTTTCAGAGTCTAGCTTTCCGGTAGTCTTTTCCACATCTGAGATCCTGACGAGAAGCTGTGCAATCTTCGAGAGTTCCCAATTATCTTCTTCTGCCCTTGCTGCTGCAATTGACGTGGCCCTGTGCTCTCAAAATCTCCTGCACATAGTTACATAGTTTAGTTTTGCTGCACTCTCACTCTCTGCTGCCAGCCAGCCAGATGGAAGCTCACCAGATGACCCTTCAGTGCCATAGGCCCTTCCTTCTCAGGACTGCCACGACTTTACATAAGTGGTCTGCAAAGCATGGCAGTCCTCGAAATGAGGCCTACATGTGGATAGACAGCCCTGCGGCCTACTCTGTCCTTCCGATCACAAGAGTTTATCTCTTAATACTTCAGAGGACATGTACCGTAACGGTGTTTGCGTGATCATCGCTTAAGTTACGCATTCTGCTGACAGTCGCTAAACCTTCATCTAGAAGCCCGGGAGCCTAACCCACGACCCCCATCCATGTGCCCGACCCCGACGAAGTCCCGAGTGCCAAGATATCCTACGTCAGAGATCTCTCCAAAGATCGCCAGGCCCAGAAGCTCATCGAGCAGACGGTGCAGTTCAACATGGGCAACGCTTCCGAGGCCCAAGGCTCAGGACCGGCTGCTGGTGCCGCTAGCGGGGCCTTATGGCATCACGCCCCGCCCGCTGGGCAACTTCAGCAGAAAAGGCTCCCATCTGCCAGCTCAAGTCTGGACTTTGGATGCGAAGCCTACAAGGGGACTGCCCCCAATCCAGAAACGGACGTCCGAGAATCTCGCTGTGGAAACCTAAACAAGTCCAGAGTCCGGATTTGGACATCACAGTATATACCCGGGACCGGACTCTTAAACATAGGTTTTTTCCGGCACTGTGTACCGACGGCATCCATCAGCTTTATGACCGCTAATGGCTTCACGAGGGGACCATTGAACTCAAAGCGCAACGTATTAGCATGTCCGAAGCCAGTATCGAAGCTTTGCGGCAGGGAGTCAACACCCAGCCGAATTTCAGGAGGACCAGCAGGGCTTTTTCTTGCTCTCCTCTCCTCTCTACCCTGCAAGGCCGAGCGAATCTACAATGAGTTTTGGCCTTGGACAACCCTTTCATGCTTGTTCCTGTAAGTTGACACTGCTGCCGCGGTTCTCATGTCATGCTTGTTCTGCATGACATTCGGGACGTGTTTACTGCAGCAATCGTGTGTGTGTGTGTATTTCTCGGTCGGCCGGAGCGTCCATGCTCAGCCAACTCAGCAGTGCTGACCGGAGCCTTTGTGCCAGCCTGACCAGACTAGTCTTTCATGCTAGCCCCGAAAGTCCAACATCATAAGGAAAGAGCGGTTGTAGTGTGTGTTTGCGCATGTCCATATGCCAGTGTTGCTATGGCCAATAAAATATGCCCCGGTAACTATGCATGTGCGTATGAATGCATGCACATATGTAGGCATGTGACAAATTCGTCCGCAAATACCAGTGCTAAAGCTGCATAGCAGGCCAACCACATCTACTTTTCATCTGTTAGCTGTCAATGCATGGTGCTATACAGCTGTAACCGACATTACATCGCTATGTAGTACTTGTTTGCATCACGTACCCACACACAAACACATACGCACACTGTGGTAGATCTGCTTTCGTGTTTTGCTACATGTTCTTTGCCTGATGTGTACGATCATCTTTTAGCACAGTTTATAAGACTTGTTGTGCACTAGGTTTGTTCGACGTTTACCTAAACTACGCCACAGAAGCTGAAGGGGTTTGCAAAGCGACTGAGGTATACCTTCCTCATCACCGAGGAGGAAAGGATCAAGGAGTTCTTGAAGGAGAGAACTCCTGTTGCTTCACCTTGACTGTGGGATCGTTGCAGAGACATCCCGATCCCCACAGGTTTTGCTCGAAGCATTCCTGGTGGTGCTCCTCCGATCTTCCCTGTCGTGATCTACTTCCTTGTCGCGGTCCTCATCTCGCCACATACCTGTTCCTTCGTCTCGCTACCTCCACGACTAGCAGTGACAAGCCGACGACGACGACGACGACCGCAACGGGGCTCCTGCTACTCCTGCTGCTGCCGCCGTACTACAGGCCCAGTTATGGGCGATGATGCCTTCGAGTCGCCGAAGACAGTTTTCGGGATCGAATTCTTCGCACTGTATTGGACAAGACCAGACCTGTTGCCTCCATGGGCATTTGTTGCACTCTGTCCTGGCACGGCAAACTTCTTTGACCCTGCGCTCCCACTGCAAAAAGCACGTTCAAAGTTCCTCTGCGCCACAGCTGGGCTATGCAGAGCCTCCACAAGCTTTCGGATCACAAACTACACGTTGTGGGGTTGAGAAGGGTCGGCGTCAACGCCATCCATGCGAAAACTCGCTGAGCTGTCGGAAGGCTGCATGCAGCATATCAGATAGTCATCCACTATCACAAGCGGGTAGAGATAGAGCTGAATTTTTATGCTGTTTTGTGCAAACCCTAGCCACCCAGATTCTTTGTATTCCTGAGATTTGGCGCCCGGCCCAAAGTGTCTGCAGTCTTGATTAACTCCTGAGCTCCATGCAGCGTCCATTCGCTGCATCCTCCTTGCCTGCGCGTGCCCCCAGTCACTGTCCGTCTCTGTCTGTTTGGAAAGCATTTTTGCCTTGTCCAGGATGTGTCCTGATTTTTCCGTGGCATCTTTTTGGTCGTCCGTTGATAGTCGGTGTATATGTGTGTGTAGAGGAGTTTGCTGCCATGATTTGTATCCAAACCTCGCGCTCACTTCCTTGACAGGATTCTTCGGCATCAATACCGAAGTACTTAGAGAAAGTCGATGCCCTGAAGGCCATGCCGAACATGCAAAGGTCTAGAAATGTTAGTGTCTTTGTGAGGCTTAGAGCCTTCCGACAGCCGCATTGGCGGCCTGAAGACCACTAAGCCTCTGAGCTCCTGAATGCTGGTGAGGCAATCGATCTCCGCATCCGGTGCGGACCTCGGTTTCGGTGAAGAGCTAGCATACAGCATACAAGTGCAACCGGAAGCATCTTCCCTTGCCACGAACATCCTACACCCACTCGTTCGGGCGAGACCGAGCTTTATGGGTGCGGGCTGGCTACGTGGCTTACTTAGCCTTCTTTCCGTTCACATGGTGTCCCGAAGCTGCGGAACCCAGAAACACATCCGTAAATATGTGCGTGTTCGGGACCCCTCAAGCGAAGACACGAGAAGCAGCCCGGCCACTGCCGGTGCAAAGAAGGCGGCAGGACCTGCTACCCCCGCCCCAAAATCTTCACGTAGCATCCAACTCGGCTTAAGATTCAAATTGATGGCCCAAGGCAGCAGCTGCCCAACGAGATGCGCATGCAGATGGTGACCGTGGTCGGCGACCTACGGTTCCAAAGTTTGGCTTAGGCTCCTCTGACCTCCCATGCTTTGTGCAATATGCTGCGAAGTTTTGAAAGCCAGCCAAACCGGCTTTCAATGACATTTTTATAGATTTGGGTGGTCTCACGATGGATGATGTGCTTCTTCTGTTAAGCCTAGTTAGGCGAGCACTCTTTTTTCAACGTTGTTCCCACATCGCGGGCCTTAGCTCGACTCCATCTCATCTCGCTTTAAACTTTAAGCAGCGTCGAGGTGGTGTAAGTTGCGACAAGAGCAATCCAAAAGACACGAGGATTGCCGGGAGCTGAACGAAACACTTCGGAGCCGCGCTGCTGACTGCCGGAAGCTTGGGAGAGCGCATGTAAGATTGTGTCAACCGCGAACCCAGCATTTGGGTTTCCCATTGGTTCAAGCAGCCACACAAACGGATCAGGCATCTTGTAGTTGCTGAAAACCTTCGCTTGAAAAATCTTCACGGGGCGAACATATGGAGATGGTGATTAACACTTCCGCTTTTCGCATGTCAGATTTGTGCGCTTGGCATGGCGCTTACCATGGATTAAGTCCGGAGTGGTGAGGAAACATGATTCAGGGATGGACATCGACCTCAGATTTGGTGTCTTCTTGGACGCGAAGTACTAGAAGCTCGTGGGATCGAGATCACTCGTTTGGAACTTGGAATTGCAGAGCTTACTCTGGTAAGACATGACGAGGCATGAGCATCTTGCTGGAGCACGTGGTCGGCATGAACTTGGAGAGGAACGAAAGGCCTCGTGGCTGCTTTCTGACTTGGGAGACCAAGCGACACAGGCACACATCCCGGCTTAGGACGTTCAGAATGGCGATATGTAGGCCTTTGTGAAAACATGAGGTGTCGTACATGTCGAAGCTCTTGGACGGTTGGCAACATTTTATTGGGTATTTTAACTACACAAGCTGCACACAGCAAATATGGCAATCCTCCTTAGATCGTCCTCGTGTCGACACCCCTTCGAGTCTCCCTAGGCATGCAGGCAAGGACCCTCCCTGGTCCTCGCTCAGGCTCTGCAAAAGCTTCGGCAACATCGCTGGAAACTCAGCCTTTCTAAGTGCTGTCTCGGTTTGGGTTATTTTAACGTAAGAGTCCACCGAAACGTCGCGACTGCAGCTTCACACAGAAAGGAGAGGTTTAGTACCGACGGAATGTGGAATTGAACCCTGCCGCTGTTCCGAGCTTAAGAGGAGGATTGAGACCTAGCAGATGCCTAAGAATCCAATTCTCAAAAGCAGATCCGTTTCGCCTGCAGCTGTTTCAGCTTAGACAGCCGCGGCCGTGTTTCTCCGCATCTGGATGCTTCCGTTAGAGTCATGCACCAAGTCCCCGAATGCCACTTCACTTCACGCATGCGTTTCGGATCCATTTGCTCCTGGCTCGACACTGATAGAATCGTCACAGCATCCCCCACCGTCAGAAATGGGCCGACAAATTGCGACTCTGCTGCTGTTGTCCTCGCGCTTGGCTTGTGGGCAGGACGGTACAATCTTCGGCTGCGGTTCTGCCCTGTATTCTTCCATTGCGCTACATGGGCAATCGCCGACTCTTCCCATCAGGGCCCGTTAGGACTAAATGAGAAACAGTGTCCAGCCATCCGTGGTTCCAGCTAATACCAGCTATTCGCAAGCGACCGTGTTGACGGACACGCCCTGCTGCCATGGAACACAGTAGCGGGGTCATACATGCCAATGCTGTCATTATGTCGCAGGGGCTCCTGGGGTATCGTGCTATTCACGGATAGCCAGTGACTGGCTTTGGTTGAGCCTTCTGTGCTTCCGGCTCTTCCGGAGCCTTCGTCCGAAGTCCTGGAGCTTTCAGGACTTCCTGGCCGTGCGGAACGAAACCAAATCGGCCCTTGGCGGCTGCAGCAGCTATGGCAAGGACCTTGGATCCAAGAATGCAACATAATGTGCTGTTCCAATGACTAACTACCGGAATGCTTGATCCCGCAATAGTTATCATAGGCAACCACAATGCTCGTCTGCTGTGTTCCGCAGAATCTGGACCATCCCGAGGCTGCCGAAGCGGCTGTGGTCGCTGCTTCAATGCCGGCAGCCGCCCTGGCGTCATGTGTGCGGGCTCAGGCGCAGCCACGCACAGCGAACAGCCCGGCAGTCTGAGAGATTCTCCTTCTGCTGCTGAGAGGTGGGCAGAGCGGCTACCACTGTCCGGCCGAGCCCGGCAACGGCGACGCTACCTATGCCTGCCTAGAGACGTGGCTTTACCTTAGGCTTAGCTGGTCGAGACTGAGGCAGCTGCAACGGCTGACTTAACAATATACTGCTATGCTACAGTAGAAGCGATCCCACAAAAGTATGGAGTCCGTGCTCATCATTTTTGCTTCCTTCCCAAGCTCGATCCGCTAAACCTAACTTCAATCGAGGACCCAATCACGAAGTCTAAGTCTGTCCCCTAGCAAAGAAGTCAGGTGAATAGCAGAATGCACTGCTAATACGCACTGTTGATCCGCGAGAACCTAAAGTTTCCATTTCTCTTCCAGGACTGGACGTTCGGCAGCGCGGTGATGCGCTCCGGGGAAGCTCAGTTTCAGCAGCAGACGGGCGAGAAGGCAGCTCTTGTTTACGTTGCGGTCTGTACATGTACAGAACCTGATGATGCATGAGGGCTTTCGCACTCGGACCCAGCATTGAAACTGCCGAACGGACCTAAGCTTGCAAGACCAGGTCTACTTCGGTGTGGGCACCTATGGCACAACCACCGATCCCCAGCGGGGACTTGGCGCTTGCTACCGGCTCAAGGCCGGCTAAGTTTTAAAGGGTGTTACGACTGCGGCGAGACGAGTTGCCGAGGTGTATTTAGCCATGACGTGCGGAAGTCGTCCAATTATTGTGCTTCTTTTGATCATTGGAGCCAAGATCCAAAGCTTCAAGCCAATTGCCTTCAGAAGACTGCCTTCAAGCAGGTTGAGGGTGTTGACAGGGACATCATCGCACAGTCCGTCAACACAGGTGCTGTACAACGGGTGGTGATTGTGGTTGTGCTATGGTTTCTGCTTTCGAATCTGCAGGTTGCAACTTCATGTTGGGTCGGGGATACAGAAGCGGATGCCATGAGGGAGATTGGATTCGACAAGGCGGAGAGCACGCAAACAATTTTACCCAGGTTCGATTACGCTCTGCAGGAGAATCATGCAGCCTTATCTGCAGACTGCCAGTCTAGCCCCCCGAAATCTTGCTCCTGCGCTGCGGTTTCGTCATGTCGCAAAGAAACAATTAAGCATGCCAGCAAAATCTGCACGACGTATGCTTGCATATCATGCCCTTGCTAGGCTGGGACGTCGATGGCAAGCAGTTCGACCTCCAGATGGGGGCGGGCGGCACTGGAGCGCTTCTTGGCAAGTTCATGGCGGCTGCCACGTGTCCCTCAAAAGCTCAATGACGCCGTGGCCGCACTAGATCGACAGCTCGGGGTCTCAAGCACAAACTGCCTCGAGTGTGGAATCTGCGACGCAAGTCCGATCGGCGTGACCGGAATCTGTGATGGGAGTGTGGAGGCTCTGGAGTCTGTGAACGAGTTGTGGTCGGTAGCACAATAACAGACTGTCATACTACAACGCAAGTTCGGCAACCCTCACTCGCAACTAGAACTGTGCCCCCGTTTGTCCAGCGATAGCATGGTTGCACAGATGCACTGCTGTTAGGAAGAAAAATCTGAATCATCCTCGTGCGTGGTCTTTCGCTGCATAGTTTGGCCATGCAGGATAGATGCTTGGGGCCTGATGTGGGCATGCTTCCAATCTCAGCCTTAAGGTGCCAGCTGCCCGGTACAAGGTCACCCTGATGCCCCCCAAGCCAGAGAGGATAAGTAGCTCCGAGTCAAGTGCAAGGTTCAACAACTGTGCCGGTGGCGCTGGCAGTGTCTTTCCCGGAGGCCGGATCAAAGCAGAGGCTCTATACCAAACCCTAGGATCCAGGACTCCGGACATTCCTGCGCCTCAAAGTGTCGAGTCCACCAGAAATTTCAAGAGAGCCGAGGCAAGTCCTCGTGGGGCTGCACGTACGGCGGTGTTGACACCCGCAGCGCCTGCAAAGCGCTGCCCTCGCAGCCAAGCCAGGCATTTGGGGCTTCGCGTTTGGCGGGGTGCGGGTTAAGGGGGTTTTCGGGTTTCGCCTGTTCTGGATCTGTTAAAGTTTGAGGACAAGGTTGGGGCTGAAGATTTGTAGATGTGCTCAGAAAGAGAAATGGGGGCACGGGCTTGGATTGCAGCTTCATTATCCTGTTTGAACATCACAGTCACAGGGGTTGGGTCAAGCTTTGCGGGGCAAGTGTTATTGGCATTGGTAAAGTATTGGGTCTGGATGAACCTCAAGGTCCCGGCTCAGAAGCCGCACCTCGGACTTGGGCACTGAACACTTGTATTGCTAGGAGTTACATGACTCACATGACCTTCCTGAGATATGAGCACTTGTCACCAGAAATCAGCTCGAAGCATGCACCTGATGTACTGTTGAGGCTACTTTTTGCATACAGTAAAACCCCCTTCAGAGTCTCAAGTTGCAGGCCTCCGCGATGGCCGGTGCTGGAGACTCTTTGGTTCGGATGTGCGAGTACAGCTTCGACAAGCTGCCCGGGGTGCGTTCAGTGTCTGCAACTCTTTTACCCCCGGTAGTAGTGGCGGCAAGAGCAGTCGTGGGCCACAGGAACAGCGATGGTGGCGTGATGTTGTGTCAGCAGTAATCAGCGGCGATGGGCAGGCCTACAAAGAAAGCTTTGTACATGATCAGGACTGGTAAACGAAGCATGGTGTTGAGCAGTCGGAATAGTGATCGTAAGGAGGCATGGCTTTGGGGTTTAGTGGTAAGTAGCCGCAGCATGTAGCGCTAGTAGCCCTGGCAGTAGTATTTGCATAGACGGACCTGCACAGGTTCAATCCCACACTCATCATCCTCATCATTGTTGTTGTTGTTGGTGGTGGTGGTGGTGCAGGCGCTTCGCATGTTTGTTCCCACCTCACCTCGCCTCGGCCTTGCACCCAGACCCAGTCGCCAACCCTGACTAAAGTTGGCACAAAAAGCCCTGCAGTATCGAATGTGCGGGTATCTGGTGAGGGCCTGGCCGCCGGACGGGCCTTGTGCTTTGCTGGCTCACAAACTCGTTTTCGGCCAGTTTGCGTTTCGACTGCAGTGGGGCATCGCATAGACAGCAAGAGTCACACGGCCGCGAGAGCAGTTCAATCGAGCACCTGTCGTACGTGATTGGTCGATGGATGCAGAAGGACCATGCAAGTACAACCCTACCTTGCTGGATGTGGCGCGAGTGCACCTCGGCAGAGATTTATTTCAGGACATACTGTCGCACTGTAAGTTTCCCGACCAGCCGAGCACTGCAAGAGCAAGGCTGTGTGTGTACCGAAAGGATCGACACCCGGAGCCGGAGCTCGATTAAAAGTGTGGGAGAGGTTTCAAAAGTTAGAAGCCCCCATACAAAAGTTAGGAGCCCCGTTTTGGGCAAGCACACTACGTGTTTTTTTTCACCGTGTCCTGCTCTTAGTGTCAGCGCAGTGTTTGCCGAAGGGCTAGATTTGTCCTTCAGCTGCGTCTTTTTGGTGGATGGCTCGTTTGTTGCCATCGAGCGTGTCTTTCGTTCCCGTTGTGGTCGGGTGCTGTAGCACCAGTAAATCCCAAAGCACAAGACCCTCGTTTCTCGGCCTTCGACGCTGCAAGTCCCAAGAGATAATAGATGCGGTCAACAGAAACATAGGCCCTAAGCCCTAAACTCTAGAGAGTCTTGGGCAGGTCCGCGAGTATGTTGGGTAGACCGTGTTCCTGTTACTAAGGTATGCTCTGATGCAGATGTCGGCCTGTTTAAGGGTGTAGCACTACGCCGAAAGCCCGGGAACACTCTGGGGGTCAGCTAGTGCGGGGCAGTTGTGGTGGCAATGGTGGTCATCTCAGAATTGGATTTGCCATGGATGTGTTCCCATCCCTCAACCATCATGGTAGTCTGGAGGCGCACTAAAAGACAGAGGGTTCAAACAAGAAAAAGAGACTAGACTCACAGGTTCCTCCCTGACAGAATTCTAAACGCTATCTGATGGAAAAGAGCCTCCAAACAAAAAAGAGACTAGATGCAGTCAACAGACACAACGCCGCCGTCAACCTAAAAGGAGCGACCTTCCTTAGTCACCCAAGGACAGGCCCGTCCCCAAAAACCCGATTAACCGTACGAAAGCTGGAGCCCTGAAGGCTTCCAGGCCAAATCGTATTCCATGCCATAATATTTAGGGACCCAAAAAGCACATAAGCATAAGCATTTGATAGGGATATCCCTACCTTTTTGGGCTTCTTTATAAGGGGGTTTATATGGGATATCTCTATCCTAATTTTTGCTTATGTGCTTTTTGGGGGCCCTAAATATACTTATATTATATATAAATATAAATATAAACATAAGTATATATATATATATACTACTACTTGCATGATATACTATTAAGATATTTTCGAAATCATCTAATATGCTAAAATATATCATCGTATGATTGCACTGCATAAAGTGCTGCAACATCCCCTTGAGCCGAGGCGCTGCCCTGAGCAGTTGGTCTCGCTGACGCAGATGCAGCGCTCAGATGAGCCGGGAGGATCCCTGACTTTTGTGAGGGGTGTTTGCTGTGTGTTCGTCTCTGTTTATTCTGCGGCGAAAGCTTGTGCGACTTTGTCGGCCAGGATGCTTCAATTTCGTTTGTGGGCTTGGGAATAAAGTGCTCGCGTTTCGGAGGTTCCAGGACGTTGTGCTAAAGAATCAGATGTAGCTATTCGTGGAAGTGCGAGCACCACAAACTGGCCCTGGCCGTCGGGCTGGCTTTTGGTTGTTTTGCTCGATTTGGCCCGTGCGGCTAATCATACCATCAAGCTCGTTGTTTTCAGTGTCGCTGACTTGAACCGAATCCGCACACGAAGGCTTCGGCTTCGTCACGGCTTGGCGTGCTTCTGGATTTCCTAATGCTGGAGGCTGGCCATCGGCAGCGAGCGCTTACAGCGTTCATGAACTGTGCCATCACGAGTCTCCTCATTTAATTGGGGGCTGCGACATGTTGAAAAGCGGGTGATGTCAGCCATGTGTGGCTTTCAGGCTGCTTGGACGTCTCAAAGCAATATGATAATGTCCACCGGCCACCCCACACGTCTTGAAGCTGCATGCAGGCACCAGTCGCTGCCGCTCCGAGGCCGGTACCGACATGTTCATGGCAAGGGGGCGGGGGCGGGGGGGGGGGCGTTGTGGCTCTTGGCTTGGTGGAGGTTCCATTGCATCTTCTTCATTGCAATATTCCTGGTCTAGATGTCTCCGGGGCTGTCATGCCAAGCCACTGCTCAAGCCCGGAAACTGCAAATGTCCCTCGAAGCTGTCATAGCAATGCAAACAGTGGCTAGAATGTCTGTCTCATGCTGGATGTCACGACAAGGACTGGGGCGCGGGGCTCGCATACTGCCTGACACGCATGATGGACTGCTTCTCTGCGCAAGCAGATGTCAATCTGGAGTTGTGCTTGCACAATGATTATTGAAGGTTCGGAGGGGCTGTCGGGGGGTCTTGGATTGGTTGCGAGAGGTTGCAGTCATCTCCTTCTGTACCCTCATCCATAGAGGTTTGCTGCTTCGGTCAGGCTTCTTGCTCCAGCCTTGCCTACTTAGAGGCGAGGCGGGCAATGCCAGGCAAGCTTCTAACGAGGTTTTCCGCGCGAACTCCCGGAGCCTCCATTCCTACGAAGGCGCAGTCCAATCTCGGAGTTCGCAGAGATCAGCCAACGTCTCGAACCGCTTGCAGTTATGCCGAGCCCAGGTAGAAAGCCGTCGGGTGCCTTCATGACCAACGTTCAGGCGGGCTTGCATTCAGCAGGAAGCCCCTGTTGCAGCCCCCAGCCTGCGGACACAAGTGGTGGAATGGTCAGATTTCTCACAGCAGGACAGGAAGTAGAGGGCTTCCAACATCTAGCATCTTGCTGCTCTCAGCTTATATGTGTTTTGGGATTTGTCGGGGCCCTTCGGTCGCCCAGATGCAGATTTGCCAGACATAGACATAGAACTTGAATCTCTAAGCTGTGAAACACGAGAGCTTGGAACACGAGGTGCCCCTAAAAGTACGTAGTTCGACGAGGCCAACCTGATGGTTCCGGGGAGGCGTGTGGCACAAACTTGCACACGGGACGGCTACACACGCGCCTTGCCACGAGAGCCTATTGTTCTGAGCCTGCGTCATTTTAAAAGTAGTACAGCTTTTCGCATCAGCAGAGGAAGGTTGTGCAGCTGCGTTGTGAAGCGTTGCCAAGTGAAGCTCTAAACTTGCAATATGCTTCCAACTAACTCTGGACTCTGCACAAGAGTTCGAACACAAGCCAACGGAAACCGCAAGTAGAAACAAGGCATGAGAATGAGACTGAGTCTAAGGTATCGACGTGTCCTGTGGATGCAAGGGCTGCGCTTGCTGATGCATGCCTTGGACAGCTGTCGCGGCAGACCAGCAAGCGCCAACCCAACCACGCGGGTTGAATCTTCGTGCAATGTGATTCCTTCTACTATTGGACATGTAACATGTAACTCTGTGCTGTTGTTGTTGCTGCTTCTACACTGGAGTCATTGTATCGGCACCGGTTCAATAGTTGAGATGACAGGCCATGGTGATAAACATCGAAGTGGCAATGTTAAATTGGTACTACTCCTTCGTCTCCTTGTCATTACCACATATGTCTATGTACGATATTTCTTGTAGCTCGTCTGCGTCCCCCTCCCTACATTCTCTCTCCCCCTCCCCGTCTTCTCACTGTCCCTCCCTCCCCCCCTTCCCCCCTCCCCCCCTCCCCCCCTCCCCCTCCTCCTCCTCCTCCTCCACATCTGCATCGCCAGCGTTGCGTCGCCATCGCAGATGATGACGATGACGATCCTGACGACGATGATGGCGATGGTGATGGTGACGGTGAGTATCCTTATCCTCCCTCCTGTTGGTATCATAGTTCTTGTTGTCCCGCTGGTTTGCCGTGTACAGGTCCGTAGTTTTTTCTCCTGCCCGACATGCATGCATTGCACTGCACGTGCCCGTGAGCTTGCTGCTCGCAGGGTTGTGGCAAAGGCAAGAGAATCCCGAAGATGCAGATTTTCCGCGAGGGCATCGCCCTGTGGCCTTGGGTTACAAGACACGTTGAGGTTGGCATGGCAATTTTCTCTCTCTTCAAGATGTCTCCTCACCAAGCAGAAGACATATTTTACGGGAAAGGCATGGGACACGGACTTCACTGCATCTGCAGTTTCCAAGTCCCCCTGTGCCTCCTATCCCTCAATACTCCTCTTCTCAGATCGTCCGTTTGGGACTATCTTTTTTGGGCTCCGTAGTGCGGAGCCATGAAGTCACTGCTGAACCCTGCATCGCTAGAAAAAGTGCATTTTTCCGCGCAAGGATTCGTGCTTTCGGCTCTAGGAGTTTGGCATGTCCTCCAGTCGTGATCCTTGTATTTTGGTGTTGTTTGGGGGGGGGTGAGGCGTTGGGGGTCCGGTGAGTCGTGAGGAGGTTCCACATCTCAGAGATGAAAACACTTATCAGGGCATGCAAGGTCTTCGTTACAGGCACAACCGACATCACTTGGAGTATTGGAGCGATTGAAACAGCCTTCGGATCTGGGATCCCGCCGGCCAAGATTTTAAGTCCATGGCTTTACCGCACCGGAGCCCAGATATGGATTCTCATATCTCATGACTGATCCAAAGGCGGAGTCAAAGCCGAGCAGAAGCTCCTAGAGTCCCAGAGCCTACAATCTCCCCTCCAACTTCGGAGGTCGCGTCGCTCTCCAGGAAGCCCAGCACTTGGAGAGTCATGTCTATGTCCGGCCGATGTTGCATTGCACTGCCATGGGAGTGTGGAAGCGCCCTCAGCCAAAGATTCACGCACTCTTCTGAGACAGCTTGCAGAGTCCCAAGAAGCCCTGTGACCCTGCAGCAACGCAGGTTTATGAAAGGTAGGCAGCCGCATTTGTTGCCAGTGCCACCGTTGACATTGTTATGGTTGGTTGATTTATTCAGACGGGAAGTCCCGATTAAACATGCTATGCAGGCCCAGCAGTGCAGCAGAACTTGTCGACTTCGAACAGCAGCTGGAGCAGTTCCGAGGAAACACCTTGAAGGACTCGTTGAATCGCAGATCAGGCTGCGCTCATGCGCTTCCCAGCATCATGCCAGTAGACATTATTGTGTCTTTCTCAGAGTTGACCGTCGATTGAAGAACGTCGTGCGGGTCGACGCCGTTGATCCGCAGCCCTCTAACCGAATTGAAGGTTTCCGAGGTCATCTAAGGAACCCCAGCGGTGTTCGCTGACTCTTTGGGATTGCTGCTGCATGGGTCTCGGAATTCTAGGGTCTGTTCATTGTAAAACCTTGTGCGGCCAGGAAATGACTGACGAGTTTCAGGACATCCGTGCCTGGCAACAGATGCCACTCGCCTTCAGTTAGACCTGAAAATTCATGACCCGACGCCCCAAAAGCATTGACTGGTCCTGGATCTGTGAAGTCTACGCAGTGAATACCCAGTGCGCAAGATCGTTCGGCATATGTTCGACACTTCGACGGCAGACTCTCATTTGCATCAGATTTCACAGAACGACAGAGCAGCAATTGTCATGTTTCTGGCATGCAGCCAGACATGTGGACCGTGCGTACTTTCACCTGAGCATGTGGGTCCACTCAGCTTTGACAGAGCATGGACGATGAGCTGATGGCCAATGGATGCGCTTGTCTAGGGGTCTAGCTTACAGTGGCAATGGGGCATTTGGGCGCCGGTGTGTCAGACTTGCGTATTTGTGCCTGCACATGTGGCGAGAGTTTTCAGAGCCTGCTTCTCCGAGCATCTGAGTCTGCGAGTAGTTGAGTGGCTCGACCACGCCATCGAATCCAAAGGCTCTTCGACTGTGAGCACCTGCTTGAGCAGCGTTCCTTCAAGGCACGATGGTTCAGAGAGACTGGCCAAGGAATTCGCCTGATGAGAGCCTTGAATTGACAGCGACATAATGCGAAAGATCTGTCTAGGTTCAGGTATCCAAATTACATCTAGTTTCTCGCTGCAGTGACGATGCTGCAGTTGAGATTATTGCCCGGGAACATTGCTCTACAAGGTTTGCTTGTCCACATCTGTGTATACATATACTGTACGACGCGTCGTGAGAGCTTTGCCGCGCCCTGTCAGAGCGAAGCCGCCTTGAGCTGGATGTTTGGTCTAGGTCTAGGACCCCGGTTTGTGATGACTTTTTGCCATTCTGGGATGCACCAGACCAGCCCGGGGGGTTATTCCGTCTGGCATGTGACCTCGAGCTTCTGAGCCAGCTAATGCAGGATCCTAAGACGCCTGGAGCAGAAGCACGACAAGTAACACGCACTTGCAGAGCGAACCGCGGGCCTGCCGAGAGCTGCGCGCAGCTAGAATCTCCCTGGGACCTGGGCTGGCGGCTGACTCGCCGCTCACAGATGCAACGTACAGCGGCTGGCAGCACTGTAGATCGAAAATAGAACTAGGCCCTAATTAGGCCAAGCACAGAGACATCGGATTGCGCTCTTCGTGGGTGCCATGGATATAGCATGGCTGAGACTCGGAAGCTTTGCGCTGAGGATCTGGAGGCGCTCTACGGTTGTTTTCTTGAGAGGGCAAGTCTCGGCTCCAGGAATCTGCGTAAAATCAAACTACTTCGGACTCATCAACTCGAGCATGGCAAGCAGCAAGTCACAAGTGTTCCTCTCCGAGTAGTTTTGCTGCGAAGTCTGCAAGTGGGTGGGGACATTGCATCGCATGATGTTGCATGACCGCGCAAGGCCCAGGCACTCACCGCAGCTGCATGGGAGTCGCCTGACTTTCAGCGCGCAGCGGAGGACAGATTGAGAGTAGGACTCGTCAGTCAATCCAAGATCCCGTCGTTGAGCAGCTTTGCCGAGAGAGGCACACGCTGGACTCCGCTAGACCGTGCAGGAAGTGCAGCATGGTGACAAGATTCGAATCCATCCGACCATGTCAGGTACTGACGACCCCGTCCAGCGGGGTGCGAGGATGCCCAGTGAATCCAGAACGTGGGCACCTGCAGGCCTCAGATGGAAGATTTCAAGCTGTGGGGGAACCATATTTTTGGAAGCGGCGAAATGCAGTGAGCCGAAGAGTGGGATACTGGGTTAATTAAGTGAAGAGATCTCGGGGTTTTCCAAGGGAGCGTGACCTGGAAGTTGTCTTGGTCCCAACGTTTCCTTCAAGGCCCTCCGGTGTTTCAAGCCGAGCGGGTCGAAAGATCGCGAGGGTCGAAATCTCAGCAGCGTCTTGCTAATCGTCCTGATTCCGCGAGCATTTAAGCATCGATGTCCGTGCAAATACGTCCTTCCGAAAGTCGGGCTCCGCTCAGACCTCGCAAGGCTCTGCAGATGGCTGTGGAGTGGACACTAGGAGGATTCGACACGCGGCCAGTTCCGGAGGTTGCATGCATCAGTGCTTTTTGTCGGCAGGTGTCAAGGGCTGTGGGATCGACACTGTTCAAGGACTATGCAAATCTACGACAGGGCTTTCGGGTCTAGCAGTGCCGCAAATTGGGACTTTTCGATTTACAATCAGCTTCTGCTGTGCGCATGGCGCTGTGCAAACGGCAAGCCTCGGGTGTGTTTCATGGGCAGTCTCGGAGAGTGTGTTGAGTAGCTCAGCCGTATAGGTTTTGTTGTCTGCAACTATTGGAATGTTTCCGGCTGCAGGCCGCCGAGAAGAAACAGCGCGATCGACTTGAGATCCTGTCCCTTGAATGACGACTACTTGAGTTCCCGCTGGGGCCGGGATAGACTGGCAACAGAGCTTGCAGCTTCTGCAGCTGACAGCCCTGCTCCTGCTGCGACTGCAACATTGGCCACGACGAGAACGACTTGCTGCTGACGCTGCTACGACTGCAGCTTCCTTTGCTGCCGCGCTGCCACCACCACCGCCGCCAGCAGTACAAGCACCACCATCAACGAAACACCACCACCACGGCCACGACGACTACTTCTACTTTCACTGATCCTGCTGCTGCTTCTGCTGCCGCTACTGTTGCTGCTACTTCTTCGTGGCTACTGCTACTGCTGCTGCCACTGCTACGGCTGCTGCTGTTGTTGCTGCTGCTGCGGCGAGTATCGCACAATTTCGGTTTTGCTTCAAGACATTGCCAGATATCCTAAAGCTCCGCGGGCGATTACAGTCAATGCGTGCAACTCCGAGACTGGAGGAGTCCCTGAAGAATTTCAAACACATGAGGCTGCACTACCGGCAGCCGGAGGCTGTTGGGAAGCTTGCAGTCAACAAGCAGTGTAAGCTTGCTGCTCGCAGTGGCAGGTTTGGTGTTTCCTTTATCTTGCCCGCATTTCTTGGGTTGGTTGGACGTTGTTTCTTGCGAGTTCGGATTCTTGTCGCACAGTAGTTCACATGCTGGCTTAGTCTGAGAGCTGCAGACGCTGCTACCCTGAGACCAAACTCACAGAGCGGATGAACACCTGTCCGAGCAGCGCAGGAGGAAGCTGGAATGAAGCCGCGGGTGAGGAGGGGGCACATTCGTGAGCCAAATGCTCGCAAAAGAAATGCTTCAACATGGATATTTACAGCGGCATGCACCATGATAGTTTGATTGCCGGCAGTGATGCCTGCGCAGTAATTTAATTTCTATGACTTCCGGGTAGGATGCCCTTCGGAAGACCGCATGCTTGCATGATTCAGGTGGCGTTGAACACGTCTTCGCTCGTGTGTCCGCGCTTCTCGTGCGGAAGTTAACATCGTAGCTATTGGCGACGGTGATTCTGCACTCCGAACCTCCTGATACCCCGAAAGGATGTATGACTACCTTTGCGACACCCTGTTCCACGTGCCCATGAAGATAGTCGGGCCTGCCTCTCGACCGCACAAATGCGGGTAGCGTGTTCGACGGGATCACAGACATCGAATCCACCAAGTGCTGTGAACAAGTTCTGTTTCGCGAGGTGTTCTGTGCCTCAGACAGTCTGCTTAAGACATTCATAGTATTGCGGCACACCAGCAATGTATATCATCCGTATATCCGAAAGTCCCGGAAGATGGCCGAACATCACTTCCGCGACTGTTGCATTGCAAGGTGGGTGGAAAATTCACGCGAGCTGGTTTTCGTTCCTACGTATTTGTGTTGCGTAGTCCACCTCTGCATGAGTCAACAAGCCTCGTGTGCGGATGCGTAAATGGGAATCCATACATATCCATACCCCAATCAACCCATGAACACGAAACTACAAAGAATCTTCGATTATGATACAACCTGATGCCCCCTTCCGCCTGGTACCAGAAGGGATGTGCTAGCCAGCTTAGACCTCAGCACCCCTCGACCGCCTGAAAGATTGCTTCAAACTCCAGGAGGTCGTCATCCCGGAGTTTCGGGACTTGGACGGACAGCTGGTGAAGCCTGTATGGATGGAGGACAGTTGAATTTGCCTGTGTCTTTTCACATCTTCTCCCAGATGTAGGAGCTGGAGCCACCTGAGTATCGTCGCAATGCACAGTGGCATGTAATCGTAACTTCCGTTGGAATCAGACCTTTTTTCACATCAAGTTTGCTACCAGGGCCCTTGTGGATACTCATCACAGTCGCGAGCAGAGGTCTTAACAGGTCCCTCTCGTCACGAAATCGAGCACCTGGCTGTTCGGTCTAGTGAGTCTAGTGGTATGATTTTGGCTCAGTGTGTGAGACGTCATGGATAAGCCAGCCGAGCCTGAGTTGTTTGTTTTGGGGGGCGGGCATGCTCTTTGCCAGCAGCGACGGGGGTGGGGAGGGGGATGCTGCTTATTAATATCGGGACTACTGCTGTGCGGCTACACTTCGCCAACAGCAAGGCATCACAGCAACAATGTTGAGTAGAAATTGCAGGCATATCGAAACTGTGGTGGTCGCAACATTGGCGAGAAAATTGAGACAATCGACAGTTCCGCGTCGCAGCAGTCGTAGCCACGAAATGGTCAACCAAACATCCATTTCCTTGGTTAGACTCACTTGGTTCTGGAGAAGTCTAATCCTGGCACGTTGCAGGCTGATTTTTGCGGTGGCTTCGAACGACCAAAGCCTGTCTTCGCCGCCAACCGCTATCCCTACCAGCTGCCGGAGAGGCGCCGGAACTACCTTCAGCGGAAAGAACTCTGCAGTTGTCAAAAGGAGGTCATGGAAGGCTCTGCATTGATGAAGGAGGGTTGGTTTGTCGGTAGCCCTGAACCATCCTGAACCTGTCCCGGTTGGAAGACCTCCGGGCTTCAGCCCCCTCCAAGGCCTGGCAAAAACCCCCTGCAGCAACGCGCGCAGCATTGGCTGCTGTGGTGCGATGGCGCAGTTGCATAGACAGCCGGAGCGATGGAAGCCTGCTCTGCGTCTGTCTCTCTGTCTGTCAGCGTACAGCAAGAACAGCATTCCGTCTTTGAAGTTTGTCCTCCGAAGCAAAGTCGAGTGATTCCAGTGAGGGTAACTTGATGCGACCATCTTGATAGAAAGCTGTGGCCCAAAAGGTATGATTTGCGTGCGCACTTGGGAATCTGACGCCACTTGAACTCTCGACCAACTCACAATCAACGCTTGGTCCTTGTTTCGGGCTCGGACCACCTGTAAACGCGCGTTTCGCATGTGCCAATTCCACCGGTATTTGCAGTGTTTTGCGTGGGTCACATGCCGAAAACACCACTGCCGTCGGTGGTTCCGGCGTGTCCACTTTCCACGTTTCTAGTAGCGCCTGAAACATCGGTATGTGCAGTGTTTTGTGTGGTTCACCTGCCAAAAACACCACTGCCATCGGTGGTTCCGGCGTGTCCACAACAGCGCATCCATGTCCAAGACCTTATGACGTCCATGGTCTACTACGATTTCGAAACAGCGCATCCATGTCCAAGACCTCATGACGTCCATGGTCTACCGCGAATTCGAAACAGCGCATCCATATCCAAGACCTAATGACGTCCATGGTCTACCGCGATTTCGAAACAGCGCATCCATGTTGAAGACCTAATGACGTCCATGGTCTACCGCGATTTCCAAACAGCACATCCATGTCCAAGACCTAATGACGTCCATGGTCTACAGCGATGTCGAAACAGCGCATCCATGTCCAAGACCCAATGATGTACATGGTCTACTGCGATTTCGAAACAGCGCATCCATGTCCAAGACCTATAATGCTTCCATGGGCCAACCATGTTAGCGTCCAGATCACACCATATCCATTGCCGCAGAGCATCCATGTCCAACCATGATCACGTCCAGATCAGACCATATCCATTGCCGCAGAGCATCCAAGGGCCAACCATGATCACGTCCGGCTTAACCCCCATCCGTTCACGCAGAGCATCCATGGGCCAATCATGACCACGTCCAGATCAGACCATATCCATTGCCGCAGAGCATCCATGGGCCAACAAAGATCACATCCAGATCAGACCATATCCATTGCCGCAGAGCATCCATGGGCCAACCATGATCACGTCCAGATCACAGACCATATCCATTGCCGCAAAGCATCCATGGGCCAACTGACCACGTCCAGATCAGACCATATCCATTGCCGCAGAGGATCCATGGGCCAACAAAGATCACGTCCAGATCAGACCATATCCATTGCCGCAGAGCATCCATGGGCCAACCATGATCACGTCCAGATCAGATCATATCCATTGCCGCAGAGCAATCATGGGCCAACCATGATCACGTCCAGATCAGACCACATATATATATATATATATGCCGCAGAGCATCCATTGGCCAACCATGATCACGTCCAGATCAGACCATATCCATTGCCGCAGAGCATCCATGGGCCAACCATGATCACGTCCAGATCAGACCATATCCATTGCCATAGCATCCATGGGCCAACCATGATCACGTCCAGATCACAGACCGTATCCATTGCCGCAGAGCATCCATGGGCCAATCATGACCACGTCCAGATCAGACCATATCCATTGCCGCAGAGCATCCATGGGCCAACAAAGATCACATCCAGATCAGACCATATCCATTGCCGCAGAGCATCCATGGGCCAACCATGTCAACGTCCAGATCAGACCATGTCCATTGCCACAGAGCATCCATGGGCCAACCATGACCACGTCCAGATCAGACCATATCCATTGCCGCAGAGCATCCATGGGCCAACCATGATCAAGTCCAGTTCAGACCCCATCCGTTTACGCGGAGCATCCATGGGCCAACCATGATCACGTCCAGATCAGACCCCATCCGTTCACGCAGAGCATCCATGGGCCAACCATGATCACGTCCAGATCAGACCATATCCATTGCCGCAGAGCATCCATGGGCCAACCATGATCACGTCCAGATCAGACCACATATATATATATATATATATATTGCCGCAAAGCATCCATGGGCCAACCATGATCACGTCCAGATCAGACCATATCCATTGCCGCAGAGCATCCATGGGCCAACCATGATCACGTCCAGATCACAGACCATATCCATTGCCGCAAAGCATCCATGGGCCAACTGACCACGTCCAGATCAGACCATATCCATTGCCGCAGAGGATCCATGGGCCCACAAAGATCACGTCCAGATCAGACCATATCCATTGCCGCAGAGCATCCATGGGCCAACCATGATCACGTCCAGATCAGACCATATCCATTGCCGCAGAGCAATCATGGGCCAACCATGATCACGTCCAGATCAGACCACATATATATATATATATTGCCGCAGAGCATCCATTGGCCAACCATGATCACGTCCAGATCAGACCATATCCATTGCCGCAGAGCATCCATGGGCCAACCATGATCACGTCCAGATCAGACCATATCCATTGCCATAGCATCCATGGGCCAACCATGATCACGTCCAGATCACAGACCATATCCATTGCCGCAGAGCATCCATGGGCCAACCATGACCACGTCCAGATCAGACCATATCCATTGCCGCAGAGCATCCATGGGCCAACAAAGATCACATCCAGATCAGACCATATCCATTGCCGCAGAGCATCCATGGGCCAACCATGTTAACGTCCAGATCAGACCATATCCATTGCCACAGAGCATCCATGGGCCAACCATGACCACGTCCAGATCAGACCATATCCATTGCCGCAGAGCATCCATGGGCCAACCATGATCAAGTCCAGTTCAGACCCCATCCGTTTACGCGGAGCATCCATGGGCCAACCATGATCACGTCCAGATCAGACCCCATCCGTTCACGCAGAGCATCCATGGGCCAACCATGATCACGTCCAGATCAGACCATATCCATTGCCGCAGAGCATCCATGGGCCAACCATGATCACGTCCAGATCAAACCCCATCCGTTCACGCAGAGCATCCATGGGCCAACCATGATCACGTCCAGATCAGACCATATCCATTGCAGCAGAGCATCCATGGGCCAACAAAGATCACGTCCAGATCAGACCATATCCATTGCCGCAGAGCATCCATGGGACCATGATCACGTCCAGATCAGACCATGTCCATTGCCGCAAAGCATCCATGGGCCAACCATGATCATGTCCAGATCAGACCATATCCATTTCCTTAGCATCCATGGGCCAACCATGATCACGTCCAGATCAGACCATATCCATTGCCGCAGAGCATCCATGGGCCAACCATGATCACGTCCAGATCAGAGCCCATCCGTCCCAACCGCCGACCACCAGTCCACCCAAGTCAACCGGTGCCTATGTCAGCATGTGCCGTTTTTCGCACACAGGCCTCGTTTTTTGTTTCCTATATGAAATCAGCCAGAAAACGCGTAAAGTTACAAAAAACTGTGTGGATGATGTCTCGCGCGAAATGGGCGTTTTTGACGCCGGGAGGGGGGGGGCGCGCGTTCATGCAGCAATTGCACGTGCAATGAACACAAACAGACGTCTATGTCAGCATGTGCTGCTTGTTCTTCGCAGGCCACCATTTTTTTGCCTACCTGCACAAAGACACAAAATCAACACACGTCTGCCTTCCTGCCGCGCGCGCGCGTTTACAGGGCGTCCGCGCGTTGTTTTGGCTGACACTTGACTTCTTGCTTTGCGTGACTTGTTGTCATCCCTTCCGCGCCTTACGAGTCGGCTCATCATCGCTAAGTAAACCTCTGTACACGTCTCCGGTGTAGCGCATGCCACTCTCTCTGCTAGGTACTTGCACTTCCCCTGGGAGGAGGCCAGTTTCGATGCAGCGCAGCACACCGAGCAGATATGTGTGTTCAAGAATTCGCAACTTTCTGTTTTTTAGTTGTGTCTTGCTTCAGGTGGCGGATTTTCCGGACGATGTCATCGATCAGGAGAGAGATTATAGAGATTTGGCATGCCCAGGCTGCACAGCATCGGACGTCTCCGGCTTGGGAGTTTGGACCTAGACTTAGGGTTTGACGGTTTTCTGGAGTTGGAGCTGTCACTTGCAGAAACTGTTCGGCAGAGCCTTTCGTTGTACATCTTATCGCCGATCCTGTTCTCTCATCTATGGCTTAAACTGCTCCAGGGGTTTTGCAAGCAGTCTACCCGCCGGGTTTGGTGTTGACAAATTTTGTCAGAGGACGTAAGGCGGGAGCTGATGAAGATTGTCAGGCACTCAGCGGAGGAACTGTGAGCAGACCCGGAAGAATTCTGCAGAATCCACTTATTGCGTTTCCGCAAATAGCCGGAGACGTCCAAATTGGCGTTTCATGTCGATGTCAGATTTTCATTCGTCGCACCTGGTATACAGGACGATTCCGGTATGTCAGTGACCACTTCACCCAATGCAATTGCGAGAGCTGCTATCTGCTTGGTTGTGAATCGAAGAGGTAGGGCGGGGACATCAGAAAGGACAGGGACTCGTGTGTTCATCTTCAGGCACACTTCATGAAGCTCAGCGACAAGTGAGACTAGTGACTAGCCGAAGCCGACTGAAGGGTACGACATGTACCCACGGCTCTTCGAGAAACCCCCCTGAGAAGCCCTCGGCGCTTGAGTGCCTTGGGGCCTCGTGCCCTCGGCTCTTAGGTGCACTCCGAGGGCTTCGAGAAGGTCGACTACATCTGGCCTCTTCCCCCCGCATTCAGCGCGTTTCCCTCTTAAGCCAAGCTTTGGTGAGGGAAAGCAGAGCTAAACCATTTCTCGATATGAGCTTTGGCGCATCATTCCCAAAGTGTCCCTCTCTTCCTTCAAACGATTCGTTTGAAAGTTCGTCGGTTCGTCGTCCTTGCGGGCGTGTGGCTCTAAAGCAATGCCGCAGATGAACAACCTTGGTTTTTTGTTTAATGTTTCGTCCTCTTCCTGCATCTTCTCCCTAGCTGCCCGAAGTCTGTTTCAACATTGTGGCAAGACGTCTTACCACGAATACAGTCCCCCAGACCAAGCTGAGTTGTCGAGGTTTGCATGACCGTAGACATAGTGCAGAATAACCGACGTGCAATCCTGCAAAATGGCCGCGACGGATGTGCGATCAGTTTATGAGGCCGATGGGGTGTTAGTCGTTGGCGATGTTACGAGCCCACAGGCGGCAGCCACATTGCTGGCATGGCACGAGGCGATCAAGATCGGAATGGGTGGCGATGATTCGCGGCTGTTGGAGATTTTGGATCAAATTCTGATCGACGAGCCACTGTTCCTTGCCCCGACATACCACAAGGAACGCCGTGACAAGCAGTTCATCAAGTTCGCGCTACTCGGTGTTTGCAAGGCCTTCAAGCATTTCAAGTACACCCGAGCCTTCCTGGGGGACGAAGGATTTGCACTTGAGTTCGAATGCAACCTTGGCGCGGAAAACGGGCCCCTGATGCGAGGCATCGACCTAGTCACCCTGAACTCAGAGGGAAAGGTATCCCGCTTCGAGGTAATGGCTCGTCCGCCCAAAGCTGTCTTGCACCTGCTCGAGCTGCAGACGGCCTTCATGACGAAGATGGGCATGGTCAAACCGGCGAAAGCAAAGCTATGAGAGGAACAAGTCAATGGCTGCGCAGACGCAGTCTTGACATCTGGCCTGTTTGGCTTCCCTTGTTTGGAAATGGATCGGCACAGATCTCCAGTGTTTTGCTCTTGTGGCGCTTTTGTGGCTCAACCTGTAGCTGTCGCAGCAGCACCCAGTTGAGAGCTCTTCAAAGATCGGACAAATGGCATGCTTGCACATGTCAGACGTTTTGCTGTAGTTTCCGCCATCTAGGCATTCCGCGACATGCACTCAGTTTCTTTGTGCAAGCTGAGCGGGCCGCTTCTGACCTATCACTTGCCAAGGTATCGTAATCCTGCAGCCAGCGTTCCAGAGGTGTTCCACGTGCAAGCCGCTGGGATCTGTTGAGCAAAACACCGGGGATCGAAGTTTGCAGGATCTACATGTGCTGTATGAGGATTCAGACACATGATAAAGAGCGTGGGAATGAAGATGTTGTGCGAAAGGAGTGTGGGTGTAGGGCGCCAGTTGTGCCGTTCGGTCCCGATTACCCGGCTGTCGACCCCTGAGCGGCCAGCACTTCTGGCAGTAGAGCTGACAAGTGCCTACCCGAAGTAGCACTCGCAGATCTGGCTTTGGACACTGTTTGGCCTTCAAGCCCATGAAAAATGTAAGCCTGAGGTCTTCTGGATCATCCCACAGGATGCCCAGTCTTCCCTGGCCTGATGTCGGGCAAGAGGCTGCGGCGTGCCGAGAGGCTGAAAGGGCCTTCGCCAAGGACGCGCAAATCCTAGGGTCAGACCGGATGCGCCGATGGGCTTCTAAAAGGTCGGGGGTCTTTAACGGAGTCCTGATCCCCAAAAGCATGACTTCAGTCGAGTGGACACGGCGTATGACACAGCTCTCGACGCACTGGCATCATAGCCATCGACCCATAATTACCTGGGACGTGCCCGAAGCAGCCAGGGAGCTCTCCAACTCGTCCCAAAAGTCGTGCCGTTTTGCTCTGAACCCTGCAGATGTGGAATGGACAATCAGGCGGACCCTTGGGATGCTGAGACAAGGGTAGAGGGTTACTCGATTAGTTGGAAACGGAAAACCATGGGAAGGTTGTGCACCAATCGACGCGGAGCCCCGTTAGAGCCCGCTGGCGAAGCCACGGCTCCGAGCATGTTCGAAGCGTGCAAAAGAATCGGTGTTCGGATCCTGTGCTTCTCTGAAGATGCGATGTGAAGCGTGGTAACTATACAGGTGAGCCTTCGCAAAGTATTCTGCCGTTTGTTGCCGGATCGCTGCAGAACTTCTAGAGTCTACTGGCTGCGACCAAGAACAGCATGTGCACACCCATGGATCTCCGGGCGTACTCATGAATTGCTTGCGACGTGCCGCGTTTTTGTGCAGCAGGCCATCGTTGACACGGCGGTTTGGATCCAGAGCATCGACTCGAAGATGATGACCAAAGAGCAGGCGCTAAGGAGCATGGAGGGTTTACTTCTTGCTTGTGTTGTGGAGCTAAGCGCTTCGCATGACTCATGACCGGGTCATGGAGGTTCAAAGATTAGAGATTTGGTTAAGCAGTATGGGAAGTGGAAGATTCTCGCCCGGAGTCCCGTCTGCCCGGGCTGAGAGAGTGGTTGCACCCTTGGGCTTCACACCTCTAACTGCGAGGACGGAGCGCGATTCAATCGAGAACAAGTTCAAGAAGGCACGGCCGTTTGACCGTGTGTAAACGAGATGCCGGAAATGTTGAGAACAGCCAGCTCCGAAGCAGTCTCCAGTTCTCCACGTTTACAAGGCATTCGGGTTGCTGCCGCTCGCACATAGCCCTCGCTGCTCAAGCTTTCACAAGGCCTTTGACAGACGTCCAACCCGCTTGGGGGACATGGCTCCAGACCCCGAGGTCAGCGGTCTCCCAGACTTTGAGCTGGAGAATGTCTTACAATGAAGTCCGCGATGAAGTCCAAGGCCATGAAGACCGGTGCCAAAGCCATGACCAAGGTCCAGCTTGCCGACCAGCTCGCCACCAAGTCCGAGCTCAAGAAGAAGGATGTCCTGTCGGTCCTGCAGAACCTTTCCGAAATCGGTGCCAGTGAGGTCACGACTACCGGCAAGTGCCTCGCCACGGTTTCGTCTGTGATGCTGCATGTTGCCAGGCTCGCAGTTTGTTCCAGTGATCTCCTGTCTGTCTCAGGTTTGTTTTGCCTGGGCTGTGCATGATCAAGACTCGTGACTGGGCTGATCCCTTCATCCTTCATGTAATTGCAGGCATTTGAGTACAGCTTCTGCACAAGAGTTTGGGCATGCCAGCGAGCCTGAGCTGCAAGGTCAGAAGCCCGCCACGAAGGGTGGCACTCGAATGATGTTTGGCAAGGCCAGCAAGTGCGATTGTGAGACCGGCTGAAGACATTCTGAGCTGCGATGTGGTCAGTGAATCTGCTCTTTTCCGCAGGAGGTGCAGGTCAAGGCGCAGAAGGTGGGACCACTGGTAGCTATTGACCTTGGCAACCTTGGCATCTTGCTACCGCAGTTTCTCTCTCAGGCGAAGACGATTGTGAAAGCAACGCCGCTGGCCGCGCTCAAGAACCAGATCTAGGGGTGGCTCTGATCGAGCTGCTGGCAGCGGAGCTGCAGCTGGCTACGCGCTTGTCGATGGGGTTCGACGGTAGGCGTGCAAGCTCGCTGTGGAGCGAGAGCTCTGTGCGTGCGCAACTAGACGCACGCCGTGTACCGATAGTTGCCGCGTGCAAAAAGCTGTCGCTGCAGTTCTTTCTTTGTTCCAAGCTCTTTGTTCCAAGCAGAAGGCTACACTCCCACTGCTCCATGTCACCTTCAGGGTAATGTTTTCACACACACGGATTCGCACATGCCCTCTGCATCCTGCAACGAAATTTTAAACTGAGAACGGCTCGGACAAAAACTGCGTAGATCGCAGACCACAGGCAAACAGCTTTTGATCCCGAACGGCTCCTTCTAACAGCGAATTCCTAGCTCGGCCCGACAAATCCGGTCATCCGGGCACTGCGGCAGCAAGGGTCAGCAAGGCCATAAATATGCACACGCCGCACCCTCCCTCTGCGAGTGTGCATTCTATTCTGTACTAGAGCGAATCAAGATTTTTGCTTCTGTGGTATGCGGAAGTGGGATTGCATCTAATGCTGTCATTTCAAGCTTTGTTTGCAGCCATTCTGGCAAACAGTTCCCTGAAGAGTTCTCATTACATTGTTCTCATGAACGAGAGCTAGGGACATGGCTGCTTAGGGGAAAAGGCTGCTTCGGTTCACGGCTTGAGCGTCTCTATTTTTCAGTTGTGCAGGAGCGGCAAGATTTTGAGAATGACCTGTTGGGCCACATGAGCGCGGTGAACAAGCAGGGATCTGAGAGGCAGTGACGGAGGTCAACGTGCTGATGATGAAGCTGTTGACCTTTGCATCTACTCAAGAAAGACTTGATGATGGTACTGACGATCGGCTTGCCGTGTCTTATGTTGGCATTACCTGTACTGGTAGTACTGGTAGGTCTGTTCTTCTTGGTAGCACGAGTGCACACACTGCAAACTTCTCATGCATGTCTTTACTGGTGACTAAGACCAATACTAGAAACTAGAAGACGGAGACAAGCATGCACATGTATTGTTCACGCAGGTTCAAAAATCGCATGCAATTCACATCAGCCTCTTGAACAAGTTTCTGCAACTGACAACGAAGCTGCGAGCACAGTCACTCAGATGTGCAGGACCTGGTGTTTCGCCCGTGATGCCCAGGTTTAAGGACAACGGAAATCTGAAGGAGGTGGATAACTATGCCATAAAGATCGACTGGCTGAAGGACGTGGGGCCTGTCGGGTTTAAGGAGCCTTGTTTTCAGTTTTCAACGGGTTGGAATCTGGGCCTCTTGGAGTCTCGATCGCAGGCATTACTTCTAACTTCTGCGTCGGGTTCGTGCTGTGGCTGTTGGCCTGCTGTGGCTTCCATGTGAGGGGTGAGAGGCATCCCAACAAAAGGGCCTGTGGTGACTTTAGTGCATGTCACCGACAGCTCTGCTAAATGACCCTTCGCAGCATCCAGCTAGTCGGACGAAAATTCGGCAGGCATCAATGCCGGGGCCATTGACAAACATGACCACATTGCACCTCCTTGGCCTGTGCCTGTTTTGAGTGTTAATTATGTTAATTTAGCGAGCACCATGCCTGTTGCAGAGTCGTGACAAGAGCAACGGTGGCCCTGAGGAAGAGCTACAAAAGTGTCAGAACACTGCAGAGCAGTATCGCGCGAAGGAGGTCCACATTTGCTGTGATTTTTTCAGGAGAGAACTTAGAGGCTTCTCGTACAGGTGTTGCCATGCGGAAGGTTTGTAGCGGGTGCTTGATAGCGGGAAGAGGACGGAGGATTCGGCAGGATGTAGTACTGTAGGTTGGAGGAATCGAGCTTGCGGGGAGGGGCGAGTCGTCGAGAAGCATTTCCGACTCTAACGTTCTTGACTAATTAGTCGAGTGCAGAGCTCGACAGGACTCCTTCTGAGTTCTTGAAGACGCAAGCTGTCGGCTGGATTTCAGAGTGCTGGAATGGCGGGAGATCCGGACGAGAGTTCGCATCTACAAAAAGAAAGCAGACAGCGCCAGCAGAGGCTCCAGGAGTCCAGCAGTCACTGCACCCTTAAGAAGCATATGCCTCCGGGATTCGAAGAGCTCTTTGACCTTCCATTCGCATCTATGTTGACCCTGCAGGTTATGCTAGGGTGGGATCCGAGCGAGTTCGAGAAGCTCACCGAGGCCGTCCAGCAAACTCACCAGCATGCAATCTCATTGTCACTGCCTGGGATTGATGAGATCTTAGGCTCGATCTCACCCATTCTCTCACACAGACCCATAGGTTTCAAGTTCTGAACGGGTAAATCTGGCGCCAAGCTCCTGGGACCAGCTGACACGTTGCATCTTGTGACAAAGCATCGTACTTCTATGTCAATCGGTAGGTGGTAAACCACAGATTCGCCAGGAAGCTATGCAAAACTCCGACGTTCTGCTGCCCCCTCGCCTATACCTTCAAAGTCAAAGATCACGAGACAGCGCAAGGCCATTGAGAAGTTGCATCCCTACGACGACCTCTGGGAGCTGGCTAAACGCTTCACCAACGAGGCAGCTTTGTCTTCGCTTGGTGAGGGCGCTTCTAGCGTCCAACATTCTTGTTGTTCCGTGTGGGCCTTGAAGCAGAGCTGGCCGAAGCCCTTGCAAAGCCAGGGTTGCGAGGGTTGCAGACATTTTGGGATGTAAGTCGGACCCGAGAACCAAAGACGCTGCATCCTCCGACTTGTTGGGTCTGCGAAGCAGTTGTACATGTACTGAGTCTTGAGCAACAGTGACTGGCAGTTCGTCGTTCAGACGGGGCCCAGAAGGCACGGAGAAGCCCGCTCTCAGGAGAAGAAGTGGATGAGAGGACCTCTCTTCCAGCTTGAACCGGAGGCCGACTCGGTGTTGGCCGTTACGTTTGTGATGCCTTGGTTAGGACGAACGTTAGGGGGTAGGCCAACGTCACAAGTCCATGCCAAAGCCACAGCCGGGGGAGGGACTCATCAGTTCCTTGTCGACATCATCCCACACCCACGCAAATCCTGCATGTATCGACTCATGACTCCTCGATGATTTCTTCAGGCGGTTGATTCTCTGGCCGGCAGCTTGGCGAAGAGGGCCATGAAGCTCCAGGTGGCCCGACGGGACAGGTTTCAAGTTTGGCGCTGCGAGCTTGCAGTTTGGAGGCTCACGACTTGGAATTGGACGTGGACTTAGATTCAATCATTACGCCGACAAGATCCCGCGTACATCCACTTCACTTAATTTCGCAAACTACTCCAGCTCGACAGATTTAGGATGATGTATGCCAGTGGCTGGAATAAGTTGGCCTGCCACCGTCCCTCAAGAACGTAAAAACAATGTGCTTTGGCAGCCACTCCTTCGACATGAGTTTGTTTGTCTTGGCTTCGCGACTCTGCCTTTATGCTTTTAGCATTTTGTGGGCTCTGTGCTGATTGAATCTGATTTCGGACCTGGCCCATGGACACCAATGAGCGAAAGCAGGCTTGACATTAACTAAGTTTGCTTGATTGCATCTTTCATGACCCTGAATTGTGTGTTGTAGTGCTGTACTGTTGTCACGATGGCTGTGCTGATGATTTGTGTGCAAGCACTTTCAATTCATTTGAGTATCCCCGACTTGACTCAATTTGTTCAGTCTTCTCGGAAGGCCTTCTTGGAGTGAAACGATGATTAGCAGTGATTAAATGTGATCAAAAGCATCCAAGTACTGTATTCAACCCAGGTTCCCCCTTGAACATTGTGCGCGGAACGCATGAGACAGTAAATCCCAAATCATTTTAGCAGGGCTTCTTCGAGACGAACAGCCTGCCGATCCCTGCGGGCGTGGCGAAAAAGCTCAAGAAGGCCTTCATGAGCTTCGAGTCTTCCAGGGTGTCTTGGACCTGGGTTCATCTGGGTTCATGGAGTTTCTGGCGAGGCTTCTGAAGGCGTCGGCCTCGATGGAACACTGCCGCACAGCCTGAATTCTTCGACTGCGCAGGACCTGGATGCCTTCAAGCAGCATTTGCCGCTCATCCACGCCCTTTGTGCCTGAGCTTGGATTCGTTCCCGTGAAGTAGACATTATCCTGGGCTCGCCACGGCATCCTGGCCAAGGAGGGCCGCTCAAAGCAACACCAACCTGATCCTTTACATAGTTGTGAATTGAGCATTGCAGTCGGCCCATTGTTCTCTTTCCGAAAGTGATTGCATTGCAGGCAATCCAGGTCTCCGCCAGCGGCACTGGGACGAGATTTCTGAGGCACGGTAAGATCTACCAGCACTGAGAATACTGAGATACATCTGGTTGTAAATCAGAACTATTAAGCCCGGAAACTACCAACCCTCCAGTTTATTGTGAAAAGGTGTTCAGGAGGCTTCCGATGCTCGCTCAAAGACCTATAAGTCTCACTTCCACCGTCAACAACCGGGCCGAAAGCAGTGCAAGGGACTGGTTTTGGTTTTCATGGAGGATGATTTGGCAAATTGGTTCTCGGCGAGAGGTCGTTGGCTTCACCATGGAGCGGGATGCCGCTTTCACCCTCAGCAGAGTGGTGGACATGGACGTGGGTACGCACATGCTGGGTGCTTACTGTGTTCTCTTGTCCCAAAAGCCTGAGCCTTATTAGGTGAGGTCACAAGGCTTAGGAGCACCGCTTCCCGCTTGGTCTCCTTTAGAACTCGATACAAAGGAGATCCAACTTGTCAAGCGCTCCAGCAGCCTCTAGTTTAGACCTGGAACACCCTTGCAGGTGGTTAGTTTTTTTACCAATGCGGCACCAAGGAATGCACTGCAGGAGATCTCCGACTCTGCATCCAGAGAGTACGGACTGGCTCTGGCCTCGGCACCACTCGTTTTTTGTTCACATCCCGAGTGTCCGAACAGCAGAAGCAGGACATGACAACAGCGCTGTCGGAGAAAGCAAGGAAAGTTATTCTATCTTTGCTTTGGTGGTGTATAGTCTTTGTAGAGCAGGGGTTCAGGGCGTCGCGGCATTAGGGCATGCAGCACCCAGCCCTCAGGAGAAGACTCTGGAGTCCATCTACGAGCAGTGGCAGCCGGTGAACTTCGAGCTGAAGCCTTGGAAGGACCCGATACTGGTAGTTGCTGGTGGCTGTTTGACAGGCTCGTCGAGTTTAGAACCCCTGATGTTTTGGGTTTAGCTTCTCAGGTCTTTGAGGCTCATCTTTCATTGAACCCGCGCATGAGAATTTCACTGACGGGGCAGGCCCTTCCATTGTTGTTTGGCCAAATATCGGTCGTCGGCTGGCCTGAAATGAATCCTGTTCGTCACTCTTGACCTGCCCGGCATGTTTTCTGCCGGCTGCAAACATGATGGCTTGCAGGACACGGAGACGTACATCGTTGCTGGGACGACTGTCGACGAAATGCTGCTGGGCTGCGCTGTGACCCACTCGCCGATCACAGAAACCCAGACTGGACACATGTGTCCCAGTGGCTCTGAAACGAGCGGAGGCGGAGCCTCAGGCCTTTTTTGAAGGATGCTCTAGCAAGGCTTCGAACTCTTTCCGTTCAGGCCTTGCCAGCGAGCCTTGAGACATCTGGTTCGGAGGGTGGGACTACATTGCCATCGAAGCTGAAACGGCCCCAAGCCTCCCACGAGCACCGATCCTCAGTGAATCCAGACTCCCAAGATGAAACCTTTGAGCCACATTCCCTCAGGCAGAGCCTCATGGATGATCACATCATCAAGGTCCAGACCATGAAAGGCTGCCTGGCTGATGCTTTCGGCTGGTATATCTGATTTTCGGGTGTCGGATTCAAGTTTCGCAAACAGATGACGAAGGCCAGGCCATGAGGCCTCGGCTCCGTGCAAAGCTGTCAGGATCGCCCTACGCCAAAGCCTTCATGGACAAGATCACTTCGTCTGGAACTGAGATGTGGCCCATGCCAAGGTCAAAGACAGAGTTTGTCCCTGCTTCGGCTATTTTGCGGCTCGGGAGGTTCGAATTCGGTGTCGCTTCGCACATGCCGGGCTCGTTTCACATGCACAGCAGCCACAGTCATCCATGGTTCAGAATGTTGTCTTGGCCAAGCCACGTTGCGTTGCTCTGGTAAAGCCATGCGGACCTCTCAAAGCCAGCCATAATCACCTCGACTGTGCAGCCCGGCGAGGTTAGAATCCTGGCTGCTCCAGACGCAGGAGAGGGGATGGTTTAGCGATAGGCAAAGGTGCCGCGTTGGCGAGATGCATTGCTATTTGCTACTTCGGGGTTTATAGAGTTAATTTTAACGCTACGCCGCCCGCCTCGGCTGTGTAGCGGCAGGGCGAGGGGGCAGTCGATGTTTTTTTATGCTAGGGCGGCCTGTCAAACCCCAACCTTTACACGGTTGTTGATACGAAGTGCGAGGAGAATGGGTAGGGGAGGGGGGGGGGGGGGGGGGGGGGGGGGGGGGGGGGGGGGGGGGGGGGGGGGGGGGGGGGGGGGGGGGGGAGCAATCATTTCGGCTGCAGAAAGGAGGATTAGGTGGAGGGTACCTGAGGTAACCACCAAAATGCCTGGGCCTCTGGCCTCGGCGGATAGGCCTGGTGTTGAACATACCAGGAGATTATGGACATTTGGCAGAAGGCCGGGCTGCCAGAGCAAACTCTTTAGCCTTGCGTCCGGTGCACACACGCATGCGCACGCACGCAAGCAGACACACAGAGACACAGACACACAGGCACACAAACACAAAGAGACACACAGAGACACAGAGACACTCAGGGACACGCAGAGACACACGGAGACACACGGAGACACATCGAGACACACAGAGACACACAGAGACACGCAGAGACACACAGAGACGCACAGATGCACAGACGCACAGACACACAGAGACACACACACACACACACTCACAGACAGAGACACACAGACATGGCAAGAGATTCTGCCATACTTAGGACACGAAGGATTTTGTAAGCGTGGGCCTCTTTGTTTTGTCTTCGGATGGAGGCCGCGGGAGGTACGCCTTTCCTGGATCTTGCGAGGTGCAAGGCGTCTGGCTCTACCTCGAGCCCATTTTCTCCTCTGGTGATATTGTCAAGCAGATGCCGACAGAGGCCCAGTCTGTCCCGTCCGTGGCTTTGACACCTACTGTGGCTGGGTTTCACACACCACAGCATGAGTTCAAACTGTGCTACGTTGGCTCTCATGTTAGGCTCAGCACGGAGGCGACGTGCATTTCAGGAACGCGCCTTTTTCTCTCCTGCGCAGGCCGGGATTTTCAAGCAGGTGGACATGGATTGGCGCACTACCATGGCGGCAGCTTTAGAGTGACCTGGCCGTGTTAGACAATCCCAAGGGCAGCTTCGGAATGAGGACGTTCGCTTGCAGCAAAAAATAATCGTTGGGGTAGAGGCCTGTGTAAGCGTTCATACTACCGTCTATGTAGGCGTTCGTGCTCATTCCTGAGATGCCACAGCAGCCCACCCTGTGCGAACTTCCTGACAATCCAGCCGAGAAGCCCCAACCCTTGACACCAGATTTTGCTGCGGTTTTGCTCCTGTTCGTAAGCATATTACTATAACCAGGTCATAATCATGACCGAAGTGTGACTCCTTGGCAGGGCCGGCAAGGCGATGGAGGCGACAAAGGCACCCGGACTCCTGGAGCTGTTGCAGAGGCCAGGCCGATTTTTGAAGTGTCGCCCGTGAGTGTGTGCAGCTCCCTGGCAGTCCTGCAATCGGTTTATCCAGCGCAGGTGCAACGCAAACTTGGACACCGTGCAGAAGGTGTGTGTGGGTGTGTGTCGGTGTGTGGGTCTGTGTGTGTGTGTGTGCGTGCGCCGATTTTAGTGTTTGCTTCAATGGACATGTCATGTCACTGATCGCTCACGCAATGGGATTAAACCTCTCCCCTGCTGCGACCAGCGCAGTTCAGCGTACACTTCGGCCTACTTATCAAGCTGAGTTGCAGAAGAACCTGTCGCGCTCAAGCAGCAGTTTCTGCTGGTCGAGATTCTTTCAGCACGGGCACCTTGTGAACACAAGTGGGAGGATAGTTACGATCGATGGTTGTCCGCGCTTACAGCCGCAACGCATAGGTACCGTGAGGAATCACCACAGAGAACACTCCCGGAGACTCCAG